ACGACACTTACAAAATGTAAACAAATTAGCTCCATTGTTCGCCAACACTTGTAAGCTAATAAGCGTGCGCAAATAAAAGAAACGCAATTCAAGCAAATAACAAACAAACAAAAGAACTCTCGTATACTTGCATTTTGAAATGCGTCATGCGAACTGCATTTTTATACCCTGTACCCAAAGGGTACAAGGGTATATTAGTTTTGTGCGAGTGCACATGGAACACACAGAAGGAGGCTTGGTAGACCCCACAAAGTATATATATTCTTGATCAGCATGACAAGCCGAGTCGATATAGCCATGTCCGTCTGTCCGTCTGACCGTCTGTCTGTCCGTCTGTCTGTCTGTATGAACGCAAGGATCTCCGAAAGTATAAGAGCTAGAATAACCAAACTTGGTATACAGATTCTCCTGAGACCGAGAAAGGACAAGTTTGTTCATTTTTTCTGATCCAACCCCCCACTCCCCCCCTATTACCAATTTTCTATAACTCCCATAATTCTTGGAATTTTAAACTTAAATTTGGTAGTCACATTAGGTTAGTAATTATATATCCGTATACCAAGTTTCATTATGATAGAATGATCAAAAAGAAAGTTATAGCCATATAACCAGGCCCAATGCACACATACATACATATGTACAAGTACACAAACACGCATAAGGCACGATTCTGATGTAAATGTAAATGTATGTATGCATGCATGGAATATTTTATAATTAATTAGTTAATATTTAGTTAATTAATTAAATTAATTTAGTTAATTCATTAAATTAAATTAATTAATTAATTAAATTACTTTTTTGTGGGGTGGTACAGGGTATTTAAGAGTTGAGCCTGCTCGACTTTAGCATTCCTTTCTTGTTTGTTGTTGTTCAACTATAAGATACGAATTATTTAAATGAAAACACAGCAGAAACAACAGCTGCAGTAACAATAATAGCCTATTGATAATAAACTCTACTTGTACATAGCTAACGTTTTATTAAACAACCTTGATTTTGTTATTCTGGCCACTGCCCTATTGTTATTATTTGTTGGTTTCTTGAATGAAAAACAAAATACTAAAAGTTTAAATTGTATTTAGACGGATATGTATGTATACACTCAAGCGGGTATATGCGTATAAGTGTGTGACAGATAGCACTACAGTAGCGTAAACAACGATAACTAATCCCACACGCGTCGCGTACATACTACTTACATAAATAGTTTATTTACCACATACTATACATATGCACATATGTATGTTCTTTGAATATTGTGCCAACGCTTACCATGTTGATGAACGGAAAAACAAAATAAATAGTTATAGGTGAACTAAAAGAACGAATGTACTAAAGGACCAATTGAACTATTACTGAACTATATTGCCAAAGTCAAATAGATATCCCAAATCTACACGCAAGTAGTTAAATGACCAATTTTAATGTGATAATGGAAAATGATATGGAAAGTGTTTTTATACTTCATTTTTTTTTCAACCCTGATTTAATGCACTTTTGCAAATGAGTCTAAATAATGCTTAACATGTTTAGCCAATTTCAACATAATATTGTACATAAGTATATTTATTGTGAAGCCTTTTTGTGATTAAGATGTATTTGGCAAAATTAATTTCTAAAACAAAACGTGAAATTTTTAATCAAGCTGCATTTCTGGGTATTACAGAACGCTTTAAAGACATCAAACAAACCAAATCATTTAGTAAATGTTAAGTTTCTAATTGTACTTGAAAATAGATAAAAATACATATGTATTTCAAATTAAAAACAGAGTATGCACCATTCGTTAAGCCAACCAAATGCAAGTTATTCTAGATACGTTAATTAGTTTACATAAAACTCGCCAGGCCCATGTTGTTATTGTCGGTGTTTTGAAAAACATTTTACAATTCTCATGTGTGGCTGCGGTTGTTTTTCTGCTGCTTTTATACACGATACCTCTGAGCTTTTTATAACTATATATATGTACATTTTTATGTACATACATACATATATACAAATATTTCATCATAGACATATGTATGCTAAATGCCGGCGCCAGAACCATTGCCGACTGGCGACGGGCCCTCATCTTACGGCCAATCAGAGACGACTTCACGCAAATAACAAAAACAATAAGAACAACACACTGTCCCATGGCAGTGAAATCTTAGCTCTCTGTAGACAGCTGCACTTATCTTTGTATACTACGAAAATATTGCTATTGCATTCATTTGTATTCGATTAATTAAGTTTTGTTTTTGTCTAGTCAAATAAATAAATTTACACGAGTGGGCAGATGCAAAGTGTTAGGGAATGGCGCGTCATTAACGTACCACTTGATAAGTTATTCCGCACGTTATAGGTTCTAAGAGATCAGCACGACTGAATGGTTAGTTTTGATTTTGTGAGGCACTATTTAAAATTCAAATTTTCTTCAGATGTCTCCCTTAGCAAGAAAGTTATCTTACTAAGTGTGATTTTTCCATCGATCGGTCCTATGGCAGCAATATGAAATAAAACAACAACTATATTTCATATGGATTGTAAAAACTGCTCCTGGCTGGTATGATTCAGAAATCCCCGGTGCTCATACGGACGACCGTAGCTATAATATAGGGTGTGTCTACTATACCTTTGACCTCTGCAAACTGGAATTTGATTGGCAACGACCAATCGCCAACAACACATTTAAAAAGTTTATAGATGATAGATCTATCTCCACATACTATATATGTATACTATACTATCTTTAATTGATCGTACAATTTTTTATATCTGCCAAATGTTCATTTACTTCTTACGCAAAATAAAAGGGCTACGGGCCTTAAATTACAAGTGCAATTAACAAATGGCAAGCCATATAATTTATGACTGTGCAGCATTATTTGAATTGTTTTTATTTGTATCGCTAAAGTTGCTTGCCATCTTGGCTCTGTCGATTTGAATTGTTGAACTCTATTGACATTGAGAGCGCTCCGAAGCTTTTCCTAATCTTTTCAGTGATCGGCTGTTGTTTTGCACTTGGCGAGGTCGGAGACCTGCCCCCCTATGAAGCTCGTGCTGTTTACTTCCGTGAGGGCACAAATTAATGCCGGTCTGTATCTATGTGTATAGTATGAGCATGTTTATATGTTGCTATATACGAGTATGTGTGGTTCATAAATTGCGTTGTTTTTATGTGTGTTGTGTGGTCTATCAGCAAATATTTTTCACTTTTGCCAACAGCTTTCAAGTTTTTGTACGCGCTCATTTTTAAACTATTTCGACCTTGATATGTGCTATTCTACATAGTGCTCGGTTATCTACTAGGAACGTGCCAAAATCGGGCTTGTGTACATAAAGACAGATACGTGAGCACATATAAACGTATATATCTGTGCGTATGTATATGTCTGTACGAATGGATCTGGTTACGTTCGCACAGCATTTAGTGTCTTATGTATGTAAATTATGGTGTGACGATTGTTGGAATTGAAACAATTAATAAAAAGGGGCTCGTCGATGTGGTTTATTAAAGCTTGGGGTCTTTGAGAAGAAGAAACAATATTATTGTAAAAGGCTCGTTTAGTAAAATCTTGTCTCAACTCTATCTACCCAATATCTTAACTTTATATTTTGTTAGCTAAGAACAAGAGCAAAATGCTAAAAAAGCGTGTCAGTTACCTATGTAATCAGCATGAAAATTCGAATAGATATGGACAGGTTCGAACGAGAACTTCTGAACCATAACAGCCAAGAATACGAAACTTGATTTATAAACTTGTCTTATAAATACGCAGTGCAAGTCAAAACAACTTATAAAGTATGTGTAGCCTTAATATTATATAGCTGCCTTATAAATAATAAATAACAACTAGAAAACGTATGTTTATAAAAGTTTTTAACTTACGCACAGGTCACAATTCTAGATATAACTTTACAAGTTATTTAAGCGCTTACAATTCTTAAAGAATGTGACATTGAATGACCAAAATTTGATAACGACATTTTAGGAGTAATTGAAGGAAAAGTTATAGTTAGGAGGTGCTTAGTGGGGTATTCTGACACTCCTTAACGTTTTACGTTCATACAGACGGACGACTATGTCCCGTCTCTCAGATTGATATATTTTTTCAACCGGGTACCTTTTTAGAAGGGTGCCTCACGATTGAGGAACACGCACATAAGCGGAAAAAGAACATTTACGATAAGATTTTGTTGGATCTATTTTTTAGGTGGGTAATAATCGGAAGAATGTTCCACGAAGTTGATGATGAGTCACTTTTAATGCAATTTTGTCACTGCCAGTAGGGCTTGCAGATTCTTTATATTATTGACTTTAATTATAAAATATTGTTTAAAAAAAATGTTGTTATTGAATCGATCTAATGCGCTCAAAACGGTTGGGCTTATGCACTATTTACATGTAAAGAAGAAAATATATTTACCTAAATCTAATAATTATCTATTCAATTAGCTCGCTACCTTGTTGTGGTGATGAGAGAATTTGTTTGCAAAGAAATAAACAAAGAGGGCTTGTCACTTAAATTCTTAAAAATGTTTGGTTTCTAATGTTTTCGATATTGTCTTTAAAATTGGGTTTTGTGTATCAAAATTTAAAGTATCTCATAGACGTGCACTGCAATACGATATAAAGTGTTTCCTTACTTCTTATGGTGTTGGGATTCCTAGAGCAAGAAGCAAACCTCTGTTACAATTAAGAAACGTACGTAGAATCTGAAAAAATATATGTATGTACTAACGAACCCAAGTCTATAAAGCCTATTCTGTCCAAATTAAGAGACTGTCAAAGCCGGTGCTGCTGGGTAGTTTCGTGCGCTCGTGCTCTTCAGACAATTAGCGCAATTGCATTGCGATACACACACACACGAGTATACACACACATGTACATACATATGTATACTTGACGGTTCAGCTTTCATATCATTAACTACTGGGGCTCCAGCGCATTTCACAATGGCTCCGAATGCTCAGTTCACTTTTACTACTTAGGGCAGACGTACGTAGACAGAAGTCGGATCCGCCATGTGGAGATCTCCGCGTCCAGACTGCGTGCAAGGCGCCCGATAAACGCTTGGCATTCGGCTCGAAGTCATATCTTGGCTTTCTTATCTCCATTCGACTGCCACACTTCTTATCGAACCGCTTGTCAAATACTGAAATCTTATCGCGCAGTCGCTCTATATAGTATACTATTTGTACGCCTGAACTTCCTACAGACTGTGATAAAAGTTTTTCAGCGCTTTTTTCACGCAGTTGACAGTCCGCGGCGTTCGATGAATTTGTATTTAGACTGGTAACTACAACAATTATATAAACGGTGTGTGGCATAGCCAAAATAATATTAATGACTAACAATTGGACGGTCAATACAGAAGCACATATACAAATAACAAAAATTAAACAAATAATGAAAAACGCGTTGGTGTTGGATATTCATTGAAATCGTACCTAACCTCACATAATTATCGCTCCTCGGAAACTCGAAAGTACGAGTAATTAGCGTGCAATATAAATTTACAGCCAGAGGCTTTAATCAGTGAAGAAAGTAGTCAATTGTTGAATACTACTGATAACTCCTAAGATATATCTAAACATAAACATACAAGTACATAAATAAATATGTAAGTAAAGGGCAGCTTCGGTTTCTCATAAAGAACTGCGAAGTGTAAGGCGAAGAGATGTACTTTGTGTACAAAGAGCTTGTAAATTGTTGGAATTTTCGCAGCAAGATTAGATAACTTGTATCGTTAAAGCGGCTGACTAATTTATATGACTCGCCATTAATTGTATATAAAAACTGTTCAAAGGAACTAATAACTTAACTAACAACAACAACACTCACACACATACACAGACACACATACGATTTACTACCAATGGGCAATCCTCAAACGGGGCCTGCACAAAACGCTTTAAATCAAAGAATCTAAAAAGAAGAATATATCAACCATCCTCAAAATTTCTTTCACGCACAGATAAGAGAGCGCACACGCCCATATGCCTAGCTTGTGAACAGCGCCTCGAACCGACCAAGCAAGTCTAGCCTTCTCATCCCAGCCAACTGACAACACCTTGCCGCACTCTTCTTGCCAACTTACAATGCCGCTCTTTGCACGAAAATCCACCAAGCACCAGAATGCGGCTGCCGATGGTGCTGCGGCGAATCATCACGACAACAACAACGATAGCAAGGGCAAGGCCGCGGTGCCACCATTGATGCACACCAACAACAACAACAATAGCAATAACAGCAGCAACAACAGCGCCAACAATGACAACAACAATGATGCAAACAAGCCACAATTGATCTTTCACTGCCAACTAGCCCATGGCAGCCCCACAGGTCTGATAACTGGGTTCGCCAGCGTGCGCGAACTGTATAAGAAAATTGCGGAATGCTTTGATATGTCGCCAGACGATATACTCTTCTGCACACTGAACTCGCACAAGGTGGACATGACGCGTCTGTTGGGCGGTCAGATTGGTCTGGACGACTTTATATTCGCGCATCGCAAGGGCCGGCCGAAGGAGATTGAGATAATAAAGGCAGAAGATGCGTTGGGCCTGACCATAACCGACAATGGGGCCGGATACGCCTTTATTAAGCGAATCAAAGAGGGCTCCATTATCGATCGCATCGAGCATATATGCGTTGGTGATCACATTGAGAAGCTCAACGATCAAAATATGGTGGGCAAACGGCATTACGAGGTGGCTCGCATGCTCAAGGAGATACCGACTGGTAAAACGTTCACATTGCGCTTAATCGAACCGGTCAGGAGTGGCTTCCAGGGCATTGGACCTCGCAGTCAATCGCGCGCCTCCACTGGTGGCGGTCGCAACTATGGCAGTGGCAAGGAGACGCTGCGCTTTAAGGCTAACGGTAATGCCCAGATCGAACCCAAGTTCGATGAGGCGACCGTAGCCGGTATTGATGCCATTAACAATCTGCTCGAGTCTTTTATGGGCATTAACGATTCGGAGCTTGCGTCTCAGATCTGGGACCTGGGCGAGAACAAATCAAACTCAATGGACTTTGCTGAAGCTATAGACAGCTCTGATCTGGAATCTTTCGGCTTCACCGACGACTTTATCATTGAGCTGTGGGGGGCTATAACAGATGCCCGTCGCAAGAAGGTGGCAGACAAATGAGACAAATGATAGATAAGCTGTTAATTCTCCCATTTCTGGGGCATTGCTGTGTCATCACGAATATAGCGACAGACCTATTTTCTCCTAGGGAGTTACGTGTAAACCGGGGCATTTTCTTGTGTGCATTTTTTGTTAGAGCCTAAAAACTATGTTACGCGAAATGCGAAACTGTTGCTGAGATATGAAATAAACGCTGAACTAAATGAGAAACAATTCATTTCATAAGCTAAATGCTATCATTATCATTTAAACATTTTAAACAATTCAATTAAGACTTATTTGCCAATTATCTTTATTGATTTTTGAAAAGAACATTAATTTGTATGTTTGTATTTATTTTATATATACATATACTATATATTCATATTATTTAGAAAAGCACACTTGATGACAACAAATTCGTTGTAAATGCTGCAAAAATTAAAGTGCAAATCAATTGTACAATACTTTAAATGTACATATGCAGAAACTAGTGTATGTTTTGTTTAACTATGCCTTAAATTCACTTATAAATAAATGTAAATTATTTCAAATTAAAATTGAATTTTGTGTTTTTTTAATTTATTATTGTTTTGTCTTTCTTAAGACAGTAGGTAAGCTTTTCGTTTTAAACGCCACTACAAGTGTATCGCAGATTATTTTATAGTTTTAGTTCTTATTTATTATTTATTATTTAAGTGTTTTTAGGAAATGCAAGTAATTCATTAAAAGCAAGATTTTAGTTTTCTGTTTTTCATTTCATTTATAATTACGATTTCGAGTATATACTTTCTGTTTTCTTTCAATAACAAATTTTTGAATCAATGTGGACAGATTGACAGATTGTGAGGTGGCACAACCCACAATGACTCGACTTGGTTTGTAGAGTCTCCTAATCCCTTGAGTCTCTCTCATCTCTCTTCAGTGCTATGGAATTTCGGCATCTACACAAACCAACTTTTATTACCATTCCAAAATTCCAAATTGACATCCTGAGAAAAGGTAATATCGAAACAATTTCTACCTTTTGCTTGTATAACTGACGATGATTGTTTTTGAGCTTCATTTAAATACTCGTATAGTTTATTATTCATATTCCAAGAAAGACCCTTTTTGCTTTACTAAATGGGTATTCACAACTGAATCTTTTTATAATAGAATAAAATAATTAACTGCTTAAAAAAACAGTTGAAAGGTGGGAAATATCGATTTTACGTTTAATTTGATAAAAACTTCTTATATGGGTTCTGAGCCTATTAAAAGGAATACTTAGTACTGAATACTGATACTAATGGTACAAGCAACTAACTATATTCAATAATAAACAATTTATGTTTGTAGGTATTACAGAGGAACATACATATGTACAGTAAATACGCAATGCCAAAATATTATAAAAGTATATCCTAACGTTCTACGAAAACCAATATGTTTCGATTTATATTCAAATATTTATTAGAGGTTACCAGTTTCGATCGTCAAGCAAGTTTAAGGAGCACAATTTTTTAATAAACAATTGATTCATACATTTCAGATTTCTGTGGGCGTGTTGGCAAATACACATTCAAATGGTTTCTTTTTAATTTTAGCTCTCGAAAACAATTTGTCGACAGCCCCAAAAAATATTCCATAGCAGTGTGCGAGCAAATGTCATACATACATATGTATAGTGTGTACATATGTATGTAGATACTCGTCTGTTTCTGCTGTGTTTATAAGATTGAGGGCAGAATTGTGACAACAAATTTGAAAATTTGTTTTTTGGCAAATGCTTTGGCTTACTTGTATGTATATTCATGGCCATGAGCACGTGCTGTTTGTGAATTCAGCACAAATTTTGTTTATAGCTTATGTAAGATTCGTCTGCAAAATGAGACATTTCCGTTAGAACATCATATTAAGAGCGGAAAATAAATACATACTATATTTTTCGTCAAATCGTTTGCTCGCGACTGTTCTCTAGACATTTGTAAACAACAACAACAACAGTTGCCATTATGTGACGTATGTATGTATATGTATACACATATGTATGTATGCATGTACGTCCCTTCGTTTACTTTGCTATTCAAGACAATGATGCATTTTATGGGTTTCTATAAACAAGTGGCAAGTACATAGCGCGTCGTCGTAATGATTATTCCCGCAATGCCCAAGCTATTTGATACAATATATGTTTGTAAAAACATGGTACATACACACTACAAGTAAATACGTACTTGCATTCATATATGTATGTACAAACAAGCGTAATAAAAAGCTAAACAAGCATTTTTGAACATACATACATACATATGTCGACATTTACGTACATACTTTGCCCTTGCATGTATGTATGTATGTTAAAACAGCTGCTACGAGCAAACTAGCAGCTGATAAGCACAGTTAACAAAATGCTCTCTCAGAACAAGTTCATTAAAGAGTGATGAGCCTGTATAACAAGCCCATTGAATGCGATGCTTATGTATCTTTATATATTTATACATAAGTATTTACACATGTACATACCTAGTTCATATATAAATGTTTGTATTCGTTATGGTAAATGGCACTAGGGGAGTCTAGTAAATTACATGTCTTTCCGGTTTATCAAGTTTTTCGTTTTTCTGAGACGCTTGTTACTTGTGCTTTTCACTCTTAAGTCTAACGCGCAGCTTTTGTGCTCTCTACAACGGCTAACAACGCTCTGCCACACCATTCGTATGCTTAATTTGATTAGCTTTTGCTCTGCACTCTTTATGTATAACTAACAAAGCCGCCGGCGCTCAGCGTTCAGTTGTGCACAAGCACTTGCCGAAGTAGCAAGTAGCGGAAAAGAAACAAAAACAAAAGATTGCAGTCAGCAAAGATACAAATTGTGAAATAAACAGCATTGTTGCAAGCTAAAGACACAATACAATATTGAATTCATGCAAAGAGTGTAACTGTGCATAGTGAAGAAATAGAGTGAACGCTGAAAAGTACACTAGTTTTTCATATAAAAGTGACAAAAACTGGAACCTATCCCAGGAAAAAAATTAGGTAGCCATAAATTTTTTGAAAGATGTATATATATTAGAAACAAATTCAAGAACGTTAACAAAAGTGCCCTCTGCAGAATGCAAAACAATATTTTTATGTTTTGCTATTTTATTTTGTTTTTAGCAGCCACAAAACTGTTTGGCTGACGCTCACCTTCAGTTCATTTCAGTAGACTTTGCGCCTCGCCACTAGCGGCGTGTGTTTGTTTCGGCTTTGCTTCTTTCCTTTTCGTTCATACATACATATGCACAAGTATATATCGCAGTTGGACTTTGAAACCGCAACCGTCGCCGTCGTCGCAACCGCATTTTAACCATGACTAAACAAATTCTAATTGGGCATAAACATTTGTTGTGTTTGTGAAGAAAAAAAACAGTGGAAAAGTAATAGCAGATAACATATGTACAATTGTACATAACTATATGAATCGAATGCAGTTGAGGTCTCGTTATGAGCGCTGTCGCCCGATTTTGTTTGTTTTGAATAAATTTTGTTTGTTTCAATAAAATTGTTAGCCTGGCAACAGTGCGAATCGTCTAGCAATTTTTCAAATGTTTATAACTGACGATGTCTGTACATGTTGCTCTCTCTCTCTCTCTATGTGTGTGCTTAAACTTTGTTGTTTCTCTTGTCAAAAACCTTTTTCTGGCGGTTTGCCCAAATATTGAATCATTGCCTCGAGATTCGGAATCTGAGAACTTTCTTTGTTTGCCGCTCTTTTAACGACCCCATCAGCAGCGCCTGTCTTCGATAACATGGCTGCCTCTTTTTAAAAACATATGTATGTATGTATGTTTATGATGCCATCAATGCCCCTTTGTTTGTGAAGTTTGAATGCAACGGCAGCAGGAAGCAACAACAACAACAACAAAATGAGAAATACAGTACAAGTTTGTTTCATAAGCTTTGGCTAGTTTGTTTTGCTTGTGCGTTCATTACTTTTGTGCGCTGTCTTTTGCTTTGCGTTTCGCAGGTGAAAGTAACGCGCAACTCAAGTTACTGGCCACGCGTGATAGATGGCGTGATATCTGTGCCAATGCGTTTCAATTACAAGCCACAAAAAACACTATGCAACAACAAAAATAATATAAATAAATAATTAGCACTTTAAGTCCCGCCAATAGATTTAATGCCAATCAATTAATTAATTATGTATTATGGCAACTAGAGCGCAATTAAAAACGTCGGGCAGGCCAAGGCACAGACAATCGTATAAAATAATGTAAACTTAAATAATTGTACAGAATTTGCGAGCTCTAAATATTTGTTTTTGCTTGCAAGGAAGTCTGTCGACATATCGATGTATGTACATACATATGTGTATGTACATATGTATGTATGTAGGTCATGTTTTCAACAATTCCTGTAAATGAACTTTGCTTTGCTATTGAATAATGCGTCTTTGCGGGTGTTGTACATTGAACTTTACGCAAGGCTGCCATTTTGTTATAGATATACAATACATACATACATATGTACATGTATTCAACATTTTTAATACTTTCAATACACTTTATTATTGTTTTATGAATCGTGCGGCGCGTATTTGCTGAGCGTATCGCGTGATGTTGTCGAATTCATGAGTAATAAGCAGTAGTTAGTACGACGGCTTCTATTTGCGATAACACAAACACACATACATACATATGTACATATATTACTGTATAAACATACAAATATATCTATCGTACGATATACATAACTGTTTTATCACCGAGTCGAACAAACACCGAACCCCACCACCAATAAAAGAAAACTACGCAACTAGTATTACATACATTAGTAATTGTATGAGAACTATCTTCTTTTTTTTTTTGTTTAATTACACATACTTGAAAATATTCAATTTAAATACAAATCTACTTCCTCTCGAAATCGGCGTTTTAGGAGGGATCCCATTGAAAAACCCACACTCTTTGAGAGTGCTGCGAATGTTGGCTTGCCTTGAACTTGCTGTAAAAATATGTAAACAAAACAAAGCGCCTTACAAGTGTGTGCCAAATGCTTATTGTACATATACACACATACATACATCGTATGCGTATGCAAAGTGCATAGCGCCAGCGTTGTTTGTATTCAATACCAATACACATTGCGCATACGCACTGTGGTGCAAGTGCATAAAAACAAAACATGCTGGCGTCTCAAGCAGTGACTGTTACACATACTTATAAACACTTATTTACACGAATAAATAAATTTTATGGTTTCCACGTGCAATTGCTGCGCCTGCTTAACAATGTAACAGACAATGTGCCTTTCAACCCTCTGCACAAACAGAAAAGTGTATTCTAAAAACAGCGGACTTAATGAAGAACCTCTCCCCCTCTTTCAATTCAAAAAAAAAAAAAAATAATACCTCCAAAAACAAGCTTATTCATTTTTAGAGACATCAGAAGTAGAGCTCTAGAATCTTATAATTGGCAGTTTTTTCGTTACATATAGTATGTCCTTTTCGTTTATGGTAAAATGCCTATTATTTTTAATATTATAAAGATGACGAGTTATCTATTTTTAAGTGTCTCGTATAATGCATGTGAACTGGCTCGTTCTGCTCGCAAATATCGAAAATTATTTCAAAGTCAAATTTGGCTTTTCGGTTGCAACTTGGCAACAGCTAGCAATTTTCTTTTGTTACCCCTCTGCCCTCATAATTTATTTGATAAACTTTTTTGCCTTTTACAGTTGCATCCAAAGGTGATATCATCAAAGAAAGCGACTATTGTGATCATAAATACTAGACGCGAGTGCGCGTAGCTGCGATAAAATGGCTTTAATATAACTGTGCATTGGGTTAACAGAATCTTACACACAGCTAACACAACACACATTCGCAATTATTGAGAATTAAATAAGTTTGCAAGAAACAGCAAAGAAGAACAGGACGCGCATTTAATTAGAAGCAAATAAATTATATTTGGAACATCAGCAGGATGAACTCGTTTGTGCGTATGTTCAGTAATTTCCGGGACTTTTACAATGACATCAATGCCGCGACATTGACTGGAGCCATCGATGTCATCGTCGTGGAGCAGAAGGATGGAGAGTTCCAGTGCTCACCCTTCCACGTGCGATTTGGGAAATTGGGGGTGTTGCGCAGTCGGGAGAAAGTGGTAAGTCCTCAGTAAGAACAAACATGTATAGGTTGTTAGCATTATTTAAAACTTGTGTGTAAGTGCCAGGATTAATCAAACTTATTCGAACTCCTTACAAATAGGTGGACATTGAAATAAATGGCGCCCCTGTGGACATTCAAATGAAACTAGGCGACTCGGGCGAAGCTTTTTTTGTTGAGGAATGTCCCGAAGATGATGAGGAACTGGCTGAGAATCTGGCCACATCACCTATACCAAAGAGCTTTCTTTCCACCGATAAGGCCAACGATACAATGGAAGACTTAAGCGGCGTGACTATTGACAAGTAAGAAACTACACATTTTCATAAGAAGCAGCCTTTGTAGTTTGCCATCATATCATCATTATTATAGAAACGCTAGTGAAGAATTGCAAATTCCCTTGCCATTGCCGCGGCGCAATTCGATTGACTTCTCCAAAGAAGAGCCCAAAGTTGCTACTATTGAGGGCTGTGTACTGGAAAATCAAGTCTCTGACTACACACAACGCAGGTGGGTAAATAGCAATCTCAAAGCTCAGCTAGCACTGCTTTCTTAATGTGTTTGCTTTCAAAGCTAATACTAATTTCACGATCATATCCAAAAAAAAAAAATTGCAGGCACACAGACAACACCATGGAGCGTCGAAATCTTAGCCAAACCCTAAAGGAGTTCACGACTCAGAAGATACGTCAGGAATGGGCTGAGCACGAAGAGTTATTTCAGTTTGATGCAACTGAGAAGGAGAAGGATCTCATGACAGTACTGAAGGAATTGGAAGTGAAGCAGAAGGAGGTAAAGCAGAAGGAGGTAAAGCAGAAGGAGGAAAAAGAGAAGGAGGCAAGCCGAAAGGTTGTGGAAGCCGAAGAGTCACCCGCTCCCACATTAGATAAAAATTCAAGGAAGCGGGCATTCAAGGTGGATAAAAAACTAAAAAATGCTTCGTTAGCTGTTGTAGCGCCTACAGCTGAGCCAGAACCGATATGTACATTGGCACCTTCCGATCCACAGGAGTTAGATGAAAGCACAATCAACAACAATAATGCTAACATTAAGGATGATCCCAAAAACAAGACCAAGAAGCGACGCAAGAAGTCACAAATGAAGAAAAAGAACTCACAACGCAAAACCTCCTCGAGCAGCTCCGTGTGCAGCACCCAGGGAGGGGATAATGCGAGCAATGCTGATGCGATTTCGCTTAGCTCTAATGTGGTGGCCAATATTGATGAGGCCGAAGTGCCCTCCGTCTCGATCTCCAATAAGACAGCTTCATCCTCAACCGATGAGTACACGCCTAAATCCACGGACCTGCTGTCGGCACCTCTTGTGACGGCTAATGGTGACGACGAAAGTCCTCTAGGCGATGATCACACATTGCCACACACTCCCAGGGCCCAGCGCTCGGAGCCCACGATCCTTGATCTGGACATACATTTCTTCAGTGACACCGAAATTACGGCGCCATCTGGTAGCGGCGCCTCTGGTACTATTCGCGGCGCTGGACGCCCCTCAACACCAATACAAAGTGACAGCGAGCTGGAAACAACGATGCGGAACAAACGTCATGATGCCGATGCCGACGAAAATGCCGCCTCCTGGAAATGGGGTGAGCTGCCGACGCCTGAGCAGGCCAAGAATTCAGGCAGTGCCAAAGCACAAAACAGTGAGCATCAATCCATGCTAAGCAATATGTTCAGCTTCATGAAAAGGACTAATCGACTGCGCACAGAACTTAATGAGGCGGGAGGCATATATCTATCCGATTTGGATGCCGGCAGTATTGATCCCGAATTAGTTGCCCTTTATTTCCCCAGTTCCAAGCCCAAAGAATCCACACCAGCAACAACACAGAGCGGAGACGAGGATCACGAGAGTGGCAATGGCACCAGCTTGCCGCACTCACCTAGCTCGCTGGAGGAGGCCCAAAAGAGCTTGGACTCGGACTATGAGGAAAGCAAGCACCAGCAGGATAACAAGTAAGCAAGAAAGTCCTTTGACCGTAGGATAGTTTTACACACAGTCTTGCAGTTTATAGAAGCTACTCGAATACATTGAAATATAAATAGAAATTGCTGAATTATTTGCCTACAGGACCTATTCAATTAAATTATGGACAGATACTTTATTCCATATCGAGCTGAACACCTTTATCCAACAACCTAATAAAAAATCAATAAACAATTAAGACCTTAAGTAATTAAATTTAACAGTTTATCTATTTTATAAGACAGACATAAGTAGTTTATTAAATATTTATTTATTTATAATTGCGACAGATATTTGGACTTTGTGGCCATGTCTATGTGCGGCATGCAGGAGAATGGTTCTCCCCCATCGGATGCAGATTTCGATAGACAGCTGGTCAACTATCCGGACGTAAGTATTCAATAGTTAATATCACAAAGTTGAAGCATGCGTAAGGCTTTCACGGCTTGCCGAAGCACTCCCAAAAAACAGACCCTTGCCTCGCACCAAGCGCTGCATCAAACGTAATTTTCATTGTAAACAGAACTGTTATTCATTCATTGCCCCCACATCTAGGTGTGCAAAAACCCTAGTCTGTTCTCATCGCCAAACTTAGTTGTACGTCTAAATGGCAAATACTACACTTGGATGGCTGCATGTCCCATTGTTATGACAATGATAACATTCCAGAAGCCACTAACCCATGTAAGTTGCATGGTTAAATATGCTTTGTTATTTAATCTCTGAACAAACAATAATCGTATCATATTTGAATTGCATCTTCTATTCTCAGGACGCGATTGAGCAGCTTATGTCGCAGACCGGTGAAGGTACGAAAGGCGTAGATGCCGAGAAACCCACGGCAGTCGAAGGCACTGCGCATACGGAAAACGTCGGCCAGACAAAACGCTCTTGGTGGAGCTGGAGACGATCGCAAGACGCGCAGCCTAATCATGCCAATATACCGGTGACTAAAGATGAAAAAGGTAAGCAGTAAACGCTTCTTTACAAAAAAGCATAACACTCACCTATAAACTATCCAGATGGTGATCAAGCCGCTGTTGCCACACAGACCTCGCGTCCAAACTCGCCCGATATTAGCGATATAACTCTGAGCAAGAGCGAATCGGTGGTGAATGCAGAGAACACATCGGCCTTGGTCGACAATCTTGAAGAGCTGACCATGGGCTCCAGCAAGAGCGACGAACCGAAGGAGCGCTACAAGAAATCTCTGCGCCTAAGCTCGGCTGCCATTGTAAGTAGATCAATGCGATGCTCCACTGGTCACTTCCATTACCCTCTCCATTCCGCACATCTTTCGAACACAGAAAAAACTCAACCTCAAGGAGGGCATGAACGAAATCGAGTTCAGCGTGACTACTGCCTACCAGGGCACCACACGCTGCAAGTGCTATCTCTTCCGTTGGAAACACAACGACAAGGTGGTGATATCAGATATCGATGGAACGATCACCAAATCCGATGTTTTGGGCCACATTTTGCCGATGGTCGGCAAAGACTGGGCGCAACTAGGCGTCGCCCAGCTGTTCTCGAAAATCGAACAGAATGGATACAAGTTATTGTATTTGTCGGCTCGTGCCATTGGACAATCGCGCGTGACACGCGAGTATTTGCGCTCCATACGTCAGGGCAACGTTATGCTACCCGATGGTCCGCTGTTGCTGAATCCCACATCATTGATATCGGCATTCCACCGCGAGGTAATTGAGAAGAAACCAGAGCAATTCAAGATCGCCTGCCTGTCAGATATACGTGATCTGTTTCCCGATAAGGAGCCCTTCTATGCCGGCTACGGCAATCGTATAAACGTGAGTCCGCCCACCAAAACCCACTGTTTCGGATAATGTTTATTCAATTGTTTGTTAACCTCATGATTTCAGGACGTGTGGGCCTATCGCGCTGTCGGCATCCCCATAATGCGTATCTTTACGATCAACACCAAGGGTGAACTGAAGCACGAGTTGACTCAAACATTCCAGTCTTCGTAAGTAGAAGCATTTTTTCAAACCATCTATCTATCGCAAGAATTCGTAAATTATGGTATAGGTGTTCCGTAACCCCTTCTCTCCCAGCTCATGCACATTATATAACGAAAATTGGCCTAAATCGTATTAACTTCATTATGTAACGCTTAGTGTGTATGTGTTTGTGTGTGTGTGTATGTGAGTGCCTAGGTCCTTACTATGTACATATATATACATGTGTAGTTTGGTGCCAGTGCCAAAAACAATTAAAAAATAAATAAAAAAGTAAAAATATCATGGACTACTACTAGCAATTGCACTCAAATCAACCAATCAATCAGTCAACTGTGTAATCAAGCATTCTGCTTGTCACATTTATAGTGGCTACATCAATCAGTCGCTCGAAGTCGACGAATACTTTCCACTCTTGGTGCACCACGACGAATACGAATATCGCACGGACGTATTTGACGATGAGGAGGAGGAGGACGAGCTCCAATTTAGCGACGACTCTGATATAGACATAAGCGCAAGCGATGCCGACGATGGCATCGACACTGATGGCGATACTCATTCACCGGATTTGGGCCTTATATTAGGCTCGCGACACCTCTTGGACAAAAATGAAGTAATGTTCCGTCTACCCCGCTATAACTTAGACGTTTAGTCTAATATTAATTATAAACATGTATTGGCTAATTTGTAAGACTCGAGTGCTGGAAAAATTTGAGGCAGAAATATGATATGTGATAGATGCGTTGTGCCAAGTTAGGTTCTTAAAATTAATTTATGCTGTTGTGTCCTCGATGCGGGTTCCAAAACAATCCGTTTTTATGTTCTAGCCTTAAGTTGTTAAAAACAAAAAGAAATGAAACCAAACCAACGACATTATGAAAATATATTCGGGCGTTACGCTGAGTACCTTTGAGTCTAAGACCTTTAGACTAGATCGTAAGTGTATTAGCACTAAGGCGTACATATACATATACTACATACATACATATTTTACATACATAATAAATTGAGCAACATTTTGTGGTTATAACCTGTTTTATTTTGGCAAAATGACGTTATATATATGTAAATGGTGCATGAGCTAGGCTATACTCAATCGGTTGCGAAGTCTGACAATAGGCGTATTCACCTCCATTATATATATACATATGTATATATATGTTGCATACAATCCGGCGCTGTAAAAAAATCAAATGTATCGACATTTCCTCCTAAATTACATCTAGTTGGGCAAAACATTGGGAAACATTGGCTTAAAAAAAAAAACAAATGCCCTAAAAAATATGGGTATATTTTCTTATGCGACTAATAAAGCAAAGTGCCCACCCATGTAACTAGATCGCTCCGTTTTCGAAAAATCACACTCGATGCAATTCTCTCTTGAAACATTGCCCTGTGCCTCAGTTGAGATACATATGAACACATTTGTATCCAATAAGTAGTAAATGATCGGCCATTTGTTTTTGTATTGTCGCTGCAGAAATTCACGATGCCCTTCTTCTTACAGTTACTGCAGCATGACCTACATTGTGGATCAACTATTTCCACCCGTCAAACACGATGAGACCGCTGTGGAGTTCTCCAATTTCAACTACTGGCGCGATCCCATACCGGAGCTGGACATTCCGTTGGATACGGCGGTGGTGCCAGCTAACTATAAGGCGGACGCAGCCACACTACGGCCCATTCCAGAGAAGTAAAGTTCCGCGACAGGACCGGAAGCAGTTTCAAACTATAACGTAGTTACACATATATACTATTAATTATATACACATAACTATATATTGAGCATAGAGCTTCTCGTTTGAATTTACACACATAAAGAGGGCAAACCTATTGTAGCAGTCCGGACTTCTTTGAATCTGTTTGCAAAACTTGAAATTACACACACATACATACTATACATAAATGAATGTGCTTACCAAAAAAATTAAATATATATAGTAAAACGCTGCTAATGAATTATATTTTAAGTTAAACAAAAAGAGTGATTTTATATTTTTTGCTTGAAGCGAACATCTTTATGTTATTCAATCATTTAGTTATGATTTTTAGTCAAGATCAGGCGGTTTTAACTCTATTCTGAATTAAGTTAAAGCTTGTTCAAACGGAATTGTAGTATATGCTAGTTCCTAAATCAATTATAATTAAAAATATTGGAAGGGCAGAAATAAAATCAGTTAGCTGTATTTCATTTGTGATTTATCTTATACTTACTTTCCTTATAATTATTATTTCTTTGTGATCGTTTTTACTGAGTTCTTAGTCTAGGATAGTTTTCTATGTTTTGGGCTTACGCTGTCTTATGCTATGCATTACTATTACTCTCTATAATATAAACATACATATGTATATGCCTACCAATTTAGCAAAACAAGTGTCTAATCCAACACCATGCATTTTCAATAAAACCACAAAAAAGCAAAAACCAAGAAATAAACGTGTACACCACAGCCACATTTCCAATTATTGTTGCATTTGATATTGTAAGCTCGAATGCGATGAGTTTTAGTGCTAATGTCAATGGAGATGGAACACACTCCTTCCCAGACCTACCGAATAAACAAATGACATTCTAGAATATTCGCTTCAAGTTGCAGTGGAAAATTTTCCAAACGCATCTGCCCTGCCATCGTATGTTTATATGTACATACCGTAGGTACATAGATGGTGATTACTATTAAGTATACATATGTACATACATACTCATACATAGATGTATGTATATGTATGTGTGTACGTTCTGTGATATGGATGGGTCAAAACAAACAACAACAGTTATATTATTCAGCACACACATACTACAGATGCAATTATGATTTGTTGTGCGCCACATAAGGCCCCGTTTACCGGCAAAATACATGAAATAATGTGGGTGCAGAATTGAGCGCGCTGCGATTCTCGGTGCGGCGTACGAACATGTACTCGTACCTATATGTACATATCTCTACATACAAATGTACATATGCATTTATCTGTATGTATGTATGTACTGGTCGCGTAATTTTGCCAATTCAATTAATGCTCTTTAGAGCACGATAGACAACAGCACAATCAAACATATTGGCTCACAAAAGCACAAAACATGGGCTATACGAGTATAAAGACTTTCGAGCAGACCGACAGTGGCGTAGTTTTTGACAGTTTGGGGACTATTCTACATACATAGCTTGTTTGTTATTATTTTACAACAATCCTACTGCTCCAACCAACCCAAACAAAATCTCAGAATGAATATAAACTATTTCCCACTTTCCACCCTACAGAAGCTAAATTTGATAGCGATATGAAGAAAACCTCCTCGCTAATTAAAAATAATGATGGTTTGAGATCATTGATATTTATATTCCTTTATTTAGCTTTCCTGCCAAATAAATGTTCCTTAAAATTGTACTTCCATGACTATTTTGAGCTGTTGAGTGTGAAAATTTGTGATTCTAGATTCTAGGTGTTCACACAGGAAGAGGAAAAGAAAACGGAACGCATTATAAAACTCATATGGCAAGTAAAAACAGAGCGCATATGCGAAAAATGTATTGATCTCTTAGATCTACAAAAATTCATTTAAACAACAATAAATATCTCAAAACAGTCTGGCTTAAGCTTGTTTTCTGTAATTATCGAGTGCAGTGTGTAATTAACACAAGTTTCTAAGCAATCCTATATAACACCTTTTTCATCCAAAGCTACATTATATTGATTGAAAATACTATACTACTTACACACTCGTATAAGTATCTAAAGCAATGAAAACCACAGAATTTTAACTGGTTTAAAGTAAAAGTAAAATACGAAATTTAATACAAGTAAAAAAAAGTAGACTTAAGAGACAAGTCTACGTAGAATAAGAATAGGGAAATTGCCAAAAATGAAGAATAAACTATTTAATATAATGTGAAACTAGCTTACGAATATAAACTACAGTTTCATTATAATATATACTTTTGTATTTGGTCTGGTATAGTAAGCAGTTCTTGGATATTGTTCTTGATAATGAATGATCTATTGATCACGGATACTCTTTCAGATACTTAACAACTAAACTAGCTATTTTAACAAAGTTAAATCCAAATTCCGACTGAAAGCTAACGACCCCTTCTCTGAATACGCCTATGTCACTGAGATACATGAAACTATGTGCATATTTGTATGCGTACGTATTAACTAGTCATATGTTTTGGTGCAGTAGTTTTCCATTTGATGGTCCCTCACTCATCTCGAGACACAATCATGGCATTTCAACAAATTTGTAAAAATCTTTTCAGTGGTGCTTTGTTGATCACAGCGGGCATCTACTTGAGTATATATGTATGTATGTTCAATCAAGCACATTATGATAATGTACGCAAGTACATAACAACAATAACGCCTCAGTGAGGGATGCCGTCGAATCAGCTGATTTTGCACAATTTGTAAATGTTCGCCAAGTGCAATCCCACGATTAATGCTAATTCTGAATCTGAATTCCCCTGCTGACAGTAAAGTAATCAAATATTTAAGGGGCAATCTAGAAGATTCGGTGTAGGTCGGTTCCACCTAACGAAGATATCATTAATGCCTGACTATGTACATGTATGTAAATACATACATATATACTCGTACTTAATACTTCCATATACTGTTTACTATATAGTGCAAACTGGATGGATTACAGAAACAATTAAAAAAAAAAACAAGTATATAAATAAGTACGATAGCTTCGGAGTGGTGCGCCGAAACATATTTACCCTTATCCGCATTTAAATAGCATATTAACCTGTGTAATATGTATTCATACAACAAATGTTTAATTTTGGGAGACCTGATCATTCCTCTGGCAGCTTTAAAACTCAACATTGACTGAGAAAACATTTAAAAACAAAGAAGCTAATGCCAAATTGTCCTGTGGCAGCTATTGCATATAGTGCCCCGATCAGGCCAATCTCTGCAATTGATGTTTGCTTAAAAATAAGCCTATGAGCATAAATCCAACATAATGTTATTAAAACTATGAAACGAGTTTCCATAATGTGCTACTTATATGTATGTATGTATATGCATAGCATGTAGTGTGGCAAACCTCCTTCTGGGCGTTACTAATATCAGACCAAATGCAATGTACCCTTTGCAAGGGCACAATAAGAGCAGATAAACAGGCATGTGAATAGCAGTGAAAGCCGCGCTTGCGAGTTTTAAATTGAATACTCAATATGGGACAGAGACGGACTCAATTATGGCCCACTCAAATACCCCCGCTACCTCCGTGTGGGGGAACACATATGTCGCAGACCGCTTGTCTGAGCGCAGAGAAAAAAAAAACAGTACGAGCACTCAAACAGATCGTCAAGCCGTCGCCCAAGCTATAAAAGGCTGGCGACGGTAGCTGACAATGAACAGTTTTCTTCTGGAAGCCTACGAGCAAGCATTATTTAATAATTTGTCTCCGGTAAAAGTTTTAAAACACAAATCCTTTTAAAAATGAACAGCGCTGTTGCTATTTTCCTGTGCGTCGTTATTGGTTTGGTGAGTAATATCGCCGACTGTATAAAATAAAGTCCATATAACCACATATTTCTGATACTAAATCGCAGGCTTCTGCCACCGAATACAAACTTCGTACAGCCGAGGATCTGCAGAAGACCCGCAAGGAATGTGCTGAGGCGAACAAAGTCACTGAGGCTTTGATTGCCAAGTACAAGACCTTCGAATATCCCGATGATGAGATCACACACAAGTACATCAAATGCATTTTCAACAAATTCGAGCTCTTCGACGACACCACTGGCTTCAAAGTAGACAACCTTGTGAAGCAACTCGGCCAGGGTAAGGACGACAAGGCTGCTCTGAAGGCTGACATTGAGAAGTGTGCCGACAAGAATGAACAGAAGTCTGATGCGCCCACCTGGGCATACCGTGGCTTCAAATGTTTCCTTGGCAAGAATTTGCCTTTGGTCCAGGCAGCAGTTCAGAAGAAGAACTAAAGAGCTGAGAATACCGGTGTAGTTCTTGAGGTAGCCCGCTATGGAGCCTTAAGGAAATAGCCAGCAAAGGATAAAGATCAATCCAACAAGCCACAAACGCATCATCTATCCCAGACCAATTATGAAGCGCATTTAATATTCAATCTTAAATATTTTGGCTTTGCACCTTTCTCTAATAATAAAAAAGATCATTTATAAATGAGATACATATTTGCTTTTTATTTAATATATGTATATATATTTTTCTTTCAATGTTAACTCAATATTTAATATATTTAAATTATTGAAACGTCTTCTTAGGGGCTTCCGCTGTTTTTAATCCATCAAGTTTATCCTCTCCTCAGTTCCCCATCCTTCTCCCACCCAAGGAAAGGCATAAGTTTGATTTTTGATTGGATTATATTTCATATTTTCAGTAAAATGAATTTGCTCGTCTTCTATATATATTTTTTCAAATATATAAATTAGATTTTCAATATTTTTTTATATTGTTGCTTCTTCTTTTTTCCATGAATCTGTAGTTCTTTTAATTTTATTTTTTGCATCCTTTTTTATTTTGCCTTCTTAAAAACTTCTTTTTTATGCACTTATCGTGTGGATTTTTTTGTGTTTTTTATTTTATCCAACTTTTCTTTTTTGGTTGTATTATTTTTTCAGCAGTTTTTGTATTTATCTTGTTTAAGAGTGGCTGGTTCTTGAAAAAATTAAAATTTGTGAAAGGGGTGTTTGGTGTTGGGTTCTTCAAAAAACATTATAGCCAAGTTAAAGATATTTTTTCCATGTTGATTTCTTTTTCATCTTTTCTTCTATTTTGCGCCTGTTTTGTAAATTTGTTTCGTTGTCGTGGTTGTTTTTTTTTTTTAATATTATTTTGTTGGCATCTTTTTTTATTTTTTCTTTATTTTCTTTTTATTTTGCAAAGAAGTTTTTGGCAATATAATAATGTTTTTTGAAATTATATAGTAAAAAAATCTGAAATCAAATATTAATTGGGTTAAAAATTTATCACAATAAACCTCACAACTTTCATTGCATTACATACATATGTATATGTACATACATCTAGACGTACATAAGCCTTTACAAGTTTAGAAATCAAAGCACGGACTCTTTTTTGTTGTTAAAATCGACAAATTTTTTGACAAAGTGCATTTTTTGTTAACTCATTATAACAAAAAAGAAAAATCAGACTGAAGCACCCCAACCGGATTATGAGAAAACAACCCAAAATCACTAGGATTATTTTAACATAGAAACCCTTCTTGGAGAAGTCGGAAAGTTAAGGCTACAAATAGTTTCCCTATAAGCTCGGTGAATATCTAAACATATTAGGTACTGCATTCTCAAGTAATGGATTATCGATAATGCGATATGTATGCACATATTGCATATTTTGTTTAATCTATAAATCTATACCCGAAAAAGGTATACCCCCCTTTTTGCCTTAAAATTTTTACTTACCTTACTAATAGTTAAAAAACAATAATCAATAGGGTGCATAGTAATTTGCGCGGCCACGGTAACCTCTTCTGAAACGAAAAACAGACCGGAATTAGCGAATACCACTCAAATGTAAAGGTTGCTTTAACATACATTGCGCGACGGGCGCCTCGGAAGGTTGTATGACAGCAGGCACCACGTGAAACACGCGCTCCTCGACCACGGAAACTGCCCCGGGCGAACCGATTTGTGGTGGAAAGTCCAGGGCGATTAGTGCGCTTGGACATGACCTATAAGAAAAAATGGCAAAAACAATGCAAAAGACATTACATGTATATCATTTTCGTTTTAAAACACACCTTAATTTGACGCCCTCTAAATAGAGTCTCGTTCATGGCCAATGCAGTCTCAACATATTCCTTTGACCCAAACTCAATATAAGCGAAGCCCTTGGGATGTCCATCAGCCTTATTACACAAAATCGTGACTCGATTTATGGTGCCGCAACCATGGAAGTGGGCTTCCAGTTCTTCGGCAGAGGCTCCATAGTCCACATTACCTACATACACGGACCTTGTGTCAATTTCTTGCTTTTCTTCAAGGGATAGTGGAACTGTGGCCAACCCGGTTGTGGATCCACCAGCCATTTGCTTATCCACTTCAGACTGCATTTGCTTTATTTTTTCAGCCTCCTCCTCCATTTCTTTGACGCGTGCCTTGATGGCTTCCAGTTCAGGGTCAATTTGCATGCTGGATTCCTCCTTTTAATTGTATATTTTAAAGAAAATTCATATACAAATTCTGTTAAATATATGTTTTATGCAAACGCCCAAAATGCGATGTACAGAAATTGGTCAAGACAACAAGAACAGCGACGCTAAGAAAATGGCTGCCGCTTTGGCGTTGGGCTTTGTTTAGTAAGCTTATCGAAAGCTTTTACTGAGAATTGCGGCGCGCTTTCGGATTTGTAGCATAAAACGAGTTTTTCGATGCGAACACTTACCTCGGCTTCCGTCACAATTTCAGTCTCCTGTTCGCCGTTGGTTTCTTCCAACGATTCTAAGAGCTGATCCTCGCTTAGGGTAATATCTTCATCGGCCATTTTTGTTTACTTTTGTGAATTGAATTTGTGTAGTGGTGAGCTTTGGTATAATGTTTACTACGTTTAACTTGCCGCGTTAAAGCTTAAAACAGTACCGTAGGTAATTTCACTGCAAAGAGAGTGGATGTATATATTTACATTTGTATTATAAGAGCGCGTGAGAATGCGGGCGTAGTTACACCAATTGCACGTTAAACAAATTTCTTAAATACAAGGTTCAGCTTAATATTGTCGTCAAAAATATGTAGATAATTCCATATATGTATGTATTTTATCAATGTGACACACTTTATAATATCTTACGTCAAATACAAAGGCAAGTCCCGCTGACGTTTCGCTCAAAATGGCCGCTGCCCAGTGAAATTCCGCACGCTCTAGCTGGCCTTCTACCGAACGATAATTATGCTAGTTTATATATTTAATAGCTGACTGTGTAATTAAATATGAATTTCACACGTTTGCAACCACGCACGGGATTAATAAAATAAAGCAAAATTTGCTGTATGTTCCTATGAATAATTGTTATTTACAAAAATTGCTGCCACCGAAATAAACTTGTCGACGCAGCGAAAAAGGTATTCGCCTCATTTTCAGGGGTGAATCAATGATAGCTTGTATAAATTATCGATAATATTTCAAAGCATGATATCTTCGCTCTGAAAATATCGATAAGCTTGCGTCTCTAAGACAATGTGGGATTTTGGCTACGATGAGCGATTCCGACTCTGATTACGAAGAATCTGAATACATTCTTTACGCTGATTTCAAGAATCATTTGGCCCCACAGGAGCTTAAGCGTGAAAATACCGCCATAAAAATCATTGGGATCGAAAGCGAGAATCCAGTTGCTGAGATAAATGGCAATATATTCAAAGGTTTATTTAACTGATGTATTAAGTTGCACACAAATACTGACGAATTCATTTACAGGTAATTATGATATGGCCATAGGCACCAATGTGTTTTTCCAAAAGGATTTTGATGTAGTACCAGGCGATCCTCTGTTCGAAAGCACCTGCCGGCAACAGTATAAATACGTAAGCACATCAACCAAAGTAATAAACTTTGAGCGGATCTACATAGAAAAATTGCCTCAAGAAGAGGAGGCAGTTCCACAAAAAACCACAAACACGCAGGAAGGTGGACAACCTGCCGATGAACCGGAATCCTTGAAACTGAAAATTAATTATAAAACAGCAGTTAAGAAATTCGCTGACGAAAACTAATTTTGTTATGTATCTCAGTATAGAGAAGCATTATGGAAATTTTAGTCGAGGATCCCGAGCCAGCAATTAATTCGCGGGAGTTTTTCGCCGAGTACAAAAAAAAAATTACCAAAGGAAGTAGTCAAAAAGACAGCACTGTTCCATTTTATTTTGCGGCTACATCTCCTGTTTCCGCTGAGATAGAACAAAGTTGTCATTTGGAAAATATCGCTTCGCATGATGATAACGCGACCATTAAATTTGAGCCTGGAATCGAATGGCAACGTTTGCACTTCGTGAAACCACAAACCTCTCAACCCATACCCAACCTCTACAAAGCCATAAGTCTTCACAAGAAATCATCCAAGCATAATCCGTTCTTACGCTCCCAGTTTTGCTATCGACTGTCCACAATGCCACCTTCGATTGAACAAAAGCTGCATGATGAGTATGAATTAGAGTTCACCGTACGATTTTATAGACCGCCACGTGCATCACATCGTGGCTACAAGGTGGAACATCCCGTTTTTGCCGAAGAATTTTTGTGCTTAGGTAGCCAGTATTTAACAGATCTCCGCGACAAAATTTCATGTGTTTGTAATGGAAAACAATTCATCGACATAAGCAATGATCCAGAGGCGCCCTTACCAGTTTTGGAAACAAATCCGGCCTATTTCTTCATACATGACACATTCTACAACGATACTCGCAATCCAAAAAATTGCAACTATTCCGAAACAGTGCTTAACTGGGCACCTACAGCACTTGGTAAACAGGGCGAGAATTTTAAGGTAGCGACAATGGAGACGACCCGTTTTATAGATTTAACCGTCAGTCTAGGCACTCCGATGCAATACTTACACCACGGAAACTGCGAGCATCTGTTTGTCATCTCGCAACTGCAAGTTCTAACGCCGAAAAGTAGATGCGTGAGTCGTCAGACATTTTCACCATTTATGCGCTCATTTAACTATTTCAATCGTCGTACCTGCTTTATGTGTGGCTCGCGCAGATTTTATTTTATTGTTGAGAAGTCAAACCGACAGCCGTTCGACCCTACGTACCTGTGCCGTAGTTGTTTCTACAATTTCCACTACGTGGATGGTAAAAAGATAGGTGAATTCAAGGCATATCGTATATACGACCTTTCTGACGAAGTGGAAAATACACAAGATGAATACACCCAAAGCGATCATTCTTATGACGCTGATACCGACTGAACATATGTAAAGATATTTTGTTAGGATTCATTCTTTATTGTAATATATATTCATACGTTATATATTTTTATGTATTCTTCATACCGCCAAATAAAATACTGTAACAATAATGGTTGTTTTTTGAACGCGATTATACACTTCTTATCGCATATGTACATTTGCACTTTTAATAACACTACATATAGTTTATACATATATACGAATATCAAATTGTAAAATGTGTATACATAAGGAATCATTTGCAAATAGATAAAAATATCTTGAGCTACACTGTATTGCAGAGCTTACACTAACAATAATAAATTAATATGATTATGTTTACACATTACCTTAGGACACATCAAGGAGCTGTAATGTTTCTACACACATGTATGTATGAAAATCACCATCGGCAACGATATGGCGGTAGTAGACGAACACAGATAGTCTAATTTTGACCATTGCAATAACATTGACACTTATATTCGATTGTTACACTGTACATTTAAAGTAGCAATACAATGATAGAGCTGTTGCCTACATTTTTAAGTTTATATATAATTATGGTACAATTAAAAGCATACATGCTAATGTACATATGTTAGATTTTGTGCTTTAAGTTGCCTTCCAGCGTAAAAAACATGGAACAAAATTTCAATTAATATGTGCGCATTTTAGTTGCAACCAATTGCGATTTGGTTTAAGTTTAATTGTAGCACATCTCCGCCTGAATGCAGACAAGTTAGTATATGTTTTAGCCAGCTGCCTCGACATCTTTGGTTATTTTGTGCATTTATATTTTATTTAAAGCTTATACCAAGAGAGGCAGCATTTCCCTGCAATACCTTCCACTCTCTAACTCTGAAATACCAATTCACGCTCTACAGATAAATACTCAATCATTTGAGCAGGCACTGGCAATTCAGCCAGCTCCTCCATGGGCGTATGACGCTGTAGAACTCTACGACACAAATCCTGCAATTTAGGCATGTTGAGGTACCTACTAAGCGGATATTTTAAAATCACTGGAAATGGCGGCTGCATTTCATTTGTAACTTTGACGAAACACACGAAATTGTCGTTGGTACAGCGATGTAATATATCGTCAATCATTTCCACAATTGACTTATATTTAAGTTCTTCAAAATGCCAAAATTCATCCCGATATTCTAACCTATAGTGCAGCGTTACATTGACAATACGAAAGCTGAGTGTAAACCCACTGGTTTCCGAGTCGCGAACAAGAAAAGACCCTGTTGGCTTACCGCTCAATTGCCGCTGGGAAACCTTGCGCGAAATCTCACCCCAATACCACACTTGACTGCAACGATATACCAGTATTAATAGTAAAAAGTTACAATAATTGGCTGCATACGTACTTGAGCATTTCAGAGCACGCCTTATACATAACAAGATTTGGCGGATCCTGTCGCTCCAGCCATTTCTTCCTTATGAACCGCATATAATCGTGCGTAAATGGTAAAGGAGGCTCAATGCGAGGGCGTGCCAAGAATTCATAGGTTGCGTCGGTGGTACCACAATCCGCTTCACAGTCGTCGCCCATCGAGTGCCAGTTACGTAGTGAACTTAGGCCTAGGCCCATTTTCTTCCGTATGCGTTGAAAAAGTGTTTTTTTGTCCTTACGCTTCCGTAGAGTACCCCCCTGGCTACTAGTTGCTGCGGCTAATGACCCGTCCACGCTGTGGCTTGACCCAGCTGCATGCTCTGCCACGCAAAGGGGCTCGTTGTTGTTATTCTGAACCTGAGAAGCTTGTGCACCCGTAAAGCTGGAACAGGGCGAAAGAGTCGCTGTGGATTTTTTTCGCCTCGTTAAAGAATGAAGCCAGCTACGTTTTTCTCGTCCTGTTGAAGGCGTGGCGTCGCCTTCGCCATGCTCGCCGCTCATGTTGTTAAATTTAGAGATGGACTTACAGCCCGTGTTTATCACATCATAATTCTATATCAGAACTGTGAATAATGCTACATAAAGATAAGACCTTTGTTTTTGGTAATGACCCTGTACAACAAGGGTCTTTTGTGTATTTGACGAGTTGGCAACGCCACAACAAACACGGTGCCAATCGGGCCGTGAGTCCCTTTAACCCAACCCACACTCACGTAATATTAACTAACGAGACAATATTAACTCGTAACACAGCACTTATTTTGTACAATATTTGAATTAAAGACAACGATCCACAACACAGCCATTATGACCAGGCTACACACAGTTCTTCATGTTCAGACAACTGACAAAATAACTTCCAAAGGGATAGATCCTTGGGATGAAAAACTGGGGCAACAGATTTAGTTTAAACAAAATCAATGCTTCATATATTTTGATATCATTGAAAACATGCTATAAAAATATCAACAATTTCAACTGAATCATTTATCGATTAGCTCATTTTTTAAATATCGAGAACCCTCTGTATTCATACATACATACAATGTAATCATCTGGCTCTGAGCGCCTGCTAATTTTTGTCGTTTCTGAAACGACCAAGAAACAAAAATTCAACTTACTGTTTTATTAAAATGCAATACTCGGCCATTAAAGTAGATCTGTCGGACTTCTTCAGCGATAAGCGGAAGTGCTCTCTATTGCTAATCGACCCTGAGTGGAAGACAATAGTAAATCTGATTCAACACATCGAACATCTTTTCCATCTTGTAAGTAAACGCAAAATGCTTTTAGATTATAAATTACACAGATTTATTAATATTGGGTCGTGTTTATCATAGGGGAACATCAGTTTGCTAACAAACGACGGTTGTTTCCTTCCACCTCAAGAGTCTATCAAGGTGCTTTTTGCTCATTCGACGGAGTCGCTCAAGTAAGAACTACCTCCGAGACCTCGCTGTTGTACAGCTATTAATCTTTCACTATTGCAGGGCTTTCGTTTTAGATGTATGTGATAATGAGAATAGCTCAAATGTACAACCAAAACTCAGTCAAAAGCGCAAAAATCGCTCTATAGAAGATACCGACTTTACAAGCTCTACACCTAACCAACCAAAACGAAGTAAAAATGGTTCAATTGTCTCACTTCCACCTGAATCATATATTGACGATGACCGGCAGCACGTACAAGACGCATCGATCGACAGTAAAAGCTGCCTTGCGGGCCAAGCTAGATCCCAACCCCAAACTTCTACTGCTTGTGCAGATAAATCTATGGATGTTGAAATAAATATAACCCAAAGAGAAATTACTCGTAATGGAGCAAATGAAAGTAAAATTTCGCGAAAATCCAAGAAAAGCGCCAAATTAAATGGTGCAAAAGTAAATGACAGTACAAATTCGCACATTATTTTTAACGATGATGATACAGCCTCTACCACTAAAGATACATCAGCTGCAACAGAAAGTATAGAAGAAGCAATCAAATTTCGTTGCCCATTAATGGAAGTTGATCCTAATAAACCACGCATATTTAAATTACCACACAAGTTAAAACAAATAAAAATATTGGAGAACATTTTATTGGCTGCTCCACCTCCATCAAAAGAGAAAGAAGAGTCTACATATTCAGTTCCGCTTGTAAACGAAGGAGCAATTAAGAAATCTGGAGATGAGCAATCAATGGATGAGGGCGAACAACTTTCAGACGCTGTTGATATTATAGAAAATATTGAAAAATCAATATCGCCACCAATACAGGATTGTACAGAAGGAGAAAGTACGCAAATATATTCAGAAGATTCCGATGATAGCGTTATGGTGCTAGACGACACTAAAGTGGACTCTGACCCGGATGTCGTGCCTGTTTCAGCTGGCGAGGGTAATTCTTTACTCAACCTATATGCAATAATATTTTAATTTAATTATTTCTTAGATCATGACATGATTAGGGATCTACTGCTTGACTCAATACCATTAACAGCACTGCCACGTGTAGGTGACACAACACTATTTAAAATACCCAAGCAGAAAGGGTGCAAAAAGTCCGGATTTACCAACTATATAGCCGGAGTCTGCTCTTATGTCAATTCTCGAAGCAAATTAATAAGTTTTACAATTTTAGGTACGTATGTATATTCAAAACGTACAAAATATACTAAGAACCAAATTCAATTCAAATTAATGTGATATATGTATTTCTTCGCAGCATGTCCCTCGGAATTCCGCAGTTTTCTTGTTCAATACAGTACAAATCTCGAAGACTCCCGTGCAAATGTGTCTACGGTAAATTTGAAATTGAATGAACTTGAAGAGCCAAAATATGTGGTTCCGGCTCTAGAATAATGTAATCCTCATTGTTTGTATTTTCGTACGATCAAATCAAATACAACTAACATATGTGTACATGTATATTTTTTGCAAATGGCAAATATTCCTTCATTTAATGTGCTTCTTTATCTGCTCCAACAGTTCGTCAGCTTCATCGCCGGATTTGACACGCAGTAATAGGGGTGTTGGTTTTGAATCATCAGCGGTCGGGACACACACCATCATAACATTGTTCTTGCCCATACGCTGACAGGGCAAACCTTCCGTCAGTATAAGATTGACCAGAATATTGCCTAGATTTGTGTCGGCACGTACAAGCATCTGTGTCTTGACCGAATCCTTCACGGGCTTTAAGTACAAAGTTCCCACACCTCTATCAACAAAATCGTTGTCCTTTTTGACAAACACTTTGCAGCGCTTCGAATAGGTGGCATCGTCTTCCGTCACCTTAGTACAAATCAGTGTCAATGTATATCCTGTTGTATATAAGTATGATCTATATTACCTGTTTAAATTCCACTTTCGGTGGGGTTTCATCCTCATCATCAGCACCGCCATTTGTGTTAGTCGTCCCAGCCTGCTGATCTGTGGTCGATTGCGCCGGTTTTATGCCAAAAGAAAAAGACGTGGCACCGGGTGTGAATGAGAAGCCACTTGTTGATGGCTTTTCCACCTCATTTGAAGCCTTTGAGAACGAGAATGTCGATGTACTTGGCTTATCGTCGTTTGAAACCTTGGAAAACGAGATGGTCGATGTGCTTGGCTTATCGCTTTTTAAGCCAAAGCTGAAACCATTCGTTTTGGGAGGTGATGCAGCAGGCTTAGTAGTTGAATCTTTTGAGGCGCCGAAACTGAAAAATCCAGGTTTGGGCGAATCTTCAGTTTTCTGTTCAGAGCCAGCCGATGACTTGGCACCAAAGCTAAAGATGTTCGATGAAGTAGTTGATGTTTTACCAACAGTGCTTGATGGCGAAGCAGATGTGCTGCTTGCTACTGCTTGAGTATTTAAAAACGAGAACATCGCGCTTGTCGTAGATGTGGCACTGCCACTTGTAACAGTGCAGCTTGGCATCTTGCTGGGGGATGTCGTTGCAAGTGAGATGTTGGCGGATGTGGTAGCCGAAGTCAACGACTTGCCAAACGAAATTGAGGGAGCTGCTGGTGTAGCCGCAATCTCCTTCACTTCATTATCAACACCATTGCGTTCTTGCAACGCTTTTAAATGCTTTTTGTAGTCGTCGAATACGGGTGTAAGGATACAATGTGGAGATTTGTCCATATTTTCTTTTAGGAATTGCATAACAGCGAAGTTTAAGTCCGCAACCATTTCATAATACTCCGAGTGACTCCCTGGCTTCTCAATTGAAGACTTTTCACCTTGGGAAGATGTCTGAAACACAGCAGCCGATGCCTTTGGAGGCTGGATTTCCATTGCCTTTGCTGTTTCAGTTTCCTTCTTGGCTGATGATGTATTACCAAATATTGAAGCGGGAATGCCGGTACCTACAGTACTTGTTGATTCTGTTTTTTGCACTCCAAACGAAAACATTGGAGCTCCTGACTTGGGCTTATCGTCTTGACTTGTGGTGTTCGAGCTAGCCATTAAAGAGAAAAGCGGTTTCACTGATTCAGTAGTAGTCGTCGCCGGCAATTTGCTTAGAAAAGCAAATGGAGACGCAGAGTCTGTTTTTACAGCCGGCTTTGTAAAACCTAACAGGAAATATATGTAAGAGGACATATAACAGCACAATTAGGACTCTTAATAAAATGCATCTTACCAGAGAAACCACTAAATACACTTTTACTTTCGGTTCGACCAGGAGCGTCCCCTGAGGCCACGCCATCAACATCAGAATCAGGACGATTCATTTGCGGGCGGCGGGCCTTTTTTATAACACGCGTTTTCATCTCTTCCTCCGATGCCGTTTTAAAAGTCCCACGCTCTTCTGGCTCCTCCTCCAAATCCCAGTTTTGATGATTGAGATCTGATGTAGCCTGCCTTTTACCAGCCATTTATATATTTATTTAATTCTGAAAACCAAAAAATTGCTATAACCGCGTTCGCCAGCCCAGGCATAGAGATGTAAGTAAAATCAGCGATGGGACATATTGATATCTATAAGTCTCTGCGTTCACTTCGAAGTTAGGAGATATTCACATAACAGTTACAGTATAGTTCCCCAACTTTATAATCGGTAAAAATAGGTTCAATGTCAGGATGGCATTGATAATTTAAAAAAACCTTGTATCTAAGAAACTTTTTAGAAGAGCGTTGTTTGTTTAAATTTCTTAACAAACACGATGCAATGTAGGAATAGTGCTTAAAGTATCGATTTTTTGAGAACTGATTCGATTATACTTGTCCGTAAAAGCATCGACGCTTATGTCATCTCTAACGCGACAACGACGACGCCAGCAGCAAATTGCAAATTGCTTGTTAATAATTAAATATGCAATAACTAATTTAAAAAGTGATAGCTATGAACAAGTGGCAAGTGCTTTTGACGATCTTGAGTGCAGTGTGAAATGCTTCAAACAGTTGTGTGGCGAAAAAATGATATTTTCCATGCAACGCTCATTTCTGTACTCTGTTGTTAATTGCGCTGCGAGTGAGAATCGCTGCTTCTGCTGGCAAGATGAGGCGAGCAAGTGGGCGAGTCGTGTTCGTTTTTGTCGAAAATGTGTACAAAAATAAACAAATGTCAATACGTAAATAAAAGTGCACCGATTGCGATTTAAGCCGAAAAAGCAATGCATACTAAAGTGTGAAACATAATAAATACGTGAACAATTCCAATATACGTATGTATGTATGTAAGTATACATATGCACTAATACCAAAACCACTAGCAAGACACACATACACGGCAGGCTTCGTTGTCCTTGTTCTTGTCGGTGCTTGTACCATTCGTACGCTCGTGTGATCCTTCGTTGTCGTTCGCAGCGGCAGCTGCAGCTGTGCCGCCTGCCACCGCTGGGTTGTGTTCAAGTTGCACATAAAAAAAACGTTCACACACACATTTGTGTCAAGCCGTCAAGTCCTTTATTTCTTGCTGCTTGCACTGAATGCCGTTATCGTCGTTACCATCGTCGCATTCATTGTTTTGCTGTGCCCGTTCGTTTACTAGCTCGTGCGTCCTTGGGCGTGAGTTGTTGTTACTGTTGCTCCTACTATTCACTTCGTAGCGTACGTAAACCAAAATTAAAATGCCGCCAGCATTGATTGGTATCTCCGAGTTTGTGGAGGAGACGCGCGATGATTACAACTCACCGACTACATCGACATTTGCATCGCGCATGCCGGATTGCCGTCAAACTATTGGAATTTTGGAAGAGGTAAGTGCACCTGAACATCTAAAACATGTTAAAATACCAAACCGCTATACCGATAAAGTGCTTAGAAAAGTTCAGGGTGGTTCATAGATGAGGCATAGACTTTTATTTTGATTTAAAGAATAAATAATCGCTATTTATTTCAAGAGACTATTATTGAAATACCAAATATGTATGAAGAAATTTGTTTTTTAAGTTTTGGTGATTGTTAGGATGCCCCTTGTAAGGGTAAAAATGAAACAATTAATTTAGTGCAGAGAGAGCCAAAATTATAAAAATAATTGGCCCTGTGCCAAATAAGCTTGCTGCCACACGAATTCCGGGCTATTGTAAAGTAGAAGGGTCCACATTTCCATACGCCCCTCTCAGAGAAATGACGTCGTCGTTTACAAAGCACATCTGTCCGCCTACTCAACAATTATAAATGCGATGCAAGGTGGTTTTCATTAAAATTTAAAAATAAATTCAAATTCATATTTTCTTATATCACTGCACCGGGTTAGAAATGTTTTGTTTCCTGTGCCACCGCGCCCTTCGAGTTACTATATGAACGTGGTGCACTTTTTTATTTTTAGCTAAGCTCATGCAGCTGTTGCTCCTTCCTCCGCTGCCTATTTTATTATTGTTGTTCTCGTGAGTGAAGTTTATGCTGATAAAGCACTGTACACTCATACTCGTTTGTGTATATACTTATGTATATATACTGTGTACATATCGCTTGCTTTGTACGTTCTGTTATTCTTGGGGCCGGAAGGACAGGCGATAAAGTGGCAAATTATTTGAGTATGTGTATAGTCACACTTACTTATTATTCACTATACAAGTATCTGAAAGAATACGACTGCCCTTGTATTTGGAACAAGTGACGTCTGATAAGGGGAAGCCCAACTTCATTATACACTTATGTGCATATAATACATTCTTCTATAGAACATAATTGTTTTCCTAAATCTCTGCGCTCCAATTCTTGCGATTTTTGCTTAAAGCGTTGCGGGCGAACGCTAAAATTAGCAGTCGGTACTCAGAAAATGCGCTACATTAGCTAATTTATTGAAACGGACTGGCTACGTGGTCGCGTCACCTCTTGATGAATACAAAGCATGCACATATGTACACACATTTAACTGATACATATTTATGCATAAAAGTAGCATGTTCAATAAACGTTCCAAATTGGACTCTGCACCCATGTGAGTTCTTAAAATAACCCCAACTTTTACGAAATTTGAAGGGTATGTAGAATCCAGAGCTTAAGGATATTGAATACCTTTTATATTTCCTCCATGTTTATGTATGCTGCAATATGATAATGAATTTTGTTCAAAACTAACTAACTAGATTTTTCGTGCTCTACTGGAGGCTAATAAATTGAATGTGAAATATTTAATTTAGTTGATGGACTTTTCTGCTGCTGCCTTTTCACCGCAACCTAATGACCTCGTTCGCTTCAGTTCTGAATGGGCCAAAGGTGTGTTTTCGTTTTAGCCGCATTAAATGCGTGTGGACTTTTGATTTAGCACGAACAGTAAAAATAACAGACCAATCAAAATAATCTTTTATTGCTTACGATTTTATAAAAACTAAAAGAAAACCAAAAATGTAAATATATTAGCATTGGCGCTTTAGTTCGAGAATTTATTCACATTATTTAGTCATACTATACTATATATTCAAAATTTCTTTCAACACAAACTAACTCATCCAGACGTAGCGTGAATTTTAGCTTATTAAAAAAGTTAGCCTTTTATTATCACTGCGCTGCGTTCAAAACTCGATTGTGGCAAAAAAATAAATAGTAAAAAAAAAAACAAACAAGCAAAAAACCAGTTAGTTAAGCTGACCAACGTGCATTGTGTTTGTATTTCTTGAAAACCTTTACACATGTATATGTACATATTGTTAATACTTAGTAATGGCCAATCATTGTTGGCTTTGGCATAAATATCGAATTGCCATCATAAACAAATTCTTTTGGAATGTAGATTCTAAACACTTGCACTACTTTAATCTAATCTTAATGACAATGGTCTCGGTTAACAGTTTTACACTACACTTCAAGCATAGAATATTTCCAATTCTTTAAGTTATTTAATTGCTTCAAATAGTTAGTAGGTTAGTATATTGTCTAACAATTCCTACTTCCTACATTGAAACATCTAAAAACTGATTGTTGTTTTCCTTATTTCCCCACATTCTTTAAAGAGCTTGACACAATTGCAAAAAAAAATGTTTCATCCACTAGAATGCTCAGTTCTTTGCCTGTTAACACACATTCCTAATACAATTTTCTACATATAATTTAATTGATACAAATTGAAGAGTCAATAGTTCAAATGCAATGTGAGAATAAGTGCAGGGACTGTGTGTAGGGGGAATTTTGAAATAGATTTATTATGAGTTTTCCTATTTATATATACTTAAATAGCTTTCGAGCATGTAGCAATGTACATTGGTAGAAATTTGTTTACACTTTAAGTGATACTTATTGTGTTGCCATTGATATTAGTTAAGAATATCACAGAAATGTTGCGCGTAAGAAAGGGGTACAATATTTTCACCGTCATACACGTAGATGTAGCACGGTTGAATCAAATGTGAGTTATTAAACGTAATAACTGAAATGACCTTGTCGCAAATTTTAAATTGCAAGCAAACGTCACAAATACATACTTGTATAAGTATATATATATGTATGTATGCGGAGGGGAAATTGACACAAACATGCACAATTGCTTGGAATTGCAATCCATCTTTGTCTATGGAGAACTAAGAACTAATTATATATACGAACTAGTATGCAGTTTCCATATAAGTATATACTTATAAAATTAAAAAAGGTTGCGTTTTTATCTTATACAAATTACAGCCTGCCAATATATGTGTATGTTTCTTTTACCACAAAAATCTCATCCAGATCTATTTATATGTATATATGTATTTGGTGCATTTGGCTATAAAAAAAGAAAAAAAAGAGAGAACTCTACAGTCGATCAAGCCCGAGGGAGGAGTGGGGGGGGGCCCATCGCAAAAAACTCAAACTCGTACTTTCTCGGTCTTAATATTGGTTATTCTAGCTCTTATACTTTCTGAGATCCTTGCATACAGACAGACAGGACGGATGGACATACCGACATGGCTATATCGACTCGGCTTGTCACCCTGATTAATAATATATACACTTTGTGGGGTCTGCCACGCCTCCTTCTGTTTGTTACATACATTCGCACAAAACTAGTATACCCTTTCACCTTTTGGGTACATGGTATAACAAGTACATGCGTTACATTCGGCATGGTGAGCCGAAGCTTATATATATATCCTTTAAAAAGTTCTATAAACTTACTTACAAAATATATTGTAATTGTCAGATTTTGTTTAATTATATTTTATTTTGCAGCGTATTGAAGATATCGGTATAAAAGTCCACCAGTCTAAATTTGTTTCAAATATGAAATTGAAAAAAGAAAAACCTAATTAAGTAATTGAAAGAAATAGGTGAACATAATGAAAATTGTTGCTTCACTTTCTTTTGTTTTAGCGCCTGGAGTTCGATCGCGAGGGATTAACCAAGCTAAAGAAGGCCGTTAAAGCCATACACAATTCTGGAAATAGTAAGTTGGCAAATAAATTGCTGGGTTATGTATCTAATCTATATGCTTAACAGCACATGTTGATAATGAAATGTTTCTGGTGCGAGCTCTGGAGCGATTGGGTGGCAAGGTAATTGATCAAGATGAGCCTGACATTGGTGCAGCTTTTCTCAAATTCTCCGTGGTCACCAAGGAGCTCAGCGCCCTCATGAAAACGCTGGTAAGCGCTAAAAAATAAAGCAACCAGAATCCCCGTCTCTTCATATATGTGTAAATATTAATCTTTCGACAGATGCAGAATATCAATAACATTGTCATGTTTCCGGTGGACTCAATGCTCAAAAGCGAACTGCGTGGCGTTAAGGGTGACATGAAGAGGCCCTTCGATAAGGCAGCCAAGGACTATGAGGCTAAGTTCATTAAAATAGAGAAGGAGAAAAAAGCTCAGGCCAAGGAAGCGGGGATGGTACGCACCGAAATCGACGCCGCAGTTGTCGCTGATGAAATGGAGAAAGAGCGTCGCCTTTATCAGCTGCAGACTTGTGAGGTGGGTGTTGTGTTGTGATACTTAAGAAAACATTATATTTTAAATTTGACTCTTTTGACGCGCGACTCTTATTCGCAGTATTTGCTGAAATACAAAGAAATCAAAACAAAAACTGGCATCGAGTTACTGCAGCATTTCATCGAGTATTATCACGCGCTCAATAAGTAAGTGTGCCTCTTCGTGTGCGGAATACTAATGCACCTTCAATGCGAGCACTTTTATATAACTATGATTTCGCTTGCTTACTACACTCGCAGTTACTTCAAAGATGGTCTACAAACCATCGAGCACTTTGGCACGTACATTGGCGATCTAAGTGAAAAGCTGCATGTAATTAAACAGAAACAGGATGAAGATCGTCGTAGTCTGCACGATCTGCGAACGCTGCTGCGCAGTACACCGGATTTTGAGCGCGTTGACAATGCAGCGGCGACAGCATCGTCGGAAAATCGCGGAGCCAGCAACACAGGCTACTCACTGCATCAGCTGCAGGGAGATAAACACCATGGTGTTACTCGGCAAGGTCACTTACTAAAAAAGAGCGAAGGAAAGGTCCGTCGTGTATGGCAAAAGCGGCGATGCCGTGTTACGAGTGATGGTTTTTTGGACATCTTTCATGCGGACGAATCGAAGCCACCGACACGCGTGAATCTATTGACTTGTCAAATCAAACCGGTGCCGGATGACAAGCGCGGCTTCGATCTTATTAGCTGTAAGTCAATTTCGTTGCACATAAACGTAAACTTGACGTTGTGATTTAATTACAGATAACAGGCCGTACCACTTTCAAGCAGAGGATGAGGTGGATCAAAAGGCCTGGATGGCCGTGCTGGTCAATTGCAAAGAGAAGGCACTTACAAAGGCGTTTCAGCATGCGAATCCGCAAATGAGCCCCAGTTTGGTGGAGCTTCAAAAGACTGTGATCAGGTATGCAATCAAGCACAGATCTAAGCCCCCTGTTGTTATCTTATTTTTCCTACCTGTCCGTCTCCCAACAGATACGTCCAGTTGCTGCCGGGCAACGATCGGTGCTGCGACTGTGGCTCACGCAATGATGTTACCTGGATAAGCCTGAACTTTGGAATACTCGTGTGCATACAGTGCTCGGGCGTGCATCGTGATTTGGGCGTGCATCACTCACGCATACAGAGCCTCACGTTGGATAACCTTACTACCGCAAATCTTCTGATAGCGCGTGCCATGGGCAATAGTACGCTTAACGATATAATGGAGGCGACGCTAGGAAGGGGAAAACTAACACATGAGAGTAGCATGTAAGTGAATGTAATTATATTTAGTTGAAATGTTCTGTATTATTTTGCTATTTTAAGGGAGGATCGATACGACTTTATACGCGCTAAATATGTGGCCAAACGTTATGTAATGCGTACCTGTTCCGATGACAATGACCTGCGTTGCGATCTGGAACAGGCCATTGTCAACGCGGATATGAGCCAGCTGTTGCAGGTCTGGGCCGAGGGCGCTGATCTCACCTGTTGTCTGCCCTCTTCAGATGCGGGCGAAACGGCATTGCATCTAGCTGTGCTGCGTGAGATGGGCTCGACGTTGCACATTGTCGACTTTCTCATACAGAACATGCCGCCTAAGGGCTTAAACAAGGCCACAAATCCGCCCGGTGTCCTAGATGTTACAGGAAAGAACACGGCTCTGCACTTGTGTGCGCTGCACGATCGACGAGAGTGCATGAAGCTGCTATTACGCTCAGGTGCCGACTACGAGTTAAGAAATTCACAAAATAAAACAGCGCTCGACATTGCCAAAGAGATGGGACACAATGGCTGTAAAGAGCTGGTAAGTGAAAGTATTTTATCAGATTAAATGCTGTGATTAATTATGTATATCTTACATTTATTCTGCTCAGATTGAATGTGCCATAAAACGAGAGAAGAGCGCCTTTGATCATATTAATACAGATTGGAATCTTCCTAACGAGGATGGGTCCACTGACTTTTCTGACGACGATACTGTTATTGATGAGCGCGTAAGTTGCTATCGTGGATCACGTGCCCCTTGTGCATTCAAATATACCCTTTGTTATTCTATTTCAGAAATCTCGTTCACGTCCGCCCAGTTTTGCTGGTGGTGACTCGCCCGTGCTGCGCTCACGATCGTCCACGTGTGATTCCATACAGTCTAGTTCTAGTCCAATTGCCAACTGTCCGAGTCGTCAATTCACGCTTCCGTCCGGCCTACCCACCTACACGCAATCCGCAGGCACCTCACCCAAGCAACACATCACCGTTGGGCAGTACCTGGGCAGCGGAGGCAACGGTGGCAACGGCAATGGCGGCGGTGGCGGTGGCGGTGGCTCCAGTCCTAGTTCGGCGTCCAGTCAGAGTGTGCGTGCGGCTCGGAATAGCATGAACATGAACGTGCAGAATGAACTGGCACACATAACTGGAGCACGGAAATCCACATCAACGGCTAACATGAACTCGCTAAAGAAACGTACAGCGCCGGCGCCACCGCCAGGCACAGTAAGCAATGCGGCCTCCAGTTCATTTTATGGCACACTGCCGCACCCGCCAAGGCACTCGCAGAATTTTGATGCCAATGACATACGTGCTATTAATCACAAGAACCAATCGTTGGACGTGGCTTATGGTACATTACCACATCTGCGCTCTGTGGAGAGCAGTCCGCGGATTTCAGGTGGGGGCGGAAGCTTTGGCTATGACCGATACGATAAGTCTGCTGTCTGTCAGGATCCCGGAGGCACAGGCAATGGAAGCAATAGCAATCTTATGCCAACAATGACAACTTTTGGTCACAAGCGCTCTCCTAGTGGCGAGTCGCTTAATCGTAATATTCATTTGGCCGGTGCCAAGTTAGTATTGCCTCCAACAGGGGAGCTCCCCACGCTGAAGCATGTGGATAAGTCGGCATTGACTCGACCCAAAATACCACCACCAGGACCTCCAGCAGGTTAGTGTATGCTCTTTGTAATAGATTTTTATTGTGTTCCTCTATTAAGATGATTTAGCTCTTTCTGAGTAAAATTTAAAACAGTTTTTCTAAACATCTTCACATTCTGTCTCGCAGAACGAGAAATATCCAATGGTCAATCGAATGAGAGCATCAGTTCCATGGATGAAGGTCCCATAGCGCCGCCGCGCAAAGTAAGTAACCCCTATGAATTTGGAGTAAAAGCGCCAAATAGTATAATTTATCACTAAGTTGTCCCTACCGTCTTTGTGTCTACGAGAATAGAATAACTTTTTAATATGCACCTTCTAATGTATTGTGGCAAAATTTCAGCGTAAGAACCAAAACTTGTTAAGAATAGCGCAGTCCAGCGAGGAAACGGTAAAGAATTCCGCATAAATCAATTACATAAATTTTGTGCATTCATTTTGCAAATCGCATAACTTTTCGCCAAAAAGTGTTCTGTTTTATTTTTGCTACTACTACTACTTCTTTACTAACTCATTGATCTCGAGCGACCTCTACGCTACATACTAATTGGCATTGCGTCTTGACCGTTAAGTTATTTCTACTTCTAACAATTGCCGCATTTTTATGTTTGAACTCGATGTTTAAAGCACATCGACAATATTCACTGTAATTCCATATTCGGGTTATCCTATTAAAATATTATAATTTATATATTAAATTAATATTCAATCAATTTACAATTTTAGCAATTATCTACGGATATGTTATTGCCTATTTTAAAACATTCGCCCATACGATATGAATTCAAAATCTAGTAATTGAATTGTGGCTTATAACAGTTCAAAACTTTTATTAGTTCATATATTCGTGTTTTTACATATAATATTATAAACATATTTTTGAAGGGCACCTTTATGTAAACACTGTAAAAGCGCAGTCTAATTGTTTCCTATATTTTAACTTGATAACTTTAAAATGGATGACAGTGGATGGAGTGTAATTTTGATTTTGAATTAACAAAATGTAATAATTATCCGTAAACTTACCAGCTCATGAATTTCACGCACTACGATTCCTGGCAGACGGATATTGATTCTTCTGGCGGAGGGCTGGATCATTCTGTTTCATCGAGCGACAATGACCGACTTAACTCGTCTCCTGATAATCAAGCGAAAAGCGGACTGGGAACAGCTACCAAATTTCACCATGTAAGTAGAAAACCCAAAAACAAACATACATACATATATTCAAAATAATTCCAATGTAATACTCGCATCGTCTATTGCAGAATGCTCAACGGCGCTGTCGCGCTCTTTACGATTGCATAGCCGATAACGATGATGAACTGGAGTTTAAGGAGGGCGAAATACTAATCGTGCTTAATGAACGCACAGATGATGAGAACTGGATGGAGGGCATTATAGAGGGTCAGCCAGCGCGACGTGGCATGTTTCCTGTTAGCTTTGTGCATATGCTCCCCGACTAAATGTAAATGCAACTCTTAAGAAATTTGAGTGTTTTTCAATCGTAATATTAAATAGGAGAGATGGTTTATTTATTACATCTTTATAACACAAGTTTAAGAGTACACTGCATTCTCCTTCAGTGCAGCAATTGATTTACTCAGTTTAAATCGTCTATGAAAATAGAGCAGACGGCACAGATGCATACAAAATAAATGCTTAACGTCTCAAGTATATCAAACTCATTAGCATTTCATTTTAAAAGCAACCAAAACTATTAAATTAAATTTCCTATATATTTTTTAATTGATAATTCATATTTCTACATTTATTTAAACCTAATATATATTGATTGAGCTACATATGTATAAGTAGACGCTGCTATGAATTGCTTTTAAAACTCAAAATATCCTGCAATTGTGTTATAATGTGTAACTAGCTACCATATTTACCTAATTTGCTAGCCTAACCAACATCACGCTGTGTGTAAAAGTTACTCCTTCTGTAAAAAAAAAAATCAAATGAAATTATGTAATGATATATGCTTAACTATACGCTGCCATATATTAACAAGAATAGCCGACCTGGTCTGGCGTTTTAAGTTACATAAAATATGTAATACTGTTGATGGATTTAAATGAAAGTTTATAAAACAACGTTATGAAAGTTTTCTCAAATTGAATGCTGCTTATCGCAATCGAAACGTAAAAATGGAAACAAAAGTATATTTGAAGCTTAAATGCAACTACAAAGTACATACATATTATCAAACTACAACAAAAAAATTAATATATATATATATATATATACATAAAATAATATACATACATATATAGGTATATATATAATCTTACATACATATATAGCCCCCTGTACCTAGAAGTTGTTACCGATTAAGTAATTTCAATGCGCTGTCGAAAGAAAAACCCAACACAAAGATTTCTAGACTTGTTTTTACATTGTTGTACACCAGGCACACATCATAATTTGAAATGTAAATTGTATATACCTTAGTTTATTAATGTGTACAATTGCAACACAAATGTATTCTTTTATACTTTTTCAGTATTTATTTAGCAAAAACCTTAAATTACAATATACATAAATCATATTTTAAGTAAAATAAAAGAAAAGATCAACGCTTATTCAATTTATAGGATTTTAATTATTGTTGGGGAATATTGTGCGTTTCGATTGTTATCGATAAAACGTCAAGCGGCTTGAAAGTGCAGCCACCATATGGTATTTTTAGTATATTTTTGAAGCACATTGAATGCCAGATATTTTTTCATTCAACGTAGTGTGTAAACACTTATCTTTCAACAAAAGCAATTTATAGTTTTCATTTGCCAGAAAATCGGATTCTTCGTAAATATACGAAGTTTGTTATTATGCCAATACTTTAGCGTTATCTAAAACGTGTATACAAAACGTGCAAATTGGATTGTAGCGTAGCAAAAAATTGCTAAGTGCCTTCTCTTGAAGCGCTGCCAGCTTCTAAATCTAAACGACAGCGACATAGAAGTGCGAAGCTGAAGAAAATTATTGCATATTAACAAAGTAACCCACAGTAGACACATAAACATTTGTTGTGCTGTAAGTCGATCTTATTTGCATTCTGTTTCTTTAAACGATTTGCACAGGATCGAGAACGAGAAGACACGAAAGTTAGAGCCGTAGCTGAGCGCAAAGGGCAGGGAAAAATAAGGTAATCGCAAAATATTCGCGAAAGCAGGCACTGCTGAAAAAGAAGGGGCCCCGGGCCCAGTTACTATGAGTGCCGCCAAGAAATATAAGCCTATGGATACAACAGAACTGCACGATACAGAGAATATTGCTGCTTGCATCAAGAAGGGTGAGAACACCGCATTAAATCTGGGCCGCAGTGCTTTTGGTGCCCAAAATATGAACTCTGCGTCCACAACAACAAACGGTGAACGGTTGCCAAACTTTTCCAAACTGAGTGCACAACATGGCAACGATTTACGTTCGACATCAACTACCTCAAATCTTCTTAATCGCATGGGCTCTAATCATAACAGCAAGCCAGGTGATGTCAAGAAGATAGTGATTAAGAATTTTAAGGGTAAGTTGCTCCGTAGTGTTGATGCAGTGTATTTTGTTATAGTGTATTTGTAAATTCTGCTTTCAGCTAAGCCCACACTGCCCGATAACTACTCCGAGGATACTTACTTGAAGCTTGAGGAGGCTGTTATTGCTATCCAGCTATCGAAGCCTATCAAGTATTCTCTTGAGGAGCTTTACCAAGCCGTTGTGAATATGTGCAGTCATAAAATGGACGCGCAGCTGTACGCAAAATTAAAGGAGTTGACCGAGCAGCACGTCAAACGTAATATCAAGTATAAGGAGCTCACCGGTGGCAGCATTGATAAATTGGTAAGTACTATATCGCGTTAAAAATCACTTTGAATAGCTATTAATGCAAAGTCACTGCCCTCAGATTTTGCTGGAGAAAATCAATAACTGGTGGCTGTCGTTTTGTCAACAAATGATTATGATACGAAGCATATTTTTGTACATGGATCGGACGTATGTGCTGCAAAACTCGTCGATTCACTCAATATGGGACATGGGGCTGGACCTCTTTCGCATACATTTTGCCCAGAACAGTCTGGTGCAGAAACGCACCGTTGATGGATTGTTAGCGATGATCGAAAAGGAACGTCAAGGCTCCACTGTGGATCGTGGCTTGCTCAAGAGTCTTGTGCGCATGCTGTGTGATCTGCAAATTTATACCAACGCATTCGAAGAGAAGTTCCTTGATGCCACCAATCAACTGTACAAGGCTGAAAGTCAACGAAAAATGCTGGAGCTGGAGGTTCCCGAGTACTTACAACATGTAAACAAACGTCTTGCCGAAGAGAACGAACGTTTGCTACATTATTTGGACTCTAGCACAAAGTAAATTTAGGCTTTAATTATAGTTACGATAATAATTTGACTCTATCACTCTACCTGCAGACATCCGTTAATATATAATGTGGAAAAGGAATTGCTTGCCGAGCACCTAACGACAATATTGCAAAAGGGCCTTGATTCTTTACTAGAGGACAACAGACTGAATGATCTAACACTTTTGTATGGTCTGTTAAGCCGAGTGAAGAACGGCACTTCAGAGCTGTGTGGCAACTTTAATGGTTACATCAAGGTAAATGTGTTTATCATAGAAAATGGCATTGGCTTATAATTCATTTTATCCGTAGAAAAAGGGACGCACTATTGTTATTGATCCCGAGAAGGATAAGAGCATGGTGCAGGATTTGCTCGACTTCAAGGATAAAATGGACATAATTGTGCGGAACTGTTTTGAGCACAATGAAAAGTTTACAAATTCCTTGCGCGAAGCTTTCGAATTTTTCATTAACCAACGCGCTAATAAACCAGCGGAGCTCATTGGTATTTATTCGAAATATTTATAATAATACGAAAAATATTAACATTTTACACAATTCGCAGCTAAATATGTGGACATGAAACTTCGTTCTGGAAACAAGGGAACCACCGATGAAGAGCTTGAAAAGACCTTGGATAAAATTATGGTATTGTTTCGCTTCATTCATGGTAAGGATGTATTTGAGGCTTTCTACAAAAAGGTATGTACTTTACAATTTGTGAATAATGTCCCAAAATTTGCATTTATATATTTTTGTTTACTTTTTTAGGACTTGGCCAAGCGATTGCTTGTTGGCAAATCAGCATCTGTTGATTCTGAAAAGAGCATGCTGTCCAAATTGAAACAAGAGTGTGGTGGCGGCTTTACCTCCAAGTTGGAGGGCATGTTCAAAGACATGGAATTGAGTCGGGACATTAATTTAGCATTCAGAGGTCACACACTAAGTAACGATAGGGATGTCACCAATCTGGACTTAACTGTCAACATACTTACTATGGGCTATTGGCCAACATATCCACCAACAGAAGTCACAATGCCGCCCCAATTTGTAAATCCGCAGCAAATTTTTAATAAGTTCTACTTAGAGAAGCATAGCGGACGTAAACTTCAATGGCAGCCCACCCTGGGCAATTGTATGCTTCGTGCACATTTCGATGCGGTAAGCGTAACACTTATATGTTTTAATCACAACGACATATATATTAATTTATGGTGATCGAAAAGGGTAGGCGATTGAAGGTTGTTTTAGTTTTTATTATTTTAATGTTTACGTAATTGATATCGAAACTTTACCTCGAATATAACGTAATCGCCAAATAAAAAGTTCACTGAACAGTCAGTCGAACGGACGTGGCTATTTCGATTTATATCGTCATACTGATCACAATATGCTCTTAATAAAGCAGAGCAAATAATATTATCTCGTAGGCCGTATTAAGTTTAATGGCATTAATCATCGTCGTACTCAAACGCTGTCTAGCTCGAGGTACCAACCCCGGCCGGCCCCCGTGGGGTTATCTGTAGTTAATAGCTTAACAAAGTAAGCTTTTGGCACTAAAAAACAACATTTTTTCTAATAGGCTCCCAAAGAGTTGATAGTCTCATTGTTCCAAGCTCTGGTACTGCTGCTGTTCAACGACAAGCCCACGCTAAGTTATGAGGAGATTCTGGCTGCGACCAACATTGAAGTAAGTGTTGCGTGCTAAACCAGCGCTTTTTTGCTATATACGAGTACATTTATATGCTTTGCAGGATGGTGAATTGCGACGTACAATTCAATCCTTAGCTTGTGGTCGGGCACGGGTCATCACTAAAACGCCAAAGGGGCGGGATATTGAGGACGGTGACCAGTTTCATTTTAACAATGAATTCACAAATAAACTGTTTCGCATAAAGATAAATCAGATACAAATGAAGGAAACGGTAAGATATAATTTCCCATAGGCTTCATTGATTTGTTGATACGATTTCTTCTTCATGTTCAGAACGAGGAACAAAAAGCCACAGAGGAAAGAGTTTTCCAGGATCGTCAATATCAAATCGATGCAGCTATTGTACGGATTATGAAAATGCGCAAGACGCTTAGCCACAATTTGCTCATTACCGAGCTCTTCAACCAGCTTACATTTCCTGTCAAGGTGCGCATTAAGTACATCAGTCTAAATACAGATTTTTAATGTTATCTCCCACTATTACAGCCTGCTGATTTAAAGAAACGCATTGAGTCGCTCATCGATCGGGATTACATGGAGCGTGATAAGGATAATCAAAACCAGTACAACTATGTGGCATAAGCACAGCATATTGTCGCCGTCACAGCAGAACGAGAAACCGATGAACTAATATATAAACATCAAGTAAAATTGCAAAACTCAAATAACAGATTGTCAGTGTCTGGTAAAAATAGGAAATGCAAATTTGGAGACCGCAGTATCCGCAAGAGGACACGTACATATATACATATAGTTTTACAGGCTCACGGATAAATGTAGTCCAGTTACTGCAGATTTTTTGTAAGTTACCTTACCATGTAATAAATTAGGCGTTTTATTTAATTAACAAAGCAGAGCAAACATAAATGAAAATAATTTAAATTAAAGTCTATTGGAATACTAAGATTACCATAAGCCCCATACAGCAATATCGAAAGTGCCCAAGCCACATACAATGAGAGCTCGATGCGTTTCCGATACGATTGGCAGAGAGTTACTCATATTTTGTTTATTGTTTCTTCATGAACCAATAGAATCGGGTCTAAACGCAGCGTCTAAGGACATATTTTTAAATAGAAGATTTAAAATAACTTAATTATGATATGTAAAACGCAAAATACGCATAAATAAAATCGTTTTTATTTCTGATGAATAAAAAATTATGTGTATAATAATGCACTGTGTGTTTTTACTTTACTACATAACCTAGTATCGAGCGTAAGTGCATTGGATTGAAGCATAGTTGTATATCCACGTGTTTATACTTAGTTATATACAATAAAGAATTACGATTATTTACAATTAAAGAAATTAGGTTAATACATTTGTTTAGTTAATAAGGGCGGGAATTATGATGTAAAGCAAGAAGGAAATGTGGCGCACGGAAAAGGTTGCCGGGTATCACAATTTGTCTCTCTTTATCTCTCTTCAAACAAGAGCGTTCAGATATCAGTTAAAGTTATAACTTCAAAGTTCTCAGCGGCATATACAACTCTGAGAAAATACATTTAATTCTTCGATTGCTTGCAGTTCAAAAACTGCCAAATACTTTTCAGACACTATTTAGCCTAATATTAGACCAGCACACAAAATTTCGCTTATGCCTCTACACTGTTGACACTATACTGAGAGCTGTTATCATAGTCAGAAATGCTGTCGGACCCATAGCCCCCAAAACCGGCAGCAGGGCGCCCGCTGCTGCTCCGTATCGTATGATCTTTGAGAACATCGGGTACGTATGCGGGAGCAGGACCCGCGATCTCAACAATGCTTGGGCGTCGTGTCGAGGCACAGCGTTTAATGGGAGACATGAACGTAAAAAGTGTTAGGGTTACAGCTAGAGATATTAAAAGTAGAATAGCCCGGGCATTGCCATCTCCGCGAAAATAGAAAATCATGGACATAAAAAATACAGAAATCACCACGCTAAATTTTGTCATTGTCACTGCAGTTGAGTGAATCTTGCCACCATGGCGTGAGATCATGTTCGACGGTCCATAAGCAAAGTAAAGGTTGTGCCGATCCACAAAATGCTTAAAGCATATGTACAGCATAGCGAAGGGCATGATCAGGGGGCAGAACACGCTGTAGACAATGGAAATGGTAAAAACCAGGGTGGTCCAGGCGTAGTGTGTGCCGAAGGGGAACTCAATCAATATGGATCTGCGTATGTACGGCGTCTCTGCCTTAGATGTAGCTGTCACCAATGCCCAAATATAAACTATCAACTCTGGGAATCGCAGCAGTTCCAAGGAGGTACCAATAAAGCCAGCAGTGATGACATAATTTACATAGAAGGAGCCACGATCAGGCAAGAAGATACACTGCCAACGTCCAGTGTCGTTTCCAAAGCCCCATTCCAGAAGCGCCTGTGCTGACGTCAATCCAAGCGATGGCAATATCAAAATCATTAGAAGCAGATACCCAAAACATTTAACCATAATCGAGTAATTCTGTTGGGAGCGCGTATAATGTGACATCCACTTGTCGGAAACAGCCACAATAACGGGCATAAGCGCCGACAGCGTCCACAGCATTAACGTAGGCAAGAATTCCGAGACTAAGGGCGAAATTCTTTCCTCTGTTCCCTTAATCCATGAAATGTTATCCAGCAGATTAACCACCATCACCGGTGTGGTAAGGAAGAACAGTACGAGGAACAGCACAAAGTTTACGCAGAAGAGTTTCAGATACCAATGGCTTTTGCTCACATTTAAGTGTTCCCAAAAGAGATCATCTGGTGAGGGAGCAAACTCCAGATTCCATTGCCGATATGTGCCGGGCGTGAAATGGCTAACTATATTTTGGGCCTCCTGCACAGTGGACACTGTTAAAAAAGCTATAGACAGTGGTTCATTCATTGTAGAAGCTCGCAAACGAGCCACATCGCCAGATAGCTTGCGCTCCTCACGCTGATAGTACTCGAATGCATTCTCCTTTTTGCATGAGCACAGATCTGGCTTGGCCTGTAAACATAACATATTAATACGGGCAAAGTTTAAGGAGTGAGGCGACCTACCATAAGGGTATCACGATCTCGATGCTGTTCGCAGTATAGACGTGCCTCATGCACTTTTTCAAATTCCGCATTCTTCACATACAAACGCGAAATGTTGTACGCTACGCTTACACTCTCAATGGTTACGTCCGGAAACAGCTCCTGCATATAGTTGCGGATTACAGTTTTATTGCGATCACTCGGCGAGATGTTTGTTATCATAATCGTGCGTGTTGCGGCCTTTTTGAAGGCATTTCGTCCAGAAGAGCGACGCATTATTAACACAACCAGCGGTATGTATAGAATGGTTATAATGGTGTGTACCCAAAGCCAGGCAGAGTCCGGTAATAGGTTGGCCATTGTTGTCCGCCCAAACGCATTTACATCATACGGAGTGTTCTTCGGCCCATTCAAAAAGTTGACTGGCAAAATAATTACCAAAGAGATTATACAAACAATTGCCATGACTGCCATTAGATGCTGCTGAAAGGACAAGTAATGAACCGCATCAGGGCCGGTGTGAAGCAAAATAGTTTCCTTGCGTAGCTTGAAAGTGATCTTAATCCAGCCAAATATCCCCTGGTCTGCCGGGATAGGCGAAAGAGGAGTTGTGTCTGAATTGTTTGAATTAACACTTGGCCGCGGCTGGGCATTTTGCTGAGACGATGTGCTCGGCTGCGGTTCTACGACGCTTGAGGTACGCGAATAAAATACTTCCGTCCAGCGCTTCTTGCTGCCGTTGCTATTGACCAGGGCCAAGCGCCCAAAGTCGCCAGCTTGATGACGTAATGTGGTGAATAGCAAAATGAATAGAACCCAAAAGATCGTGTTCAATATAAGAGTCTCCGGTATGCCATTATAGGCACTGGTGAAAATTGATGTGCGGTTGTTTGCTGGTATGCAGTACGATATATTGTTATTGCCATTATCCTCAATAAAAATATTATTCATTTTTTCTCTTTAAGGCTGCAGATTTATCGCAAACTGTTTGAAAGAAACAGACTGAAATAAAAAAGACATTTATTATTTGCCATATCTTCAGACTTAACATTTGACATTTTGGCATGACTACTAGTGGGAAATACGCGCAAAGTTGATAAAAATTGTAGTGAGCAACTAATATTGAAGACTTAACTGTGGCGATTCTTAAATGTAATGCATTCATAGACAGATAACCAATACCACCGACCAAATCAAAAAAGCACTTGTTGCTAGATTGGTGTTATCAAAATTTACCACTATTTGTTTAAGTCCCCTAATTGAAATAAATCAAATCTTTTATCTAGAAAGCTCTGGATGCGGGCTCTGGACCACTATACATATGTACAATATAGAACATCAGAATTGCTTCAGAGATTACAATAGCAATAGTTGTTTATTAAAATACATTGTTAGTGCCGAGTCCAGTTGAGTTGGCGCAGGCCAGATAGATTTATCTTAGTAGGTCAGACAGTTGGTCAGATGTCTGCAAGAACTAAACAAGTCAAAGTCTTTGAATCATAGAGCAATCGTGTGCAACTGCATATTTAAAAAAAAAACATGCATACGTATTACGTACATATGAATTTGGCATCACAAAGGCTATACATACATATACGTACGTACATACATATGTGTATACCTTATCGACGATTTTAAACTGGCCTTACAAAACACATTTGGTACAAATATTATCAAAACGTACCTCTACACGTATGTTTATAAGTGGTTTTGCAAAATCAGATAGTTAATTATAGAAAACAGCTTGTTTCGCTGGAATTATAGTCAAGGAGAGTAGGAGGAGGAAACTGTCGCTACCACCTTTTACATTCATGTTTTCTGTTTTGCATGATTCATCAAATATATCGAATTTTTCGCCGTTTCTTTTTCATACATGTATGTATGTATATATGTATGTTCATGTGCGTAAATTGCCCAAAAAGCCGAATGCTAGTTGTACAGATGCCATTCCTTTACAATGTTTTCAAAAACAAATTGCGTTTCGTCTGCGTTGGCAAACTTTCTTTGGCTTCATTTCTTTCGTCTAGTTTGGCTTTGTTACGATACCTTTAACTGTCTCGAACGCACACGGTTGCCACACGTTTAGTACCTGGCCAACTTAGTTGTAGATTGCGATTCTCACTTTCTATTTATTTTTTGCAAATTAAAAACTCGTCTTTGCTACGTTCTGGCTTCCATAGGCGTATTTGCTGCTGAAGGTAATATCAATATCGATGTTTTTGGCGATATGTTTTTACGCTCATCTCCAAAATACAGTCCGTGTTGTAAAACATATTGGCAGGGATGCTTTGAGCCCTGGTGCCTCCGTGGTTATCGTGAAGAGTTTTATTAAATAAACACATTTGGCGTTTGTATTTGATTTCGTTACTTTTGCGTCAAAATTTTTGTTTTTAAGTAAGCATTTATATTTTTCTTTTTACACAACTGTTAAGTATAATTTGTATTTTTTCCAAGTCTTTGCATACTTTGGCCACCAATTGAAGGAAAATTTGTTTGTCTTAGCACATTTGACGCCAACATCCACAACGCAGTCTGATAGCCATTCAGTCACGGAACGGCATATTGCAGCAAGATGCCAGTGACGAGCCCAAGGAAGAACTTGAATTTCAAGATCCAATTGTTGTCGGGTAACAATGTCGTGTTGGTGGAATGTCCTGGGTTTGAGAGCGAGTTGTTTATGCCGCAAATTGTCAAGGGACGCATTACTTTTCAAAACATTATACCCAAGCGCCGATGCTGTGATGCTGCCAACATGCACACAAATCCCATTATATTCCCGCGTGGCATAAGGAGCAACGTCACAATCACTCCAATGCGCAACAGTCAGGAACATTTGATGCTGAACCGCGATAATACCACTGTAAATACTCCTCTGGCCAAAAGCACGCCAACGAGCCTAACATCTCTAAGGCTGAGAGCAGGCAAGGAAAATTATTTGTCACCGCAAATGACGCCGGAGCAAGTACGAGCAAGTTGCCCGGTAGCCGATATACCATCAACAGAAGACCTGCATATGCTGAATCTTAGCGCTCCTCGTCTTTCACAATCAGAGATGCCTGCTTTCGATACTGGGGTCGGTTATACAAGCCATTCACCGACCGGAATGGGACTAAACTTGGGAAACGTCAAATCCAGAGATCAAATTGTGTGCGACATTGCGCGCAAGATGCAAATGCCTCTGCGTACTTACTCGCGGCGCAAGCCAAGCAACACAAATACGACTCCTACAGCAACGACGAACAAACCCAAGCCCGTCTCTTGGTCGCCCCAGAAGAAGAAGAAGGTCTCCACTAAGACCCCGAATCCTGCTATGAAAGTGGTAATACGCACACGTAAACTTATAGTAGACACCAAGAAATCTCTTGGACCCCACGACCCTAATAAAATAGTGGAATCCCCCGTAACTAAAAGGAAGATTATCAAAAAGCAGGTATCAGGCAAGACGCGCAAGCAGTTCGAGGCCTTAAAAACGACTGCATTCGACTTGATAACTACACCTCTTCACACAAACATGTCGGGGAATCTGCAAACACAATTCAAGCTTGCTTGCGTTAATAAACGGTCCACAACATTACCCAATTATGCCGAAGTAGCAGCCCTGCCGCCCCTGCAAGTTGACCGTGAGGTAAAATTGCTGATTGCAAAGGAGAAACGTCTAAAAAAGGTTAAAACGACGAAGGTTTTGCCCATGGCAACGTTGCTTAAAGGCAAGAGAATCTAAAGCTGGCAGACTCCGACCTCATGTGTATTTGTGAAAACATTTAAATCCGTAGCATTGGCCTACGCAGTGGAATTGTAATGGTTTTAAATCGTTTTTACAAATGCTGTTAAGTGTTTTGTAAATAATCTTCTGTATATGTAGTAAAATGTACAAATATAATTTAATGATCTATCGTTCTGGCGATGTGAAAATCATTAATGCAATAATGAAGCTATGTAAATCTCACTTTTTCGACTTAAGTAGTTTGTATTTTTATATAGTAAACATAAAATCTCACGATCTTTAATCTATTCTAAACTACATCATAGAATTCTTATTGATTTCTACTAAAAAAAAAGGAACACATTCTTTCTAATTTTATGTACAATCTCAAAACTAATATTCTAAGAAAACTATATGTATATATTTGCTAATTAGTCAAGAAATATTCAGGCAATATGTATATTTGGTTATTATTTGTACGACACGGATTTGTGACCTGTCCAGAGCTACGGGCTTCCGCTGCACCGAAAGCAGGCTTTAAATGCACGCTTTATAGCGCGCATATTGTGTACGACTTCTTCCTGCAAGTCAAGCTCTTTAGTATTTACTTAAAGTTGATAGCAAATAACCTGCACTAACCTGCATTAAGTTGAAACACATAGCTATAAGCGCCATGCCGAGCAGCAGATAAACAGCACACAGTATAAAACTTAGCTCGACTTTGTCTTTATCTGCAGTTACCTGTTAATGTATTGATTTAGAATGCAGTATATCTGTACGTATTCATATATATTTACCACGCGGTCGCCTGGCACTAAATCGCCAAAGCCGATGCTGCTCAGCGAGATGAAGCAAAAGTAGCTGCCATCCAAGTAGTCCCACTCCTCCCATCGGCCGAACAGAATAGCACCTGAAAGAATATAACTGCATGTGCCCAATATTTTATATATATGTAGATGCTATTGGGTAAATACTGATGATTAGCTCACCTGACCATAACAAACACACACACTGTCAATGGCACAGTAATCTCATCCGTACTGCCGCGAATCTCACGCTCTATATCCGAATCCAGCTCACCACTAAAGGAAGCCTCAAGAGTACTGGATGTTTGCAATGAGCTTTTTGTGTATTCGCTGGTACTTTCGGGGCTTTCGGTCATGCTGGCGCTGCTTGGTGTGCTGCTGGAGTAGGAATGGCTGCTACTGCCACTAGTGCCCTGAGCATTTTCCATTTCGTGCAGCCGCATCTAAACAGATAGATTAGTAGAATATAATATGACGATCAAGGAGAACCTTTTCATACCGCTCTGGCCAGCTGTCGCATCTTGCGACGTTCCCGTATTATGCGGCGTTTTGCTACGCCCGGGCAGATCCGACACAAGCACACTTTGCTGTAGATCCATTTGAACGATTTTGCCAAAACATCACCGATGTTGGACAGGTAAAGCAGAAACAGCGGCATGCCAATGATGGCATACAATATTGTTACCAGTTTACCCCAGATGGAACGTGGAGCGATATTGCCATAGCCAATGGTGGTAATTACCGTCAGTGAGTACAGGAATGAACCAGAGAAGCTCCACTGATGATCGACATCTGGGCCGTCCAGTTGTTTTTTTACTACGGACCTTTGATAGATGAGTAGTGCCTCATTGACCCTGAATAGGGGGGGTTTAATATATACTTGTATATTTAATGTTTTTCCAAACAATAAAGATACTGAAGAGCAACAACTCTATTGTTCATACCATTATAGAATATAAATATGAATAAATTCGTGATTACCTATTTTTAAAACAATTTCTCAAGGTTAAAACCTTATTGTTTAAATAAGGGAAGAGATTGAAGTCACTTTATAATCTTAATAGGTGAAGCAATAATAATGCAGAGCAGGATATTAGTAAATACAAGTATGTTCGTAGCTTTTGGGATATACAAATCGTACCAAATGTAATTTAATGACTTTAACTTTCTAGAAGACTTTGGAATATGATCTTTGATCGTTGCAATATCTATATAATCAAACAAGTTATTTATTCAACAAATTTATGTTTGTAAATTTGGTTTTGTATTTGAAATGTGTATATAAAAAAGAAGCCTTATTGCAAAAAATTTAATGCTATTTGTCTTTAAATATTATCTTTTCACTTTTCATTGAAATCAATTTTTACCGAATTTGAAATGTTGAATTTACGTTTATGCTTACCGCTGTCTATAGGCATTGCGATCGAAAAAGCTTATGTTTTCGGCTGTTAGCTCCCAGATGCGTGCTAGACAATCGCTCGTCTCATTGCGTATTCGAACTGGCTTGACTGTTTTTTGTCTTTCGTTTTCGAATATTTCTATCGCTTGGAATATGAAGGCACCTATATAAGTAGGATTAAAAGGCAATTAATATTATAAATTTGTATAATTTTGGGTCCGTTACCTCCAATGGTATAGAAAATAACTAGCAGTATAATCCCCACATTACTAAACATAAAAGCAGTAAACTGGCGAAAGTGATCCTTGAAGCGCTCGAATGGCGGCTTGTCCCTGCGCCGGAAGGAACTGCGCCTCGAGGACATCTCTGCGTCGGTATTTTGTGAATTTCCTCAAACACTGCCCCACAATGCAGCTAGGGCAGTTGACTCTGTTACAGCGTTTGGGTTTGCGTCCTTTTGGCGACCGCGTTAGCTGGGACATGCTTTGATTTTGGCGTTTTGTTCATTGAAACTGATTGACTGAAGTGGTGGAAATGTATTATGAAAATAAGAAAATAATGTTGCCAATTTGGAAATGGAAAAGAAATTTAAACTAAATATAAATTATTACCAAGCTACGAGGCTGTCTTTGCTACGCCAAAGCCATAAGCCATGTGCTGTGTTGTGCAACAATAACTATTTTAATTTATACTCCTATTTCTCTTTTCTTAATTGTCATTACACAGATGTAATATTAAAAAAATTTTTTATAATTTATTATTTCTTCTTTGCAAGTCTTTGCGAAACCAACAGCGAGTGTTTTTAGAAATTAAATTAGAATATAATCTTAGATTTGTCAGGTAATGGTAATGGCCATTTAATGTTAGGTTTTCAAATCAGCTAAAATATTAGTAAACAAGTCCCAGAATCACCGATAATAAGAAGCTTCCCAATAAACTTGAATATCAGAAGAAGGGGGAAAATGTTACTTTAACAGAAAATTCAACATCATTGGAGGTCGATATCAAAGATTTTCAACAGTAGGGAATCGAACTGAAGTCGGAAATTTTACGACTTGACCACGTCTCTGAGAACTCAATTATTTTATATTCAAATAAAAAATAGCCACGCTAGGACAAAAGCAATCTACGATGTAATACTACGTGAAAAGGAACGAAAATATAGTTTTTGGAATAATTATACAGAAGCATATACATACATAGTATTCTGCGAATGTGGGAAATCATTTGTGTTTTTGAGGATTTCCTTAATTATGGCTTTCAACTGAAAATGCACTGTTTGTTGGCCGTTAAATAAGTCTGAATTATCGCACTAAATCTATTGACCGGATCACTATTTAAGTGTGTGGGTGTTTTATTTTTGTGGCAGGGATTAATGTGCTAAACATATACCCGTAAATCGTGCCTTTCCCGCACAGCCGTGCATACACATAGAATTGTGTTTTGGCGCTAACGAAATTTATTACACACGTTGGTCAATTCCTAAACAGAATATTTTATGACTGTGTCTGTCCGTGTGTCTATATGTCCCTGGGACCATGTATCTGTTTGTTTGTTGCTACAAATTATATTCAACTAAACAACGAAGTGTGCTCGGTGGTTTGTCCGATATTTTATTTAAATTATAAGACATGACGTCATTGATGTTTTGGGTGCTTGGCACCTCTTGATGTACTCAGTCTGCTAAGAAATCCAAATGGGATCTATTTGGATTACTTGGAAGTGAGTACACGCGTGTCCTACTCCATAAGCGTGATGGAAATTTCTTTCGCTCTGCTTCTTCTCCTCCGATTTTCGTTTTCATTGATATGGCATTTTTATGTTATTTTTAAAATAATTCAATGGATTTATGTATAGAATATTTTTAATAAATGAGCAACATGGAAATGAATTATTGGACTACATTTGGCAGCTGCACGAAGGCAGTGACGACTACAGCGATAGGGTATGCGTGTGTGGCATTTTGGCCATCTCGAGTGGCGTCCAACGGTTGGCGGCTGGATGTGTCGGCATTGTGGCGGCGGTCGGCATGATTTGTTTGCGAAACCGAAAGCCGAGTGACACTCGTTAAGAATTAATGGCGTGGCATGGCATCAAATTGGAAAGTTCTCAGCGATGCGTTGTCGTTGCCAAGTGTTTGGGGCCGCTGCTGCTGCTGTTGGCACTCTATAGTTTTTGTGTTTTATATATTTAGTGGGTGTGAAATAAATTAGTACTTATTTTCATACACTTCTGTATCAGACAGGCAAAAGTCATTTGTCTAATTTGTGGTTTTGATGCCAGATTTCGCTTTCCCTTTTATCTGAGTTTTTTTTATAAAAATTCAGAAGTCGGATCGAACAAAACTCGAAATTTGCTTAAATTAGTATATCAATCTGAAATTAAGTCTAACGTGAAAATTATATTTTTACAGACGGATCTTTAGAGTTATCGACTCTTGTATTCCCTGCACAAGTCCGCTCCACCACAATCCGTTAACATTATGAAAAGTTTAAAAATACCAAGTTTGGTTGTAAACTTATAATATATAAAATTTATTTTTTCCATGGAAGATACTTGAAATTAAAATGCTAAATACATAGTTAGTGATAAACTTGACCCGCTTATGAATAATACAAGTCTAGGTTATCTGGTTCAGGATTTCTCATACTTTATATCCCAATATTTATATTCTCCTAACTTAAAAAAATCACACGTTTGTGTTTTCCCTAAATTTCCATAATATTCGATGAATTTCTGCCTAATTTACCAGCTAGAAGCTTTGGTGGATCAGTTAAAGAGACATGGTTCCATTAATGTGCAGACCCAGACCTGTAGGCTCTTTATTTATAGCCACATACAAAATAGTGCGAAATACCGGTAATATCGTGAACGAATCGAGCAAGTCGACTACAACAACAATAACAAAGCTGGACGTGAGAAAAACACGGAAAACCATAAATTGAAATCAATTTGCAATGGAAGTCTACATTATTTACACAGCGCAAAGTTACGCTGAAAACACACACTGAACATAATTAAAATGAAAAGAAAAGAGGAAAAAGAGATACCAACACATTCGGAGCGCGCCAAGAAACAATACCAATTCCATTCGGATGCCTGCGAATGTTTTTCAAAAATTACAAAGCAAAATATACAAACAGGCCCACAAACAAACAAAAACACATTAGAATTAATTGGTATGAATGGAAACAAAAAGAGATGCTCTTCACCATGTTATATTTCGAATTTGATTCAATTAAACGATCGTAAAATTTGAGATTAGCATGCATTGGAAGCTGCCAATTCTCAAAGTGCGAGTACATACATATGTGTGTGTACATATGTATTTTCTTATACGCCTTGGCCTTAAATGGCCGCATTCTAGATTTGCGTCGAACCGCGCTGAACCAGTTCAGTCAACCGGGCCTAAAAATCCAAATTAAAATTGTTGTTAGTTTTTTAAAGAAATCGCATTTTGCAATTTTTTTGTGCTTTGGAAATACACAAAATATTCCATTGAAATCAGAAACAACAGGTGATAGTGAGTTCTTATAGTTTTTTTTCAGTATTTACTGACAAGTATTTTAAGTATTCAAAGTAAACAAGTTTTACGATTGTTGAAAATATTTATATAAGAGTACACAGTACAATATACATGCATACATAGGCTTAAAAAATCGACTATTTATAATGTTGTTTCTAGATTATTATATATATATATATATATATATATATATATATATAATTTTATAGGGCTTTTCTTACTTTTTTTTATTACTTAATAAGTTCTCTGTGTATTGTTTTATATATAAATAAATTAAAAACAACAAGAAACGAATGCTGGACCACAAAAATTAGTTATAAATTAAAAAAAAAAAAAATTTTTTTTGAAATATTAATTGAATAAATTATAAAACGTGCATAGAGTCGTAGAGTTTTCAAAGAATGCATTTACATACTATGTGTTCGTATGTGCGGGAGCTATGCAGAGTTGACCGTTATGGCTTTACTGTCCTTTACATTTGACATATCATTGACAAAGTTGAGTTGAAAATTACCAAACACTAAGGGAGTTATGGATAGACGACCATTTCTATATCGACTCGTCTTGTTAAGCTTATCAAAAACATATATACTTTGTTGGATCTGCCACGCCTCGTTCTGTTTGTTTCGCACCTGCTAGTATATCCTTTTACCCGCAAGGTACAGGGTATAAAGAATGATGAACCAGTTATTTTCAAGGAGCTGAACTGTTCAGCGTTGTACTGAACTTGTTCTAGATAGCCCAACTCGTATACAAACATACTTGTATATAAAATCATCTTGCACACTTAATTAAACGACTTAATTACGGGCGCACATTTTTACATACATACGAGCACATCTGCATGCACTCTTTGAATGCAGAAGCGACCTGTTTTATAGCCAATTTTTTGGCATTAGGCGGCACTGCAATTAAATCATAATTGAATATGGACTTTCCACATTCTCATGAATTCTGCACTGACATGTGTCTACGCCAATTTATTCAATTTGAAATGGAAAGAATTTCATGTTTATTAGATTTACGAGTATTTCCATCATTGCCGAATAGCATATAAGTTCTATTGGATCAGCAAAATGGTCAGTAGACGCTTTTGGGATTCTTGGGAATTACTTGGTCTGAAAGTATTAAAAACAATCATAATTTTCCCTCCCCCTTTGCTTTGCTGCCTTTGTCGAATAACAGAACCATACGAAATCAAACAAAAAACGCAAAGAAAATAAATGAAAAATAGGCAAGACATTGAGGGGCACATGTTTAATTCTCGTGATTAGACGAAAGATCAAAAGCTAATTATAAAGAGAGAGGAAATGGAAATATATGTTAATGTTCCTAGGCCATGCAGATGCTTGAAATAGTTGTTCAATTTATGATTTGAACTGCCCTATAGTTTTGATTATTTTATATTTCGATTTCTAGTGCAAAATCTTAAAATGCGTTACAATTGTTTGATGTGTGTTCATTAGAGCATATACATACATACGTAAGAACAAAATTCTTATTTACTTGAAAATCTAAAATATACCGCTTAAAAAAAGCATACAGTTGTGGCGCGAAAAGTTTATGCAATGCCTTTACCTGTCGGGACCCCCGCTATGTGGATTTTTGAATTTTAAAGGCGAAAATTATATGAAAAGCTACGTGCAGCCGCAAAATATTTAAATACATACATACATGAATACAAATATTTTTCGAACTTCAACTACTAGTATTCATACCTTTAATTTTATTCAAATTTCTTTTGAATGGGGTGTATACGTTGCCATAAAATATCGACTTTGTCCTAATATTAGAGCTATGTATGTGCTCTGTAGATACCATCTCTCCTATCGGGAAATACAGTTTTTGTTTTACATTTTGTTTTGTTAAACATACTTATTTTCCATTTTCGGCATTTGCGGTCTAAGAGAGTTCCTAACACAATACACTGATAAGCATATAGAGTGCAAAATTCAAAATGTGACTAATTAGCTTATCGACTTCATAAGTTGATGGGTTCAACAATTCAATGTGATTACTAAATTTCCTTATCTGTACAATACTTTTTATGAGACGTGTCCCCCCCATTGTGGTAGGTGTGACACATACGCACAGGTAATGAATTTCAGAGTCGGAGAAGAAAAAATAAATTTAAATAGAAAAATTAAATATGACAGACAGACACAAAATGTTAAGTGTCAACAGCTACACGAAAAGAGATTTTAAAATTTAATTATACCCCAAGAAAATGCCTTAGAAACATCATCCAAAAAAGATTGTCTGTACAGCACATTTGCTTACAATACTCGTAAAACGGAAAGCAGGCATTAGGAAAAAGTGAAACAGAAAGGAGAACCAAATATGAAATCTTGGCGACGACACCAATTGACGGAAAATACTTTCCATCTATTTTTCGCCCAATTTTGTCTGACAGAACGCGGAGACGTAATAGTAGACAGAGACTGTTCGCTTCATTTTAATGTGCGCCAAAAACTAATTTTCGTGCATTGACCGCTGGCGCGTGCATTCGCATTCTGGCCAGGAACAACGACTGGACCGATTGTTGCGTCTTGGGCGCTGCGTTGCCAACACTCCCAGCGATTGAGGCCAAATGAGTGACGCGTGCGTGAGTATGACGATTGCTTCGACTGTTGCGTATACGCAACGCCATCCATTAATTGACCAACCATTGGCCAACTGCCATTGTAATCGTTATCTCTTACTATATACACAAATTACAAACTTGTTTATTCTGGACACGCCACCTCATTTACGTTCTGTGACGGCTTGCATTGCTGCTTTTTGCCGCTTTTGTTTTTGTTATACTTGTAGATGCCTCGCCTCGGCTGCTGATTCGTGTTATTCCTTGCCAGATGCTGCACACTGTGCGCGACTTGTGACGTCATGAACGCGCAGTCTCGCTTTTCACTGTATCGGTTTGTTTTTGTGCGCGTCTCGTTTCGTTTATTTTAGCAGCTGATGTGTTTTTTTGGAATTATATATTTTTACTTTTACGCTTTTTGGCTTGTGGGCTTGTATATTTTTTTATCGTTGTTATTAAAAGCGATTTTAGGATAGTTTTTGCACATACTTTATGTATAAAACTGTGAAAGTGTGACATGATACACTTTTCAACTGAGCTCTCAACACAGACACGCACTTACGCTTTGTTATTCCCTTGTCTAAGTTGCGGCATTTTCTGTTTGTTTTATTTTTAAACCAACATCACATTATTTCATTGCCACACTCTGGGATTGTGACTCCGACGTGCTTGCGCGCTGGCTCCGAACCGTTCGCCTTCGCCGGAACAACTGCGAAGACGACGACTACCGCATGATCATGCTACCGGCAGTGTGTGCTGGTTTGGGAAGTGTATAATACATTAATACACAGAGAAAAATATAGCACTAAAAATATTATTTGGTACCCAAAACATATCAAATAAAAAAAGCTTCCATGTAATGACACGAATCTAAAAATCGTCATTATGGTATTCAAATTGTTGATGGCTTTGTAGACATTAATCGACAGTATATACTAGGGTTGGGCAACAGGACACGGCCTAGGATAAGCTTTTATAGTAAAACACGCCTCAGCACGGACCCACACGATGATTTTGGATTTTAAAAATAGTAGAGAAAGCGAAAATAATTCTAATTGCAAGTATAGGTACTTCCGCATATGAGAACAGTGGCAAAGTTTCGAGCAATTTCACCACCTCTATCCGTTTCTTTTATATTAAGAAAAAAATACATATGTATATATAACTAGAGAGGCATAGATATTTTTAGATATATCTGCATCAAAAATGGATTAATTATATTTTCCATAACTTTTTATTTTACATTTGGTACTGAACTATAAAAGGTATATATGTATTTATGTAATGAGAGCTTAATTGTGTTAGTTATATTAACATATCAAAATCACAATATGCATAACCAACAATTATTATTATTAGATGTTGGAAATATCATATAAGTTTTCCTTCCGTGTATTGACATACATACATGCGCAAATATAGACGTCACAACGTATTTTAATATTTACGCCTTCCCTGTGACGTCGTATAATTCATTGATCTTCTTGCTTGTGTATGTGGAAGAGAAGGTACTGCTTTATTTCTCTTAAAATGTTGGCAAGGAGGTTTCTCTTCTTTCAGAAAACGCACGATGTTCTATGTTTCACATAGAAAATAATATTAAAAACTTAGTTACCCACGTGCAGATATCTGTGCAAAATGGGTAAAATTGTAACGAGGATTTAAGGCATTTAAAGTATATGGTAATATTTATTGCTATGATAAATATGCAATATATGTGCAAGTTTTTCCTGAAAAATTGCAAGTCCTGGAGAACACCGATCAGAATCTAAGTGAGTTTTTTGATTAAACCAATCAATACTATTGGTAAATATATTTGTGCTACCTATAAATATATAAAAGTCTGTCTAGAGATTTACCTAGTCTCAATATGAATAAAATGTACACCTAATTCACATGAAAAATATGAAGGTAATTGGTTCCTTATCTCTAAAAAATCCAAAAAGTATGTAATGTAAATTAAGTGTATGATGCAAGTTCAGGAACTAAAAACAATAATGTAAGCTTGAAAGCCAGCTATGTTGTTAAATTAAATAAATAAAATAAATAAAAAATAATAAATATAATATAATAAAATAAAATAATAATAATAATCATAAATACAGAACATAAATTTAATTTTGAACTGAACTCTCTCTGGCTCGTTCGCATCTACCCATAGAAGAATGGTTTCTAGCTGTTTGTGAGGTGTCTGTTTATATTTATTTGTGTTGTGTTATTTTGAATAGTGTTAAACGGAATAAAATTGAATAAAAAAATTAAATTTTTTTATTTTTAAGCCGTGTTTAATCAAAACCGTGCTAAAAAGATCGTGCAAAAACAGAATTAGGTGTAATTTATCAGAAATTTCACAACCTAATTCCACAATATTTTTATTTCATTTGTCAGAAGTTTCACAATTTAATTCCCGTTTGCCCTGATTTGCCATCACTTAAGTACTTGGTATGAGAATCGCAGAGGAGGGCGGCCACAATATTTTTTTTATTTAATTTAATTATCAGAAATTTCGGAATTGATTTTTATTTAATTTAATTTATCACAAATTTCACAATTTAAATCTCGATTTGTCATCACTTAGGTACTTGGTGTGAGAATCGCAGAGGAGAGCGGCCACAATATTTTTATATTTAATTTAATTATCAGAAATCTCAGAATTTATTTTTATTTAATTTATCACAAATTTCACAAATTAAATCTCGATTTGCCATCACTTAGGTACTTGGTATGACAATCGCAGAGGAGAGCGGCCACAATATTTTTTTATTTAATTTAATTATCAGAAATTTCAGAATTTATTTTTATTTAATTTAAATTATCACAAATTTCACAATTTAAATCTCGATTTGTCATCACTTAGGTACTTGATGTGAGAATCGCAGAGGAGAGCGGCCACAATATTTTTTTATTTAATTTAATTATCAGAAATCTCAGAATTTATTTTTATTTAATTTAATTTATCACAAGATTCACAATTTAAATCTCGATTTGCCATCACTTAGGTACTTGGTGTGAGAATCGCAGAGGAGAGCGGCCACAATATTTTTTTATTTAATTTAATTTATCAGAAATTTCGGAATTTATTTTTATTTAATTTAATTTATCACAAATTTCACAATTTAAATCTCGATTTGCCATCACTTAGGTACTTGGTATGAGAATCGCTGAGGTGGGCGGCCACAATATTTTGATACCCTGTACCCGTAGGGTAAAAAGGGTATATTAGGTTTGTGCAAAGTATGTAACATACAGAAGGAAGCATCTCCGACCCCATAAAGTATATATATTCTTGATCAGCATGACGAGAGAAATCGATCTAGACATGTCCGTCCGTCTGTCCGTCTGTCCGTCCGTCTGTCCGTCCGTCTGGATGAACGCAAGGATCTCAGAAACTATAAAAGCTGGAATAACCAAAGTTGGCATCCAGATTCTTCTAGGTCCGAGTAAGGACGAGTTTATTTTTTTTTTTAATTTTCCCCCCCTTCCCCCGCTGCAGAATTTCGTCAATAGCGTCCACATTTCAAATGCTACCTAAACCAAACTTTGCACACATAATTTATATATAATTGTCTACTGTTGTTCAAAATTTTATTCAATTCGGTCAATTCTAAGAAAAGTTATTAGCGAAACAAATTCTCGCCAGTACAACCCCACCAAACTGCAGCAACAAGTTCGCTCTTCTTCTTCCTCTTTTTGCTGCTGCTATGGGCGCATATAACTCAGTGACGCAAGTTTACCTGGGTACAGGGTATTACACTGTCGGGCTTGCTCGACTGTAGCGTTCTCTCTTGTTTTATTTAATTTAATTATCAGAAATCTCAGAATTGATTTTTATTTAATTTAATTTATCACAAATTTCACAACTTAAATCTCGATTTGCCATCACTTAGGTACTTGGTATAAGAATCGCAGAGGAGAGCGGCCACAATATTTTTTTATTTAATTTAATACATCAGAAATTTCGGAATTTATTTTATTTAATTTAATTTATCACAAATTTCACAATTTAAATCTCGATTTGCCATCACTTAGGTACTTGGTATGACAATCGCAGAGGAGGGAGGCCACAATAGTTTTTTTATTTAATTTAATTATCAGAAATCTCAGAATTTATTTTTATTTAATTTAATTTATCACAAATTTCACAATTTAAATCTCGATTTGCCATCACTTAGGTACTTGGTGTGAGAATCGCAGAGGAGAGCGGCCACAATATTTTTTTATTTAATTTAATTATCAGAAATCTCAGAATTGATTTTTATTTAATTTAATTTATCACAAATTTCACAACTTAAATCTCGATTTGCCATCACTTAGGTACTTGGTATGAGAATCGCAGAGGAGGACGGCCACAATATTTTTTTATTTAGTTTAATTTACCAGAAATTTCAGAATTTATTTTTATTTAATTTAATTTATTACAAATTTCACAATTTAAATCTCGATTTGCCATCACTTAGGTACTTGGTGTGAGAATCGCAGAGGAGAGCGGCCACAATATTTTTTAATTTAATTTAATTATCAGAAATCTCAGAATTTATTTTTATTTAATTTAATTTATCACAAATTTCACAATTTAAATCTCGATTTGCCATCACTTAGGTACTTGGTATGAGAATCGCACAGGAGGACGGCCACAATATTTTTTTATTTAATTAAATTTTTCAAAAATTTCGCAATCTATTTTTATTATTATTATTATTATTATGGAATTAAATTTATCAGACATTTCACAACTTAAATCTAGGCTGGCGATCACTTAGGTACTTGGTATTAGAACCGAATACACCTAATTCTATTTTTTTAAAAAGACATTGATCATATGCAAAAATATGTAATTGGTTCTTTATTTCTAAAACCTATTAAAATTTTTGAATAAAACAAGTAATTTCATGTTTTTTGATATATCTCATATATAAAGTGTATTTACACAAGCATAGTTATAAACGAAAAAAGATATGCGCTCTAAGCTTAAAAGTATGTGATGTAAATTAAGTGTATAACAAGTTCTGGACTAAAAACAATTATGTATGTATGTGTGAAAAACAGCTATGTTGTTAACAAAAATAATAGGTTATTCAATTTGTAAGGTTAAAAAAATTTAAAAAATAATTAAAATGATAATCATAAATACAGAACATAAATTTATTTTTTGTGTGTTTTTAGTTTTTTGTGTTGTGTTATTTTGAATGGTACTAAATGGAATAAAGTCGAGTTAAAATTTTAAATTTTCAAACCGTTTAAAAAAGACCGTGCAAAAACAGAATTATGCAAAGCATGAATAGCTAAAAAACACAACTTCTTTATAAGCGAGCAGAGGTCTGTACCTATTCTAATTTTTTTAAGTTCTCACAGACACTAACTACTGCAATAGAAGTTTATATTATGTTTTATCTATATTTCACAATATGTATTTCTATTATGCAGCTATTGTCTATTTTTTCTCCTTAATTTTAGACTTGAAGCCGTGCTCCAGCAACGGTGCCACATCCTTGGGCTCTCGATTTCTCGTCTCCGGAAGATATATAAAGGTCAGAAGGAAGCCTAAAATGCAAACTATTGCACACGGCATAAATGCAAATGACCCTACACTGGCTTGCGCCACAGGAAACGCCATGCTGCCTATAAAGTTAGTGAGCCAATTGAATAAGCTGCCCAGAGCCATAGCGGCAGCTCGTGGTGGCACTTCAAATAGTTCAGATCCAATAAAATAGGGTATGGACGCAAGGCCGAAGTTGAATGAAATAATGTACATAGAGAGAAAACCTATGCAGAGCATAGCCACCACTTGACTTACAAACTAGAAGTTGGAAATTAATTACAAAAATAAACTCGAATAAAATGGAAACATTCAATTTGATCTTGGGCTTACCTTGAGTCCAATACTGAGAAGCGCCAAAAAGACTCCGGAGAAAAAACATGAAGTCATCATTAAGGTGCGACGATTAAAACGGCCCATAAGAAGGGGTCCTAAAAGGGCCACACACAGGTTGAGCATACCCTCTCCGAAATTCAGCCATAGGGCCACAGTTAGCGAGAAACCAGCATCAGTAAATATGCCCACAGAGTAATACCAGATCTAAAAGAAGCCTTGGATAAAAGATACTGGGGCTACAATTTTCATGCTCTCTTATCACTTCTTACCACCGAAATTCCGCTGAACTGTTGGACACTGTGAAAACCACAGACCAGGATGAGTGGCATGGTCAGTTTCCCATTTTTGATGACAGCGCACATGCTGACTCTTTCAACATTTGGCGTCGCTTCCATTTCTGCCAACTCCCGTTCCGCACGCTCCGACGTGCTGCGCAGACGCATTAGAGACGCTTTTGTGCGGTCCACGTTACCTTTGGAAAACAGATATCGTGGACTTTCGGGGAAAAAACAGGCTGGCACCATACCAATTAGCACAAACAACCCGAACGCAGCCAATGCGAAGTGCCACAACCCGTCCGTACCCAAGGTGAAGTCAAAGCTAAAGATCTGCCCTAAAACGATGCCTCCCGTAATGCCAATGCAGGTGAATACGCCAACGCTGCCGCTCAGCTCAGCAGGCGCCAATTCTACCAAATACATTGGCTGAGTGCTGTACACTAAGCCCGATGCAAACCCGGCCACTAGACGACCCAAAAGCAGCAGCTCCACCAGGTTAAGGGGACGACATATCCATTGACAAAGCGAAGAGATCAAGAAGAGTATTCCGCTGACTAGCAGGCTTCCCTTGCGTCCTAGTTTGTTGTTAAACATAGATGCAACAAATGAGCCAACAATTCCACCTACTTGGAACATCGAGACCACAAAAGCCATAAGCAAGGTCAACTGAGAGCTGGTAAGGTCCTTCGAATAACGTTTCGACACCGACTCGGACGCCCATTGCCTGATGAACTATGAATCGAAGGAGTCTTTGTCAGTAAATCCACAGTGTCTGAGTCTAAGTGATGGAGTACCCACCGCTGAGGGCGCATTTACCACCCCAAAGCAATAGCCTATGGGTATGACGGTGCCGATGGTTATTGTGACACAGATAAGGAATAGGAGCGGTGTCCAGCCCTGCTTCTCCTCGGCCATTGATTACGATCGGGAAGGGCGTAAGCAACTTTCAAAGAAATAAATTAGTTTGCGTAATTATATATCAACTTTGTTTATATTAATTCCATATGACAGTAGAGTTCAAACAACATTGTCATTCAGTTTGGTGCGAATATCATCGAGATGGTAGAACTTCGCAATTGTCAGGGGTGAAATATATGTATGTATGTACTTTTCACTTCTAACGTGTCAAAACAAACAATAACAAGCAAGAAGAATAGATTTATGTCATACTTGCAGGAAAATATTACCCAAATCCCCGGAAGCTGTAACGGGAAAACCTCGGTAAACTAACGAAACTCTACAACGTAGGCACTTGCACTCCAACACGGCTGAGACAGCAAAGCTTATGCGGTGATATAGATCGGCTAATGGGCTATTACAGTTGATTTGTGCCAGAGCTTTCAAATAGCGCCATCTATAGTAAGTCTGGCTAAGTACAAGTTGATAGAACCTCTAAATTTTTTGTTTTAGCTACAGTTTATGAGCCGATGAGCCGCTTGATTTACAGATCCGCAGATGTTGGATATAATTTTCATAATCAATACTTGAAATAAAAATATTGTGGCCGCCCTTCTCATACCAAGTAATTACTTAAGTGACTCTCATATAAATAAACAAGTAAAAAAGCTAAAGTCGGGTGTCCCGACTTTGAAATACTCTGTACATATGCTTACAATAACTCACGTAAAGGGTTTATAATTGCACATTTACATAGCAATTGCATCAATTCGCAGTCAACCAAACAGCAACATCAACAACAGCCGCGGGCAGCGCTTGAGCAGCGCTTGAGCAGCGCTGCAGCAGCAAATATATTTATGGCTATAACTTCTTGTTAAATCGGTCTATTATAGTGAAATTTGGCATACGGACACATAATAACTAACTGGGGGTATTTGCAAAATTTTAGTTCGAAATTCCAAGAATTACGGGAGTTACGATTTGCGGGGTAGAGGGGGGAGGGAGGGAAATTCCAAAATATACATTTTCTGCGTATTCACATAAGGCATCTGGGACTAAAATTTGGTGTTCCTAGGTCTTATAGTCTCCGAAATATAGGCGATTATACGAATGGAAAATCGGGAAAACCCCCATAGGGGGGAAGTGGGAGGGAAAATCAAAAAAATAAAACAAACTCGTATAGAATACACACATAACGCATCTTTGTGCAAAATTTGGTGTCTCTATCTCTTATAGTCTCTGAGATCCAGGTGTTCATACGGACGGACAGACGGACAGACGGACAGACTGACAGACGGACAGACGGACAGACAGACAGACAGGGCTAGATCGACTCGTCTCGTCATGCTGATCAAGAATATATATACTTTGTGGGGTCTGCCACGCCTCCTTCTGCCTGTTACATTTTTCAGCTCCCGCAAACCTAATATACTCTTGTACATTTTATGTACAGAGTATAATAAATTATGAAATTTCTGATAAATTAAATGAAATAAACAAATATTGTGGCCTCTCCTCCTCTGCGATTCTAACACCAAGTACCTAAGTGAAGGCAAATCGAGATTTAAGTTGTGAAATTTATGATGAATTAAATTAAATAAATTGTGCAATTTCTGAAAAATTAAATTAAATAAAAAAATATTGTGGCCGGCCTCTGCGATTTTCATACCAAGTACCTAAGTGATGGCAAATCGACATTTAAATTGTGAAATTTCTGATGAATTAAATTACAAAAAAATAAATTGTGAAATTTCTGAAAAATTAAATTAAATAAAAAAATATTGTGGCCGCCCTCCTCTGCGATTCTCATACCAAGTACCTAAGTGATGGCAAATCGAGATTTAAATTGTGAAATTTCTGCTGAATTAAATTAAATAAAAATAAATTGTGAAATTTCTGAAAAATTAAATTAAATAAAAAAATATTGTGGCCGCCCTCCTCTGCGATTCTCATACCAAGTACCTAAGTGATGGCAAATCGAGATTTAAATTGTGAAATTTCTGATGAATTAAATTTAATAAAAATAAATTGTGAAATTTCTGAAAATTAAATTAAATAAAAAAATATTGTGGCTGCCCTCCTCTGCGATTCTCATACCAAGTACCTAAGTGATGGCAAATCGAGATTTAAATTGTGAAATTTCTGCTGAATTAAATTAAATAAAAATAAATTGTGAAATTTCTGAAAAATTAAATTAAATAAAAAAATATTGTGGCTGCCCTCCTCTGCGATTCTCATACCAAGTACCTAAGTGATGGCAAATCGAGATTTAAATTGTGAAATTTCTGCTGAATTAAATTAAATAAAAATAAATTGTGAAATTTCTGAAAAATTAAATTAAATAAAAAAATATTGTGGCCGCCCTCCTCTGCGATTCTCATACCAAGTACCTAAGTGATGGCAAATCGAGATTTAAATTGTGAAATTTCTGATGAATTAAATTTAATAAAAATAAATTGTGAAATTTCTGAAAATTAAATTAAATAAAAAAATATTGTGGCCGTCCTCCTCTGCGATTCTCATACCAAGTACCTAAGTGATGGCAAATCGACATTTAAATTGTGAAATTTCTGATGAATTAAATTACAAAAAAATAAATTGTGAAATTTCTGAAAAATTAAATTAAATAAAAAAATATTGTGGCCGCCCTCCTCTGCGATTCTCATACCAAGTACCTAAGTGATGGCAAATCGAGATTTAAATTGTGAAATTTCTGCTGAATTAAATTAAATAAAAATAAATTGTGAAATTTCTGAAAAATTAAATTAAATAAAAAAATATTGTGGCCGCCCTCCTCTGCGATTCTCATACCAAGTACCTAAGTGATGGCAAATCGAGATTTAAATTGTGAAATTTCTGATGAATTAAATTTAATAAAAATAAATTGTGAAATTTCTGAAAATTAAATTAAATAAAAAAATATTGTGGCTGCCCTCCTCTGCGATTCTCATACCAAGTACCTAAGTGATGGCAAATCGAGATTTAAATTGTGAAATTTCTGCTGAATTAAATTAAATAAAAATAAATTGTGAAATTTCTGAAAAATTAAATTAAATAAAAAAATATTGTGGCTGCCCTCCTCTGCGATTCTCATACCAAGTACCTAAGTGATGGCAAATCGAGATTTAAATTGTGAAATTTCTGCTGAATTAAATTAAATAAAAATAAATTGTGAAATTTCTGAAAAATTAAATTAAATAAAAAAATATTGTGGCCGCCCTCCTCTGCGATTCTCATACCAAGTACCTAAGTGATGGCAAATCGAGATTTAAATTGTGAAATTTCTGATGAATTAAATTTAATAAAAATAAATTGTGAAATTTCTGAAAATTAAATTAAATAAAAAAATATTGTGGCCGTCCTCCTCTGCGATTCTCATACCAAGTACCTAAGTGATGGCAAATCGAGATTTAAATTGTGAAATTTCTGATGAATTAAATTTAAAAAAAATAAATTGTGAAATTTCTGAAAAATTAAATTAAATAAAAAAATATTGTGGCTGCCCTCCTCTGCGATTCTCATACCAAGTACCTAAGTGATGGCAAATCGAGATTTAAATTGTGAAATTTCTGATGAATTAAATTTAAAAAAAATAAATTGTGAAATTTCTGAAAAATTAAATTAAATAAAAAAATATTGTGGCTGCCCTCCTCTGCGATTCTCATACCAAGTACCTAAGTGATGGCAAATCGAGATTTAAATTGTGAAATTTGTGATAAATTAAATTAAATAAAAATAAATTATGAAATTTCTGATAATTAAATTAAATAAAAAATATTGTGGCCGCTCTCCTCTGCGATTCTCATACCAAGTACCTAAGTGATGGCAAATCGAGATTTAAATTGTGAAATTTCTGATGAATTAAATTTAAAAAAAATAAATTGTGAAATTTCTGATAAATTAAATTAAATAAAAAAATATTATGGCTGCCCTCCTCGGCGATTCTCATACCAAGTACCTAAGTGATGGCAAATCGAGATTTAAATTGTAAAATTTCTGATGAATTAAATAAAATAAAAATAAATTGGGAAAATTCTGTTATTTACATATCTGCTCTTTGTAAATGAATTGATGGTCATAACTGCAGTAAAAATATGGATAATGTATTTATTCAGGTGCTTCATACTTATATACATACGTATATGCATATGTCGGTGCGAATTAAGAACTAAACTCTATATTAATGTAATACGGCAATAGTAGCTGATATTAATAATCCATGTGATAATATTATCTCGATAAAGTTATACTCCATATTATTTGTATATACCTCAGAATAAAACTCCCATAGCGCACATAATGTCAAAAAAATTAGTTGGAAATTATTAAGGAAAATTGAGATACAAATATGCTTGGGTAAACGGTCTTCAGTTTTTAGTTACAATTTGTATGCATCGATTCGACCAAAGAACTCCACTTTCTTCATATTAGTTAGAAGAAAAGTGCGCAAAGGGATCTTGACCAAAAAAAAAAAAAACGGGTACAACACATACTTCGGATTGGTTCATTCGTTTTCTAATTAATGCGGGATCGCAGTCCCTGGTTCATCAGATGTTTAACATCGGATGCTGTGCGACCCCGGGTTTCCGGCAAATAACGCCAGGTCAGGAGTACGCAATAAATGCAAACACACATGCAGGGCAAGAAGGCAAACGAACTCCACACACTTTGCAGAAGTGGGAAACACATTCCGATGAGGAAGTTGCCAATCCAAGAGAAGAGGCTGCCTATAGACATGGCCACGGGCCGCGGTGAGACCTCGAATAGCTCTGCAAAGATCAAGGCGCGTCAATTTCGAGGGGAAAAAATTTGATAAGGTGGCACCAACCAGAGCCCATAAAATAGGTAATGGGTCCCAAGCCCATCTGAAAAGCTAGAATAAACATCAACATAAAGGCGATGCAGGCATACGACAGCCACTGCACAGTGTCCTGTTTAAAAGAAAAGACAACTCTAGATAGTACTGTATGAAAATGATCATAGTATGGGTCTCACCATATAGTAGAGTCCGAAGGACATGGCCAACAGAGTAAGTGCACAGCCGGAGCAGGATATCAGCATTAGGGGACGGCGGGGAAAATGGAAAACCAGCAGTGTGCACAGCAGCGATGCCAAGACATTGAAACCACCCAGACCTAGATTGAGCCAAACGGCCATATCCGCAGAAAAGCCGGCATCGGTAAATAGAGACATGGAGTAGTAGAAGATCTGGAAGCAACAAACGACTATATAGGAATTCATTTAGTAATATGTTAGTAATCGCACTGACAGCATTGATCCCGCACAGCTGTAGAGAAGCCTGATATGAAGCCACCAGGAGCACCGGCAGCCAAAGATTCCTATCGCGCAGCACACTACACCAAGTGCCCTTTCTGACCTCAGTGACTTCCATCTCGTGCATCTCTCTCGGAACGCTCCATAATCCCTTCTCCCCTCGCAGTCTACGTAATGCGTCCTCAGCAGCAAAAGTTTCCTGTCTCACAACGCAGAGCCAGCGCGGGCTTTCCGGAAACCACCACATGGGTATCAGACAGACAAAAACGAGCAGCGCATAGAAACTGAGGGCATAATGCCAAAACTCCTCAGTTCCCAGAAGTTGTGGTAAAGTAACAATTTGAGCCACCAATATGCCACCCGTAATGCCAATGCAGGTGAAGACACCCACAGTTCCAGCGAGCGCAATCGGCGCCAGTTCAAGGAGATACATCGGATGGACAGTCAGAACAAAGGCCGAGGCGATGCCGCCAAGGAATCGCGCTGACAAAAGCATTTCCAGTGATCTAGTGTCCCGACAAAAAAGGAACAGAATGCTTGCCAAAATGAACAAAATGCTGCTGATAACCAATGTGCCTCTTCTGCAAAATAGAGCGAAATTGTAAAAAGTTATTTTTGTAACTCAAAATTAAATTATCTAGCCTTTGCCAACGAACTTGTGTACTCTTTCGACATTTGGGTATATGTACATATATACTGTAAGACTCACCGACCATATTTGTCACTACACCAGGCACTAAAGCACGAACCGCATATGCCGCCAAGAAGAAAAATTGATACAATGCATGCCCACAACACGTCCAGTTGACTGCCGCTGAGGGGTGTGTCATATTCGTTGGCCAAAAGGTCCTGGCACCAATTTTTGATTAGATCTGCAGGAGCATTCAAAACGCCGAGAAAATACCCCAAAGGCACCGTGTTGCCCAGAGTGGTGGTTAGACATATTACCAGCAGTAGGGGCGTCCAACTGGCACTAGATTGGGTTCCGTTACCTGTTGACTGTAAAGGAATTGGAAGCCATATATGGATTAGGGCCACGTACAAAACGAGAGACTTAGGAAACAAACTTATTATATTAGTCAAATTCTCGACTTAATGAATTTTGCATCTGTCATATTATCAATTAAGCTTTTAAATATATAAAACAAAAGTTTTTTTTACAGCCCACATTAATTCATAAGATTACTGTTAACGTTTATCAACTATATTACAGGTTATGCGGTTTCTTAGACCAGATTTATGAAATTTGTTTTTTTTTTTTTTTTTTAATAACCAAAAGCAATAAGGTTTATTTTTGTTAACAAGTTAACTCGAATATTTTCCTACCACCCACCATATGCATTCAACGGAAGATTAACAGCAATGGTGTAGACTTTAAACTGTGCTCTGAACAAATTTTTGAAGCTGTGCCGACAATTGTTCAATATACAATGAGGCCCAACTTTTCTTATTTCGTTCTTGAGTCATAAATTTGTGCAAAATCGTGCGACACTCGTATTTTATCTTTCGCTGACGACCCTATAGTCCCAAATTGTTACGTCAACTACATACGACTAACACGGATACGTCGCTCGCTCTTACATACATACAAGTATATAAAAACAATCTTGTATTAGACGAAGATACTCGCCTCAGTTACAGTTCTGGCCCCTTAAGCTATTAATTGTCTTATCACTGACGTAGAGGGTAACACAAAATTTAAGACGTTATGTACACACACACACACCCACAATTACGTACGTATGTGTATGTAGTGGGTAATGAATTGAATTTCTCAAACTAGTAGATACTACAAGCCTTCCTCAATCATCTCACTCAAACCCCAAATTCTAATGGGACTAGCACGACTATTAAATACGCTGTACCTGCAAGGAGTAACCAGAATTAACTGCACTACAATATAACTTCTGTCTAAAGCATCGCTCCCTTCGGTAGGGCTACGGAATGTATGGGCAATCTAGAATACCATATCATTCTTTTAGTTGAGTGCAGCGTAAAAAGTAATCCAAATTGAATTTATCGGAACTGTTTGTGCACATAAGTGGCATTGATGTGTAATTAATTTAGCTTGTATAGATAAGAAATTTGTGCTTACGAGTCGATAAGGGGAATTGAATTAAACGTTTAAGTAAGTTGTTCAAAGGCTCGAGCACTTGCTTAGTGCTATCGAAGCTGTTCGCTTAGTTTAACGAATCAGCTAGTTTTTCATAGAAACGCTTTATTTCTCGTACAAAAATAGTTTACAAAAATGTATAACAAAGTAATTATTGGAGCATTAATTATAGCAGACCACGCCAAGCGCAGCTTAGACGCTAGCCTTATTGTCAATAAGTGTAAGCCTTTGTAAATTTGAATTGCGTAACTATCTAGAATTGAGAACTTAACACCAATAAACTACAATAAAATTATTGCAATAGTATCCAAGTGTCTATTTGCGCTCATGTGACCTTGGAGCGGAAGCCTTTTGAGACGAGAGCGGCTACTTCGGGCGGATCCCGTCCACGCGTTTCCGGCAGATAAAACTTCGTTAGCAGGAAAAGGAGCACACATGTTATGGAGAAGGGCAAGAAGACAAAAGCACCCCAGGCGTTCTGCAGACTTGGAAAAGCCATGCCAATTATGAAATTGCACGTCCATGATGCCAGGCTGCCCATTGACATGGCAACAGAACGGGGCGCAACCTCAAACAGCTCTGAAAAGTGCAAAAAAGATAATATAATTAAATTAGGTGTTCTATATAAAAACCGATTCACTTAAATTGACGAGCAGCGCTCAATTGATAGCACTAATAATAATTAATGACTATGACTGGTATAAGTGGTGATTGAATCAATATCGCGACAACGATTTGCTGTTAAAATAAATAAATCATACATGTGACGCTTAAAGCACGCGCCATATACACATGTATATACATTGGGGGCAATGACACTGTGTAAGCGTATTTGCTTGCTGACCGCTAAAGAAATTGATGAACAGCTGCACCGCACGAAACTTTTTCATTACCAGAGCCAATAAAATAGGGTATTGGGCCCAAGCCGAATTGATAGAAGAATATGTAGCCCATGATGCAGAAGATGCAGGCAAATGGAAACCAACTGACAGAATTCTGCAAAGAAACCGGAATTAGTTCAAATTTCAGAGCAATTAATATAAAAATAATTTTTCACATCTGACAGCTGCACTTACAATGTAGTGCAAAACAAAGGCTATTATGAACAGAAAAACGGCGCACAATGAACTTGAGAACATCATGAGCATGCGACGATTGCAGAAAGCCATCAGCACCGGACCCAGCAGGGAGATGAGTAAGTTCAGGCAGCCAGCGCCCAAATTAGCCCACTCCGCATTGGCCGTGGAGAGGCCAGCCATCTTAAATATGGACACCGAATAGTAAAAGATCTGTAAGACAATGTACTCTTAGTAGTTGATGCGATACCTAAAGCCGGATTATACTCTTACTGCATTAATACCGGACAACTGCTGCCCTCCGTGGAAACTGCAAACGATGATCAATGGCAGCAACAGACTGGGATCCCGCAGAACACTGCAAAAATTGCTTGCTTGCACCTTAGCATTGGCCTCCACCTCCATTTCAGCAATCTCGAGTGCTATCAAATCTGCAGAATCGGCCCCACGAAGCCGGGAAAGCTCGCGACGCGCTGCCATAGGATTCCCCTTAAAGATATACAGAAACTTGGGGCTCTCCGGGAAGGTATAGGAGGGCAAGTAGCAGATAATGACAAGCGCCATGTAGGCGGTAAGGGCATAGTGCCAACGCGCGTCATTGCCAAAAACGTCGCCTAGACTGCACACCTGACCAACGACTACTCCACCAGTAACACCCACGGCACAGAACACGCCCAGAGTTCCGCGCAAGGCGAGCGGCGCCACCTCACTCAGATACATGGGGAGTGTGGCAGTCGTAAGACCAGACGCCAGGCCAACAACCAGTCGACCCAGAAGCAGCATTTCCACAGAGTGGGCGGCCCGGCAGAAAAAGAACAGCAACGCACCAATAGTGAAGAGAACGCCACATATCAGAAAACAAGCTTTTCTGCAAATAAATACATAGCAAGGAATTAATTTCATGTGCGAAGTATTGTGTGCAATTGTTTATTTATAAAACGACATTGTGACACAAACCACTAATAATGTAAGCAGAACAGCCATTTGCATTTCCGGATGGCTTGAGCAAGCGTTCCTCGGTGTATATGCATCATGATTACGGTTTTCAATTTAAATGATGTAGGAATTTGGGGCTCAATCGGCTTTGTAAAGAATTAATATTGTCTCCTCTAATTTCATACTAAATGCAAGCACGAATTATATTAGCATTTCATTTTATTTTCATCACCTATTCAAAGCTCAAGTACTTGATTTCAAAAGATTAAGTTTATATAGTGTGCGTTATCCACTAGCTATTAATTATCAGGAGGTTTATTTTAGATTAAAATGTATTATTTTCAAATTCTGAAAATATGGACTTTAAAGTAAGTACAGTCACAAAATCAGAAAGTGATGTGATATTGAAAGAAAGGCCATAGTAGTTGCTTAATATTTTCACCTTTATGAAGCATTCTTGCCAGCTGGAACTGACCCTCTTTAAATCAAACAGTGGTAATAAGTACCTAGGCACATTCATCATTACAGTCGATTGCTTTTTAGACGATAAGAAGAGATACTGATTCTTAATCTATAGCGCAGGTGAGCGCAAAAACAAACCTGCCAAATTTATTTGCAGCCCCGGCACCGCCAAGCGATCCAATAGCGCCTCCAACAAGGAAAATCGACACAATGGAGGCCCACAACAGATCCAGGTCACTTCCGCTCAAATTACTGCCATAATTTTGATGCAAAGTTTCATTACACCAGCTCTTCATTAGCTGTTAAAAAAAGCATAGTTTTATTTCTGTATGCATGTTATATACAATTATAAAGTATAGGCGGGTCAACTTACCACAGCTGGAGCATTAATAACACCAATGCAATAACCTGTGGGTACGGCTGCACCAAATGTTGTGGCGAAGGCCACAAGCGCCAACAGTTTGCCCCATGCCGGCTTCTGTGGGGTAAGAAAACTGTTAGTAAACTTTCAGTTAATCAGGTAATGGGAAGGCGTGCTTTGGAAAATAAAGTGGTTTTTTTTCAATTTAATTAGGAAGTCATGCGTCATATGTGGGGTCGTGCTTATCAATTCTTTTTAACCCGTAATTCCGGGCTACAATTAGATTATTATAATCAGCAATGACTTTGGCTAAGGAAAATGGCAGATTTGAAACAGTTTATAAATTTATTTCTATTATTAAATACTTCCAAAAATTAGCATTCATGTAATACTTATAAACAATTCGTTTAGATTTGTTTATTACTTCGACCGAATAAAGAGAATTTCTTTTGCGTTTCATAAATATGAGTATACATATGTAAGATACATTTATACTTATAATATATGTGCATATGTATATATAAATGTCACATGAACTTGTAATCTTGGCCCTATAGCAAATGGCTTCCGCCCTGATAGTAGCCATTATTAATTTTATTATTTTACCCCAAGCAAAAAAATGCTCGCTATTTTGAAAGTCTATATTCAGCACAAGGCTACTTTATATTTATATGTACATATTACATATTATGTGTGTATAGTATGTACATACACATACATATGTATATATGTATGTATATAATATATGTATGTATATTCATATGTACTCTGTTGTCTTGCTCCAATTGCTATTTAGTGGTAGATGATAGCTTAGAAGATAGAAAGATCATTCAAAGTAAACAGATAGGGTGCAGTTCAAGCGTAGGAGACAGTCAGCATTCGCTGCCATCTCACCGACGCTTACCTTAGTAGTTTCCGTTTGAAGTTCCGATCTCGTTATCTCAACCTTTCCATACTGTGGGTACAACTGTTGCGCTTCGGCCTCAGCGGTTGCCATATTTGAAGGCGCAGTACATAAATGTGTGTTAACTATTCAGCTTAGCATTCACTCGAAATGAACTCAACAGCACACGTGTGCGTACTCAACACAATGGCTAGCTTATAAAAAATATGCTATTTTCTACGCTACCGGCGTTTACCATGCGTTCTTAGTGTTGTATAATACACATAAAAATGCATTGGCATTTATATGCGTTCGTATATTTATATACGAATGTGATTTAAGGAAAGCAACGAGTGTTTTTTATATTTACATAACTATTCTTTTTTAAGAATTTTTCAACTAAAACACGCAATTTTTTAACAAAACAATAACATAGACCAGCCTCATTTAGAAAACTGTGGAGCAATCGACGCTCCACACTCGACTATTAACAAAGTTGTTACAACTTATTTGGTAATTAAGAGAAAAAAGCTTTGCGGAAACTAAAGCTTTCTGCATTTGTACAAGCAAGACTTGTACTGATAACGATAGGTGCACAAAGGGCCGGGAACTTAATAGTCTATCGTACATTTCACATCCCTGAGTGCATCGTACACCATCAGCTGGCTCTGTCGCTTTTTGTTTTTTGTTGACGTCGCACTTTATTTATTCTTAATTCGAAAATAAGCGTTACTTATAATATCAAAAAAGCAAAGTCTGTTATTTCTTTGACGGGATGGCACTGCCGGCCTTTGATACGCTGTTATCTACGACAGCGGTCATTAGCACAGTTTTTCAATTTTTATCTGGCGCGTAAGTGGGCTTAAATAATTTAGAATTGGTAAGAAAAATTGTCATTACAGTGTCATATGCCGAAAATATATACAAAAGAAAAGTACAGGAGATTCATCAGGGTTTCCCTTCATTTGTGGTTTCTTATCGTAAGTATTTATGTTCACAAATTGTTCAATTCTACCAGGCGTCCTATGGTAATTATTTTTCGTATTGTTTGTACAGCTGCAGTTTCTGGCTGCGGTATAGTGTGCTCACCAATGAGCAGTGCATTGTTTTGGTCAATATAATTGGATCGACGCTGTTTCTTGTGTACACGCTGGTGTACTACGTGTTTACCGTTAACAAACGTGCCTATGTTAAGCAGTTCGCTGTTGTTGTTGCAATACTTGTGACTGTAATTTTCTATACAAATCAGTTGGAAAATGACCGCGAAAAAATGATACACGTCACAGGTGAGAAAGAACATTAAAAGCGTTTTATTTTGCATGCACCACTGATAGCTCATTTCGTATCACTGCAGGTATTATCTGTTGCATCGTAACTGTGTGCTTCTTTGCTGCTCCCCTAACCATGCTGGTGCATGTTATAAGAGTGAAGAACTCGGAGAGTTTGCCTCTGCCGCTAATAGCTACCTCGTTTTTTGTTAGTTTGCAGTGGTTAATCTATGGCATACTAATATCGGATTCATTTATACAGGTGAGACATTTCACACGGATTTTTAATTGATATAATGTATGCACGTACTTGATATTGCATTTATTATTTTACAGATACCGAATTTCCTGGGCGCTGTGCTGTCCATGCTGCAATTAGGGCTTTTTGTTATATACCCACCACGTAGTTTCGCAGGTCCAGGCTATAAGCTAGTGGACCAGGTTGTGGCGTTTTAGAGCAAAAATATGTGCATATATACAAACATATATATTTATAGCCAATTGGCCATTTATTTGTACGTATTCTGCGCAATTCGCATTTGCTATTTAAACATGTTCCATAACGTATATATTTTTTTGAATGTCGCTTGCTTTGTGTTGTGCAATGCAATTCGAAATTATGCCAAGCTTAGTTACTATAGACATTGGCCGGTAACTCATCTCCAGTAAAGCAATTAAGGAAAAGTTTAACCTAATCTTAAAATAAATTTATGGTGAAATGTGTTACTGGGCCATGTACATGCATAAGTTTACTCATACGTTAGTATATTGAGTGTAAAAAATTCATTACAAATGTCACAAAAATGTACTTACATTATTCAGATCTGCGGCGCCCATCGTAATATATTGTGTATATTTCTTAACGATATGTTTTATGTTTTTCAACTGCAACTTTCCACAAAACCCTTTGGCGAGTCACTGAACTAAAAACTGCATAAGCAAGTAATATTAATATTTATTGACCACGCTCGTTATAAAACACAAAAACATTACAGCTTCATTAGCGGTCGGACCAAAAACAACCCGCAATGTTTCACACTCGAGCTCAAACCGAGAACTGCTTTATTTAGTATTGGTGCCAAACTGGTTGCGTATTTCATTCAATTATGCCGATAAGCCGATATGCTAATATACTATACCTATGGATGATTCAATATATTCAGAGGAAGTACCGTTTATTACACTCTTGCTGATACTGATTAAATTGATGTACACCAGTAGACACTGTTTTTTATACAGTTTGTGAATATACGACCTGACCGTTGATACCTGATTATTGCATGAACAGGTAATCGGCCCTTATAATAGTTGATTAAATGCGGACGTTTATTTTATAGCCGCTCTTATCTCAACATACCAATATTTTCTATTTCGGCTGCGTGCATTGTGCGTAAGAATATTTTTGTGAAAACTACATTTGCTTGCAAATGTCAGAAAGTCCTGAGTAAAAATTTAGATGGCAAGTGATATTTTTTTCGTGTTCTGTCGTTTTCATTTTATCCGGCTTAAATTAAATTGAAATGGAATTGGCACCACTCGTCTTGGCGCCCATAAGTGCTTGGCAGCTCTGGCTGATATTTCGAAATAACAGAAACTATCGAATTCATATCGACATGCAATCGAAATCGTTAGATTTTGAGACCCTGTACATGAAATGCACAAGGGTATACTAGTCCATCGTATAAATAAAATATAGAATGACCAAACTTGGTACCCAGATTTTTAAAAATTGTTTTTAAGCTAATGAATTTTGAAAAAGCAGGGTTCCTAAGACTAATAAGTATTACTTTGTAATATATATATTTATTTTGTAGCATTTGTATAAAGAAGCATTTTGACAAATTCATTTACAAATTTAAATCAGTCCCTGTTGTATTATTAAAATCTGAATTTTAAGAAAATACAGATGCTATTAAATATTCCCAATATTGATATAATTATTTAGGAGGGTCGTGAGAATACAGATAGCATTACATGAATTTAGATAAAATTGTGTCAACAATCGACTTATCGATATTTTATAAATATCCACACTTCGCACATCACTGATTCGTCATAGTCATTTGTGCTTGAAAACTAATAAAAAAAAAAGTCAAAAAGCCTTATTGAAATATGCAGGAACACAGTCCCGAACTTTACGAGGAGGTAAAACTGTTTCGCAATGCCAGGGAACGCGAAAAGTACGACAACATGGCCGATTTGTATGCCATCATCAACACCATACAGCAGCTGGAGAAGGCCTACATTAGGGACTGCATCACACCACAGGAGTACACGGCTGCTTGCTCCAAGCACTTGGTACAATACAAAATAGCATTTAAGCAAGTGCAGTGCGACGAGTTTCCCACTGTAGACACATTCGTCAAAAAATTCCGCCTAGACTGCCCCGCCGCTTTGGAACGCATAAAGGAGGATCGCCCAATCACCATACGTGACGACAAAGGCAATACCTCGAAGTGCATTGCCGAAATCGTATCGCTATTCATAACTATTATGGACAAGTTGCGCCTTCAAATCAATACCATGGACGCCTTGCAACCGGATGTTAAGGATTTGGCAGACAATATGAACCGCTTGTCGTTAATACCCGAGGGCTTCGACGCAAAACAGAAGGTGGATAAATGGTTGGGCACATTAAACGAAATGCAAGCATCCGATGAACTTACTGAGGCTCAGGTGCGACAGTTTCTCTTCGATCTTGAGTCGGCCTATGCAGATTTCAATAAACTCTTACACAGTCAGTAGCGATTATATTTGTGCATACGCATACACATGTATAAATTAAATAAATTTTTATGTAATTATTCCATAATAAAACGCCCTTTAGTATAGTATCTAGATGCTTTTTGTTTCGTTTAATGACATTGGCCGAGGTGTGTTCTGCGCATTACTGAAAATTGAGGTTGGGGTTAATAAAGAAATGAGGAGACCAACATATTTTGCATTTGTTTGGATTTAATCGTATCTTCTTTTCTTGTATTTAGTTTAAATATTAAGGTTATAATTATACATATAAGTTTAAACCGATTACGATTACAATAATTATTTTTGTTTGTTGTTTCTCATTCACGTTACGTTTTGTATTGTTTCTTTAATGTATATTTATTTTAAATTTACTTCTGCTTTTTCTCTTACGCTTACAATCTGTTTAATCGTTTTACGCCTTTAATAATTAATAATTGTTACCTTTTATCTTTGTAAATTTTTTGTATGCAATGTGAGAATGGTACTTGGTATATTTATGCGGGTGTTGCTGTATGTGTTTTTTGTGTGTGTCCATATGTATTTTTTTGTGTATGTACGCGCATGTGTGTGAGTGTTGGCAATTTAATGTGAAGTGTGGCTGGTATACTTTATAACTTGCATGCTCTTGTATGGTTGTTGTATGTATGTTTGTCATATGCTTGCTGAAGGACGCGTGGGTGGTTCTACGATGAGCAGTGCTGCGTTGTAATAAAAACATCTTACTTAGTAAAATATGATCTTTCATCTTCATATATTAGATTACTCTCATCTGATGAAAATTCATCTTCGCTTAGATATTCATCGGCGTATTTTGTTGTGTTCAATTCTGATTGCTCCTTCACAAGCATTAATAACTGATTGGGAGTCGGGGCCGAGTTGGCCGCTGTTGCTGCTATGGTCGTTGTTGTTGTTATTGTTGTGTTTGTTATAGGCAACGTTGTGTTGTTGTTAAATATATGTATCGGCGTGGTGCGAAGGCTATAAAATTCGCTTGTACGACCGCTACATTGCTGAAGTGTTATCTGTAGGGGCCGCCAAATTGTGTTCTCCGGAAGCTAGTTTTGTCCGGTCCAGTACGAAGGCGAGTAACCTTGTTTGCCAGCCGATTTTGCTTGGCTGCTCGACTGTTGGCGCTGGCCAGCGCTGTTCGAGTCCTGCAAATGCATTGATGTCCATAATTAATAAAAAAATGCTCTTCAAAACCAACAATAGCAGTATATCTTTATCTGTTGATTTGTCATCCATATACAATAAGATGTACGTTAGCATAGAGAATACGATATAGACACTGCAGTGATTATAAATGTGTGTAGATCTTGATACGCATGAACAAATGTTCTATATATTGAAGGTAACACTTCGCAAGCCCTTCACAAGTAGTTGATGTACACGCAGCACTTTTTTTAAGCAACTTTGAATTCATGTTTTTCTCTTTTTTGTTATTTTTTGTAGGGAATTAAGAACATGCATCTCGTTATGAAAACTTCGCTACCGAGTGAGTATAATATAAAAAACCCATGTTTTCATTACAATTGTTTTAGAAAAACGTAAGTTGTGTCAATGCATAGAGTTAAATAGGCATTAATGAAAACTTATACAAAAACTTCACTTGATTTTGTTATAAGCCTTAAAATATGTGCTTTTATGTTTTTATTATTATTTTTTTTTTACTAATAGGTTAGTGCTTCGAAGGCCGTTTAATTTAGATGAGTGTGGTGTGTGAGTGCGTGCCCATATGAGGGGTGTTAATTTACTACAATTACATACATACAATTACCAAAACTATACTTCAAGTACAACAACAAAGAAAACTTACCCGGCGGGATGAGCTATGAATCCTGCCGTCCATCTAATGTTGTTCCCATAAAAAATTAAAAGAAATTATAAAGAAAAATGTCAAACAAGAGAACAATTTCATGCATTTCACAATTTAACAGGATCTCAAATTCAACTCTCCACGTTTTCTATATAAGGACTGCTTCAATTTTACTTTCCGGACAACTTATGTAAAATGCCGAATTTTTTTTTTTTTAGCGAGTTGTGCCTGTTTACCGTTTATGTACTACACAAGAAATGTTTCAACTAAGTGACGAGATAGCGAAAGAAATTTTATTGAGAATGATTAATGCGCGTCAAAATGAAATTAATAAATTAAAAAAATAGAAAAATGCATGAACTGTATTTTTGTTAGTTACGATTACTGCATAGATCAACAGGTGCACAAGTAGTAAGTAAAGCTAATTGACATAAAATAGGTAATTTTACAAATTAATATATGATAAAATGAAGTAATTGAAATGATGTTTTAATACATATGTATATATTAATGGTTAATTAGCATTTGTTTTAGTTTCAGAAATAAAATGGATAAATAAGTTATGTACAATGTAGAATATGTGTAGGCGCCGGAGGCGGATACAAGCAGTAATTACAAATCATTAAATCATTAATATAACAATGGAATTAATATAGATATATATGTGTGTGTATATGTGCGATGGTTGACAGTGAAATAAGAACTCGCAAATTAAGTAATAACCTACAATGTAAGAACAAAATACGATTTAATGAAACTTTACATATTTACAATAAGCGCCAGTTAGCTTGAACATGCATAGAATAATGTTTTAAAATGAACGCCATAGCTTTTATATGCGTGCGTTAATTGATGGTTGCTTTCTTCTAGCGCAATACTTTTAGTTTGAACGAAATCTTTTCGTATTGCCGTTGATTTTTTGCTGATATTGTGCTGCTACATTGGCGCCTACTTTAAAGTCACACGACTCGCCAAAGTTTGCAGACTGATTCTTCCATAATGCCTCATTCTCATACACAACTTCTATGTCATCATTTTGCTCTCGGTCTAACACAACATCTTGCATTTTAGAAACTACCTGATGTATAGGCTGATGTATCATATTATGATGTCCAGCAGCGGGCATGGGCAGATACATGCCATATGGCTGCGCCGAAGTGCCGCCAGCTGTCTGTGTGTTGGCCATATTAAACGGTGGCGGTGTGCCCGAATGGAAACTCTGCTTCTCATACGACTACAATAACAAGTAAGACCGTCTTTAGAACATGCTTTTGTTTTTGTATAATCAAGTCAAATTATACGCACATTGACCTTGTTAAGCGTCACGTGGCCCTTGCCATACATGGACGAGGTCAAGTCTGAGCCAGTGCCTGCCTGCTGCTGGTTCGAAACCGCCTGCGTTTTGCTCTGCTGGTTCACACTCGACGAGTAGCCGCCCTTGCTGTAGTCCTGTGTGGTCTGTGAGAGCGGGTCATAGCTAGTTGAGCCATATCCTGCGCTGTACGACGGCTTTGGGAACTGGCCTCCGGATGCAGTATTGGCGGTCGGAATTTGTTGCTGTTACAATGATATTGGTCCGTTACTCGACCATTAAGTAAATATGCAGAAAATAATCTTACTGGATATATGGCAGGCGTGCCATATTGGAAACCGCCAGGCATTACATTTCCCCCATAGAAATATGCGTAAGGAACATTTAGCATGGGCGCGCTTGAACCGGCTTGTTGGGACATTGTACTCGATACCTGGTAAATTGAAAATAATAATAAGTTAAGTTTATTCGTATGCGTTTAATTAGTTAATTTATACTTTCACTAAATAGTGAAAAAACAAAAAAAAAAAATTGTTGAGCTAGTCCTGTATATTGCTATGCAAAATAAAATAAATTGGAACACGTTTTGTTCGAGTTCTATGTTAAATCACGATATACATATATGGATTTATAAACATCTCTTATTATTGTTATTAGGGTTCCAAAGCGAGATTAGAAGTGGAAAGTTCAGAACTTACATTGCTAACAGGACTGGAGTTATTGTCAGTGCGTGCAAAGCGTCCATCAGTCATTGTTGAATACGCAACCGAACCCAAATTGTCACGTCCGGCGCCTAAACTGGTGGGTGTGTAGTTCAGATCGTAATAGCCTTGCTGTAAAAGGGAACATGATACACAAAATATATGAATTTTTTTGTTAAAATGCCATTTACATCTTTGCCAGCCAATTACTTGAAATTAAGTTAAATAGATTTGTAACTAGATTTGTAGTTGGCAAAGCTGAGAGGCATAAATTATTTAATGTAATGTGATTATTTAATGAACATAAAACGAGATGAAATCGAAATAAATGGAGGAGTTAGTGGATTATATGAGGATGGAGAAAAACAACTATTAAGCTTAAACATGAAAATGGAACCGCATGACAAACAAATAGTTTCCCTTTTAGGGAAACACTTCTTTATGCCAAATATAGTATAAACATGTCGTGCAGCTTAATTCTCAAGTTTAATCTTATTATCTTTAATACCATTGGAGTCGTGTTAGGGTTTTTGACTATATAAAAGTTATGAGGTTTTAAATAATTGTAATTAGTAGGGGATTTATTATATTGCATAAATTTGAAAGTTGTTCATGTTGTTATGGAGGGAGCATGGATTAATTTAGTGTGTATGGATGTGAACCAGGCCAGGTTAACCTAATGATGATAGTTAGCGAGAGAGAGAAAGGAGGAAGCACATTGAGTTTTGGTGTGATTGGTGAATGCCAATTGTTTGGAAATTGTTTTAATCATATGGAGTTTTAAATTTTTAATGTATTTGTACAGACAAAAATATAAATGCATGGAATAAAAAGTGCAAGTGGAAATTTGTGGATATTATTTACACACAGACATCATAAAATGTTAATGCACATTGAAACACAGTTAGAAGCTGCAACGCTTGCAAGCCAGGCGCGTACGAATCTGAATTCGCTAATAAAAATGTAATGCGTAAATGAAATTTTGGATTTATGCGGATAATTATTTTTTGCTTTTTATGAATACAAATTGTGTTGGTTGCATTTTTTTTATGTTTTTGTTGTTGGTGTTTTTATTTTGCTTTTCTCCATGAACTCACCACATGTGGCACTCTCTGTTGCATCATTTGTAATTCCTCGTAGGAATAAACTGGTTGCTGATAGTATGGCAATCCAGTCTGAATATATTGACTAACCATTTGGATGTTGGTGGGCACCAAACCGCCACTGCCACTGCCGCCACCACTACCAGCACCACCAGTACCAGTTCCACTGCCTGCGCCTGCGCTGCCAGTCGTGACGCCGCTCCCGCTGCTATTACTGCTGCTGCTGTTCTTGTTTGTGAGCGAGGCAAGTACCGCTGCTGTGCCGGCTGCTGTTTGTGCCACCGATGCTACAGCACTGCCCCCATTGTTGTTCACACCCACACCTCCCACTCCCGCGCTGCTGCTGTTATTGGACGCGCTGCCGGCAACGCCGCTACTTACACCAGGAATGGAGCTGGAACTCTGATTACCAGTCACACTGCTGTTGTTGCCCGATGCCACATTGCTGGCCGAGCTGCTGGCACTCACATTATTGTTGTTAGCTGCAGATGAAACAAAATTAAATGAATAAACATTTAGCTATAAAACTTAGGTTCCTGATAAGCCATTAAAAATGTAATTCTACAAGAAATTTATTGCCCAAATATTTTACGCCATTTCCACAATTTCCTATATAAAAAAACAATTTCTGGAAGATAGATCCGTAAGGAACATCGGGCCTACCGAAGTGGTGGGGATAGTAATTGCAAAAGTTGTGTCGCCTCAAATTTTCAAAGGGAACGAATTGTCAAGATTACGGCCCATATTGGTTTCAGCGTATAATTTTTATGAATAAATTATTATTATAAAGACTTTGTTGCACTTACTATTTGAAACCGCCGATGTGTTAGCACCAGCTGCACCGCTCACAGCACCTGACGCACCATTTCCAGTGCTGCCACTGCTGCTGCTGACTCCGCTGCTCGTTGAGACACTGAAAATTAGAATAAAAACAGTAATAATTAGTTATTCTATTTTTGCGTGCTAATTTGTGGGGTTAGTCATCGATTAAAAGCTGCCGCCGCATTGCTCAAGGGTGTCTATATGTATGTATAGAATATGTGTTTGTATTGTTCCTACACTTACCTGTCATAATGCGCCGCGCCAGCAGCTGTGGCTGCATCCTTCAGTTTGGCACTTGCACTAAAGTTACCATACTGCGATGAGGAGTTGCTTGTACTACCAGCAAACCTAGACGTTCGACAAGGACAATTCAACAAATGACAGAGGAAAACATTTGTTACAATTGGGCTGTGTTTGCATTCCGAAAAATTTCACTCTAGAGCTCAAACAAATTAGAATACACTAAACAAAATACATAGTTATTTTGACCAACACATAACGTTTATTTTTTTGTTTCTCAATTTGTAAACACATGTTTACACCTTTTCCATAAAACTTTTTATTGAAAATAATAACTGAACTGTCACTATCTGATGGAAATTAAGCTGGTATTGTATTTTATTTTCGTATCAGATTATAATATATCGCATAACATGTAATCTACGTCTTGTATCTGACCAGTGACTGAAACAAACCTGTTTGAAGAAATACATTTAACCTAACCACTAATCGTTTCATTGTGATAATAATATATCTTATAAATGGAACCAAACATTATCTTTTTTTTTTTTTGCGTGAGACGATTATTGACAAAAGCTTTAAATTAAAAGCAATTTCTTCAACACACAATGAGACGAGGCTCAAATTTATTTCGTTCAATTTTATTTACAATTGTATGTTACTGTAAATTTGTTTTTGAAATTTCGAATATATTGGTGCCGAAATATGGTTCGTCAAAATAACTATACCGTATAGTGTATATTATTAAACAAGAACTAAACATGCACACAAAAAGGCAATAAATTGGTTTTTTCGTCTTCTTTCTATTCGTTATATTGAATATGGGGCTCAAAGCATACATACCCGCTGCTGTTTGAAAGCCCAGTGCTGCCATAGACGCTTTGGCTCGACTGGTAAGCACTTTGTGGCGTCGAATATCCCGACGTAAGATAGGCAGAGCTCGCATTTGCACTGTTATTTGCATATGAGTGTGACAATATGTTGTTGTTGGTTTTTTTTTTTTTAGACAAAATTGTGATAAATGAAGATAATTTCGTAAAGCGAGTGTAAACAATATTTTGATTCGACGGGTTATATGAGAAGAGAAGGTAACAAGAAAAAGAGATTAGGTGGTGGGGAATTCTTGTTAATCAAATTCATATAACAGTGTTAAAATATATAACTTGAAACAAATTAAGTAAATCTGTCTACATTTGACTAGCTTCATTCCAATCACACTTACCTTGTGCTGTTTTGGGTGCCACTGCTACCAACCGGAATGTTTTGTGTGGCATTTCCGCTACCAGAGACACTGCCCGTCGCATTTTGCGCGCCGCCAACAGTCTGCTGCTGCTGTTGTTGCTGTTGATAGGAATTGACCGCATTGGGCTGGTAGGAACCGTAGCTTTGCGGCTGATAGCTGTTTGCCACAGAGGACTGCACATTTGCATAGCTGGAACTGCTATAGCCACCCTGCCCCGATGTCTGATAGGCATTATTAGCCTTGCTAGCCGCGCTCGTCTGGTATGCATTTTGATAGGCCGCAGCTGCACTGCTTCCTGAACTAGTCTGTCCATAAGGATCGTTCTTAGACAGTTGGTCCAAGGCGTTGCTGCCCGCACTAACTCCTGTCGAGCCGCTTTGTTGCTGCGCCGCAGAACGAGTTGCATAGCCGCCTGCTGATAAGCCGTCTCCCTGTAACTAAATTCAAAATGTTTGTATTAATATTATTGTGATGTGTGAACTGCCCTAATTTAAAATATCCTTTTTTGACTACTATGTACTATTAGCTTTATAAGAAACTAAGAAACACAAATTAGGTTTAATTAAGTTCAGAGATGTCTTCCCTGTAGAACTGAAATGCTGGTAGTCGGCCGGTAAGAGTTTACTACTTCATATTCACGGCGACCTTAAAGCTAAACGGATTTTTTATGATGCTTACGATTTGTGAGTTTTGCAGTCCTGCTGCCAGCGCTGATTGCTGCTGCGCTGACTTGCTTTGGTAGTCGTCCTGCTGTTGCTGTTGTTGCTGCTGGTTATCGATCGTTACGGCAGCATTGAACTTTTCAGGCAGCGCATCAAAACTATCGTCAGTACCAAAGTCTAGACCGCCAAATTGCACGTCCAAATAGCCAATGTTGTTCATTGCGTTATCTCCGGGCATTTCCACAGCACTCGATGGTATCTTCGAGGGTGGCGGCAGCTTAACACGCGCCCGCCTCACCTGTGGTTGTTGACCGCCACTGCCCACCAGCTGCGACTGATCGCTGGCAGATGTCACAGTAGAACCGGGAGCTGAAGCAAACACATTGGCATAAGAAGCGGGATATTGTCCAACGCTCGATGAATTCTGACCAAAGGCGGCGTTTTGTGCATAGCCAGACACAGCCGATTGCTGCGTAGCTCCTGGTGCACCGCTCTGCGACGATAGCGAGTTAAAATACTGAGATTGTTCCGCTGACAGCGTTGCTGATGCCTTGATGGGCGCTTGTGCCTGCTGCTGTTGCGCCTGCTGCACCAGAGTAGCTGCCGCGGAGGCTGCGCTTGAGAATGTATCTGTTGCACCGAAAGGCGATGAACTGAGCGCTGTTGACGCCGCGTTGTTGCTCTGCGTGCCCACAGATTGCAGCTGCGGCGGTGGATTGCTCACCGCTGCACTGTACTGCAACATTGGCGTGGTCGCCGAACTGGACAAGCCGCCACCTGTGGCTCCAGACGAATTGTCGTCCGTAGTGCTGGATGTAACAGCATTGCCCACTAGCGCATTCAGATGAGATCCTTGTAGATGCGCCGTGCTCCCAAGCACGGATGTGCCCAAATGATTCTCCAGTCCTGGCGGTGCTGACAGCTCCGAAGTGCCAACGCCTGCACTAACGACACTTGCAGCTGTCTGAGTAGCTAAATTGCTCGTAGTGAACACTTTACTGTCCTTGAGCGAACCTTCGTACTCCTCATTGTTCCAATCACCCCAGGCATCGTCGTGCGTTTGCTGCTGCTTCTCGGCATTCTGCGCAATGGTATTGTCCCAAAGCTCAACTTCGTGGTGATCGTCGTTGGTATTGTTTCGCGACCCATACCCACGCTCACCACGCCCACCTCCACGAGTGCCCATGCGTCCACCGCCGCGACCTGAGCGTGACGAAAATCCACCGCCACGCCCTCCGCCAGTACTAGATCGGCCGCCACCCCCATTACGCTGACCACCGCGATAATTGTCGTTGGCGCGATCGTCCCCTCGTTCTCCACCGCCGGCACCACCGCGAGACTCGCGCGTATTGCGCTCATTCTCACGGGCCTCTCTGCCGCGCCCTGTAAGAAATGATGGATATTATAGTTCGTATAGTTATTATAAATTTTTTACTTACATCCTCGACTGTCAGTGCCGCCGCGTCCACCGCGGTTGGAGCTGCGATTCCTCGATTTTTCCCGCTTGTCAGCATTTGCATTGCCATCTGCCCAATCACCATCGCCACCGGCGCCATCACTGTTGGTCGCGGCCTTGTTCTTGCGCTTTTTCTCATACTTGGCAAAGGCGCCCTTAAATTAAGATATAATAATCATATTAAATGCCGGATACGAGGGATGGGAGTTATTGTAAACGTACCTGCGGCAGAATCTCTATCAAGAAGTTTGCCGCTGCTTCCAGATCATAGTCACACTCGTTCAAGGCACAACATACCTCCTCTTCAGAGCGTTGAGTCATAGTCAATAGAAGAGTTACCTTCTCGTTTATTTGCGGATCCTCTGTTGTGCTATTAGTGATCTGGGCAATACGCAGCTGTTCGGTTGTGGCCTTCGGTTGGGCTTTCTCTGGTTTCTCTGTCTTGTTGGCATCAGCTTTCTTGTTTACCGTTGCTGCATGTGTGCCTGCGTCACCGGTGCCGCCTCCAATGGCGGTATTTGACTTTTTCTGGCTGCGGCCGCCTCCTCCTCCGCCGCCACCACTCGAACGAGTTTGTTGTGTGCTCATCTCTATGTACACTGTATATACAAATTAGCTGTAGATAATGCAAATATGTATGTACGAGGGTTAAAGTTCGCTTCTAGTTTGGTAAATTTGCTCTGATACAATTTTTTTCGAATCTTTATCGTTGCCTCACAAAGTTATAAACTGACCAAATAAACCAAAATTTTTGAATACTATAACAAATCTACTTAGTTGGAATTGTTTAACGAAAAAAAATCAATCATAGTTAAATACATAAATATAATATGTACTTATGAAACCAAAAGAACACACTAGCGGTCGGAAATGAGAGTTATAGGAGTTGTCGGCATGAAACAAGTCGAATTCATAGTCAGCTGAGTTCAATGTACATCGCTGAGAATGAAAGAACGTGAACAAACCACACGCACATCAACACACACACATGTATGTATACATACATATGTATGTATGTATATAGAAAACAGCAACAACCGCAGATCGTCACAGCCCGAGCAAGTGAAAAGAAAGAAGCACACGCACAAAGTAAACGCAGCTCACAAAGCATGAAATGAGAATAACAAAGTTGAATGCAGACAGTAGATGTGATGCCAGAGGAATTAATAGGCGACAGCCGCGCGTGTGTATTCGCAAAACAGGTAACAACAAGAGTACGTGACCGAACCGCACCATCTATATGTGAATATACCAAAACGCCAGGCGCTCCTAATCACACACACACAAAGGGGGTGGGTGGTGCGGCAAGCTAAGAGGGTTGAATAGACAATGCAAGCGATTGTGTCGATGCCATCAAAGTGCATTTTAGAAACACATGTACATACATATATGTATGTATATACATATATTTGTATGTACATATATATGTATGTATACATTCAATATGTATCCTTTTTTATCCCTTGTTTATATCTGATCTCCAGTAAAGCGTAGTGAACGCTCAGTCAATTTCTGTATATTATTGAAATCATTTTATGTACTACAAAACTTTTTATTCTTTATGCAAATCTCTTGAGGAACAACTTTAAGCCGCTTCTTACTGGAACGTTTCACAAAAATATTTACAATTAATCACTTGCACAAGTTTTAGCTTTAATGAGCAGCTGCTAATCCTTATATTATCCACACACTAAAGGTATACATTTCACTAGCTGCATTTGTAGGAAACGATTTAATACCTTATTTGTAGTATGAATTTACACCTCTTGCATACACAAAAAATTGATTTATAAACTCTCGGCCTCTTCGCTTCGGTTTTCTACTTTGCTTTTTTCTCGGTCTTCGCAAAGTTAAACATATATACATCTCACTCGCACTTCTCACAGTTTTGAGTTTAACAGCGTTACCATTTTCAGATGGCGAAATTGCACAGAACATAACACTCACTAATATGAAAAATTGATAATAAGCTCTCTTGTAACTCATAAATGCATAATTGAATAAACAAATTGAGGAGAATAACTGGAATTAACTTAGTATAAATAATGCGACATTTCACAACACTGAGACACTTGTCTGCGATTATCAACACTAAATGCGAGGGCATTGAAACCGAAGGAAGCGAGCAAAGCGGAATTGAAAAACCGGACAAAATGGTGAACAACACCAGAGTGATGATGAAATTTATAAGCGATTTCCATAGGGAGCACTTTTCTCTAATTACTGAAATAATCCAATATAGGACACGGCTGCGCGATTCGGAGGCATAATTTATTTATACGAGCGCACAGTAGTTATCGTCTGATAACTTGGCCATGTGCACATAATTCGACGCCATTTCTGCAAGTATCGAGCTAGCTGACTCTTTCACTCTTACATAAACCAATGGCCAAGTAATTACAATGAGTCCGACTGCCGCTCCAGACAGCAGTTTGTGGAATTTTCACATTAATTTTTAAGTCACAAAACAATACGCAATCAGGGAGAAAACAATACACAAACATGAGCCCAAACTTTAACTGCACTTTGCTTCTTGTTTTATGTATTTTTCGCGGTTTTGAACTGTGCAAAGAATTTTTTTATGCGGAGCAACTCACAATACCTGCAATGCGCCGAGAAACGCACTTATATTGAAATTGGGTTGACGATGAATGTTATCGAATTTGGTATGACTATCGAATTTGTCAGGCACCAGCGAGCGCCCTTGTTTCAATGGGAAGTTAAAGTATTATAATAAATGCAGCTGAAAACTGAACGTAAGTAAATTCTAAAAACTAATATGTTAGATGTATGTTAGTGCACATTTTTGGTTGCACCTGTGATTCATCTTGTTTGATCGTGTAAGTGTCGTATTATTCGATAAATGTGCTGGACTTTATGACTAATTCGAAGCGGCGTTTTAAAAGAATTTTGTTTATTGTTTGCAAAACTGCGTTGCAGTGGGTAATTGCACAATCACGACAGGCCCATCAAAGCTAAAAATGAAAACTCAATTAGAACGTTAGTGCTTCGAATCAAGCGGAGGCTTAAGTATTGTTGCTGCAAACTTGCTGTATGAAGCTGCCTGCCACTTGCTATTGTTGTTGTTATAGTTGTATTTTATTTTTTGGCCTAAATCTGTAGGCCTTGAGAATTGGAATCGCTTGAGTTGTTGCTGTGAGCGCGCAAACGCCGCTGCACTACCACACACAAACACAACCACCACTACAGTCAAAATCGAGCAAAGGCAGCGAGTGGCACAGACGGTTTAGTTTTTAGTGTTGTTTCGTCTTTTGGCCCATTCGGTTGTGGCCACGCGTGTGCGCGTCCGATATTATTATTGTTATTATTTAAGCTTTAACTTTTGCTCGTTGCTTGCCCTTTCGTTTCAAGTTTTTGTTATTCTTATTGTTGTTGCTGTTGTTGTGCTACCCGCATTGTTCCAGTTACAACAATTACACCGCTCTGTCTCTTTGTGAGTCCGTGCGAGAGGAGCGAAGGTAAAGAAGGGGGTTAGTTGGATAACTACTCCAAATGTACGCAAATTACAAAACAACAATTTACACAGGCAGGCAGCAGCGACGTCGTAGTTGATAGCAACCTCATAGCGGCGAGTGCAAAGTTTGGGTTCTTGTAGGCCTTCGTTGTTGCTGCTGCTGCACCTTGCGTTGTTCAGGTTGCTGTTGTTGTAGTTGTTGTGGCGGCTGCCCACCACAACTTCCACTTCCATTGAGAAACAAGCAAGCCAAGAATTGCAGCGCCTATTGTGTGTGCTTTTGTATGCGTGTGTGAGTGCAGTGCAGTGCACTGGTGTACATATGTATGTGCATATGTTTGCGTGAGTTTGTTATTAGAATGCACCTTGTGCTTGGTGGTGGTATTTCAAAATCAAAAAATTGCCAAATACGTTGTTTTTCTTCTTCTGGGTGCATTGCGAAATGTTCCAGCTGCGCCGAAGGTAAAACCACAACGCGCGTCTCGTCTCTTTTTTTTATTGCTAGAAAAACAAAAAAAATGTTTTTATAAAAAACTTGCGGGCTTCTAGGCGCTCAATTACGAAATATTAAGTGGCTATTTTGGATTTTCAAATTGCGAAATTTTGTGGCGCACATTTTTGTGTGATTCTGTATTGATTATTAATGCATGTGTTAAATAGACTTATAGTTCAACCGTCAGATTGGCTTCTAAACCGTTCCCAACCACAAATGTACACACATACATATTTGTATTTGTACAAACATACATACATATACAGATGCCAAACATGCATTGGCCAACATTTACCTACGTCACGCCCACCTGATTTCAGTGCAATCGCGTTGGCCCAGTTACGGGTGCGCGCGCGCTCTAAGACAAAATACTCCTACAAGGTCGATTGACTATGTATATTTCTATACCAGTTTCTAAACTTGCCGCAGCCAGTTTCAATTTCTACTGGGATTATCTGCCGTTGGCCGTGTTGCTCGCGTTGCTGCTTTGCAGGTGGCAGCGTCAGCGTCAATCGTGGCTATATTTTTGTGGCTGTTTCTGCGGCGCTCTGGGAACTGTTCATTACTTGTACGCTTGCTTGTGTGTGTCTTGTGTGGTAGTCAGTCGGTCGGTCTGTCTGTCTGTCTGTCTTCTATTCATTACCTATGTAGCTTGCTTTTTCGCATCGATGAATGTGTGATTGTGACACAGAAACCAACTAAGAAGTATGTGGAAACTCGGTAGCGGTCGCGGCAGGCGCAACGCCTCAACTCACGGACACCACCATGAGCAGCAGAAGCAGCGCCAAAACGAGTCAACCTAACAAAATAAAATCAAATTCAAGTTAGACAAAAGTCCGCTAGTAGGCACAGTTGAACTTCTCTATAATGAGCCCTCCCCGTAAAACTCATATGTATACATATGTGCCTTTATTTCAACATTTCTACATCGGCATTCGGTCCGTATGCTAAAGTGCTATAGTAAACGAAAAAATGATAGTTTCAGAATCAAAATTCTGCTATGGTCCTTTCTGTTTATAGGATTCCAAGAATAAGAAATGGCTTCAATTAAATGTGGAACTAAATTTTAAAAAAATCAATTTTTTATTTGAATATCTGAAATGTATTAATTATAATACTGATATCTGTATTATACTTATACTATAGATTAGAAAGATTAGAATATTTCGCCTTTAAATGCCGCAAAATGAAAAGGGTCCAACTTTATTATAACCTGTTGCGCAACAATAAAAAGTTTACCGTCTTTAATGTAAAACCTTATGTGATGTCCACTTGCTATTAAATTTTGAATTTCTCGGCTTAGTTGTTTGTGTACGAATGTACAAAATTTATACAATAATATCAATAAAATCTCAATAGGTAACTCATCCGCTTTATTACATTTATTTTATTTCCTCAGTAACCTTTGGCCAGATCTTAGCTAAACGTTACAACCATCATAAGGTTTGTGCAGTAAGTTCTGCTCCAAGTTTGTAGGCACCGCCCCTAGCCACTCCAGCCCTTTCAACCTAACTCACAAAGTTTCTAATTTCGATCAAAATGTCAAGACGAATCGAACTTACTCGTACATACATATGTATGTACATGTGTACGTATGTATGTATGTATATTACATACGTACATACATACGTAAGTATATCAGAATGTATGATTGTATCTTGCATTTAATACATACATATGTATGTACATGTACATATGTACATATCACATACGTAGATACATACGTATATCAGATTGTATGATTGTATCGCTGAAAATAGAAGAGCTATAGTCGTCAAATTTTATATGCTGGGTCTTTTGAACTCGAAATGCATACGAAAGTCCAAATATGCATATTAATGTGTGTTTTGTACTATATACTCCTATTTGTATTACTATTAATTGTATTAGTTTTAATTTAAGCCAAATTCACTTGATTAGGAAAATTGAACTGTGGTTTTGATACCTCAGCATTTTTGTACAAGATAAATCTAAATGCATTTATTAAAATTGTAAATTTAAAAAATAGTTTTATATTTAGATACAATTAAAACATTTCGCTCTCGTTTGGAGGAATTTTCGATAGCAATATTTTCATCCTGGTCCTCGGTCAATTCGTTTAAGAGAAGTTCGACTGCACTAACATATGCATGCATACTTACATATGTATGTATGTATGTTTGTCCACATTTGTGTAGATAAATGTGTGCAAGTAAGTTTCCATTTCAGTGGTGGATGCCTACAGACGTTCATACATACATACATATGTATGTATGTATGTAAGTTAGTGCGCCCAACGCGAACGTCGTCCCATAGAACACGTGTGTGTGAATGTATGTGAATGCATATTTTTGCAACAACAAAATTTTGTGCACTAACTGACGCACACAATATTCCCCAAATGCTACAGTATACACATATGTATGTACATACATACATACATGCATGCGTACAAGCACACACAGACGCATGGCCGAGTTCGCAGATATCTATCGCACTCGCATGTAATGGAAACGGGCGCAACTTTGCCATGCTGCGCCCTCCCTCCCAGCTATTCCCCACTCGCAGCTCCACAAGCTGTGTGCTCAATTTGTAAATTCTGAGTGTATGTGTGTGTGTCTGTGTGCGTGTGTTTGTAAAAAGCTCAAATTGTGCATCTCCCCCGCAAACAGCGCCTGCATTGCAACTGAACAGACTGCTGTGGTGCAATAAGCGAACGCATATTGCGTCGGCGTTGACGTTGGCGCTGGCGCTGGCTTGGATGTTGTTGACGTTGATGATGGTGAAGACAGAGAAGGAGACGGCAAAGGTAGAGGCAGCTACGAACGACAGCCGAGGTCGTAGGCAAAGACTCGAAGCAGCAACAACAAGAAACCTCAAAGGCAACAGAAACAGCCAAACGCTCGAGTAACTAGCGTAGGCAGCCTCGGTCGCAGTCGCAGTCGTCGCTTCCGTCACCGTCTCAGCAGCTTCAGTTGCTTCAGCAGCAGCAGCGCTCTTTAGGCCCACTACCACTCTAAACCTGTTGACCTAATTTCAAATTCTGCTGCTTGCGCCAGCCGACTGACTGCGTGCTTGCTCTTGTTGTTGTTGTGTTTGTGGTGGTTTCTGTACTTTTGTATGCCTGTGTGTGTGAGCTCGAGCGCGCCAACGATTGGCAAATCTTTATCAGTGGCGTTTGTGTATAGGGGTTTTTCTATTTTCTTGAATAAAACTCATATTAAGCTTATGTGCATTTTCCATACAAGTGTCACAAATATAACACAAATATAAACATATGTATGTAATTTATCAACCTATACATATTTTTATACTCTGTACCCAAAAAATAAAAGAGTATATACGTACGTACTAGTTTCTGCAAATGTATGTAACACATAGAGGAGGCATGGCAGACCCCTCATAGTTATATATTCTTGATCAGTACAACAAGACCAGTCGATATAGCCATTTCCGTCTGTATGCACGCAAGGAAGTTATAGCCATACGTGTAATCTGCCCGCAGCTGTTGTTGTTGCATTGGCTCAACTCTGTACTGCACACATACACAAATGAACTTATGACTTACTTGTTATATATTAAATAAATTTTAAAAAGTGTAAAAAGTTCGTAAAGGGTTGAGTTCGCTCGACTAAAGCAATCCTTTCTTATTTATATTCTGTAGCTTAAGCTCAAGCAGTTTTCGTTAATTTAAAATATTTCCATGTTCCATGGTCAATCTCTGCCTATTTATACATCGTTGAAGAAGGTCTTGAACCCTCTTTTGGGCACCGTGACGCCTCTGTCATTTCCGTACCAAACAAACTGCCAGTCTGGTCTGCTGCCGCATAAACATACATACACACATACACTCACATATTTTGAACTTCCACCAGCTATTGCTATTGCAGTTTGCTTGGGTTTCAGTTCGTTCGTGCGCGTCGTCGTCATCGCAAATAAACGGAATCAACGCGGCACTTGGCGCTCTGCCTAGTCATAGATAGCTACGTCACACTCACGTTGCCCGTTGCTCGTTGCTCGTCGTGGCTTGCGGCTTTTGCTCGCGCGTTCTCGGTTACGCTCTGTTTTGAAACACAGACATTAAATATAATATACATATGGATGTACATAACTAAGTATATACATGTGTACATACATACATCCACGAATAAAGAGTGTTGAGTGAAATTCGGGACACATTGCAGGTGCTGCATGCATTGTGGAAATGCGAATGAAAATATAATTGATCTGTAGATCAAGAAAAGTGCTTTAACTAAAATTTGTAAGAGCAGCAGGGTATGCCCAGCAGAGCGCGTGAGTAGTTAAGCGATTCCATGCCAGAACTGTTTATGTGGCTAATATGTATTTGTATGTACATACATATATGCAGTCTTACAGTCTTACATACATATGTATACTTTCGTTCTATGCATCCCAATAATGCGTCCCAGTAACCACAAGAAATTGCGGTCGTCAATGCATGGTGCTGTTCATCAGACAGCTGCTGTAGGCAGCGGCTGCTCCACTTGCTGTAGTGACGAAATGTGTGTGTGTGTGTGTTTGTGTAGAGCAGAGCAGAGAAAATCAAGTGAATCAAAATGAGCGTATAATTAGGTCAACAAAAAATTATACGACAGCGTCAGTGCCACTTACCAAAGAGAGCGGAGAGCGCGCCAACCCATTCGAAATCAGCGCAAGCATTGGTCGAAGAGCAGCGGGTGGGCGATGGTCGGTTGGTTGGTCGGTAGGCTCGTCGGCTAAACTAGGCTGTGGCTATTGCTTTGCCATAAATTAGAAACTAAATCTTTATACCCTTCAAAGAAAAGTTGTTCCGGTTACCGAATTCGATCAGATTATGTGAATCGAAATTAATAATAAATTATCAATAAATACACGTAAATTACATCCGAAAAACGATGTTGATATTTGGATTAAGCAAACTACTATAACTTAACTTTGAAGATCCAACAGATCAATTATTAATTGGTAACCTATTTCCACTTCGCTTTATTCGGCCGAATTTGGAAATATAAACAAGCTTGATTGTTTTTGGTGTGTAAGTTTGTATGGAACCATCGCATAAAACATTATACACGTATAGTAGGTACATATACAACTATAAGAACGAGGTTTGGACACAGATAAGAGGGCTTGTTCCCTAATTCAAGAACATTTTTTGTAAAAAGTTGGTGTATTTTCAAAATCTGTAACAATTCAAAACTTTGAAAACTGCACAAGTTGAGCGACTTAAGAAATAGAAAGATGTTGGATCACTCAATCACATAGTTGTGATATAAAGGGGCCTTGTATCGAAAACTGGTTTAAAAAAATATAAACAAATTTCATGTTGGAATTGTTGTTGCCAGATATGATGATGTTGGATCTCTCGTGGATCGCGTTATGATATGATAACCTTCTAATGTAAAATTATACTATGTATGTGCAGATCGCGCCAAATCATGAAGGGTATATAGCTTCGATGCAGACAAAGGTTACTTTTCAGTTCATAATAAATTCCAATCCCACATTACTTCGGCACTGTAGTTGTTCTAGTTGCCGACATGCTTGCACCTGCAGCATAAACAAAAGCACTCGTTGCTCCCACACTTACATGCGCGCTCTTTGGCGCTTTGGACGGCTCTCCGCTCTGCTCTGTTGGTCTGCTGCTGCTCCCACTGGCTGAACTATTTCTTGTTGTTGTTTCCATCATTTTTATTTTCTTGGCGCTTGCCTGCTTTTCTCATGCCGTGTTGCTTGCCTGCATGTTGTTTTTGTTGTTATTGCCATTTGCTTGTTGGCCGTGGCAAGTGTTTCGCAATGAACAAGAGCGCGGCGGGAGCCGAACGCTGCTGCAAGCTAAAATGAAATCATCGCTGCCGCTGCTGCTGCTGCTGCTGCTACTGCTGCCACTGCCACTGTTGGCTTTGCTTTGGCATTGATGGGGGGGAAATTCCTGTTCCACTTTCTATTATGGGAGTAGCAGGCCGCTGCGTCGCACTCATCGCATTCGTCGCTGCTCGTAATAAAAGCAGCGCCAAAAGTAGCAAAAGAGCACGTAGCATAAAAGTATGTCACCGTGGAAAGTGGTTTCTGTGTGTGTTTCTGTTTGTTGTTGTTCGCATTTCACACAACAGAACAACAATGTGTGTGTGAGCCCGCTTCTGCTTTTGGGGGAATACTTGGGAATGGATCATTGATTTACCCTACCCGAAATCCGAACCGAACCAAACCGAAGCGAACCAATCAAGCGAGTCAGTCCCACAGACAGACTGACAGACCGACCGACCGACAGACAGACTGACTGACTCACTCATTTCGTTGCGTGCCACTTTGTGCCAATTGGAGCAAGTGAGGGACACGGCATGCCATGCTCATCTCCATCTCAATCTCCATTCCACTAGAAAACCGGTAGGCGAATGCTGTTAAGGTCAAATATGTTATATTCATGCATATTATTATAATTCGTATAGTCGAAGTCGACAAAAGTCATTGATTCATATTTGAATTTGAATCGTGAGCATTGAAACTTCAGGCTTAAGCTATACAAAGATTAATTTGGCCTACAAGACGGGCTACATAGAAAAAAAAAAACGGGCAGCGACGTCAACGTCATTAAGGGCTCTCAAAGTGTTCCAATTATGTCGTCGCTGGTCTCTGTATCTGTCTGTAGGTGTGTGTGTGTGTGTGTGTGTTTGTGTGTATTTGTGTGTGTGCACTCATTTTTAGACCAAAGCCAACCAAAAGCGCTTTACATTTTCTTTCTTCGCTTTTGGTATTTCAAATTGGGAACACCTTTAATGCTGGGTGAAAATGCGGGACACCCTAGAGCGGGCGATGGGTGTCTGTGAGTGGAGGGGTTCCAAAGGGGCTAAGTGTGTGCAGCTTTGGCTTTTGTTGACTTTTCGTGTGCGCGGCCGCTGCGTCGTCGTCGGCTTCGGCGTCTGTGTTAACGTCGCAGCAGCCGCCGCTGGTGATTATGATGAAGTGTGACCCAGTTGCACTTTAAAACTTGACCCAATGACTCCATTGAGTTGCGTCTTTTTCAAAAAGCGCGCACACCACCACCGAACTATGAATACCATATATTTATAATGTGTGTGTGTGCATATACACCATATACCCATAATAGCCGCGGGGTGAGCTTCAAAATGCAAACTACATTTTTAAGGCTTACAAGTTTACAGTGTTTAAGTGGCCAGGTCTGTAAGCATGGATATCTGGTGGCAGGGTCTACATTGGCATATCAAAAGAAGCTGCTAGCACTGAGTAATAAAAAACCAGTTATTTCTGTTTTGGGCCTAAAGTGAATTTGTAATTATGTCTAAAAAGAAACTGAAATGATGAAAAGCGCGCCCTGAATTTGAATGACACACTCACACATACAAATATATAAATACATACTTAGATACCTACGTACATACGTACGTAAGACAATGCTGGAAAAACTGAGGTCGTCTAGATGTGTGTGGGGCTTTGATGATCTGCTCTGAATTGAAGTTTACTTTCAAGGTTATATTAAATAAGATGAAGAGAGGTGTTGGAGTTGTAAGAGGAAGATACTTTTTGTTAGTTGGCTGCGTTTTTGATTTTTGTTTGTCATGGTGTCGTGCCACCCTGTGACCTATTGCAACATGTTAGCGGCACATTTGGGCCAGGCCAGGCCTGACTAGACCAGTCCAGACCAGACCATAAACTGTGACTAGCGCCAAAAGCTTAACATGCTGCAGCTTTGACTGATTTGTACTTGTAGTTGTGGTTGTTACTAGTATGTATCTACATACATATATGGGTGTATGAGTGTTAGTTCAATGATTGCCCACCTGCAAGACCCGCAATTGGCCCCAATAACTTTGGTATTTTCATAGTTGCACTTACATAGACACACACATACACACACACACATACACACACACACACACATACAAACATACAACTGGCAGCTGCCTCAGTAATGAAAACTTGCAATGGCAACGTGCAACGTCCGTTGCCCCCCGAAAATGGTCTGCCGTTGCATTCGTTTTAATTTTTGTTGGTATTGCTGCTGTTGTCGTTCTTGACGAATTCGCCACAGGTCCAGCAGCTTGGCGACTGTTTTGGCATGGCAGCGCTGCTGACACCAATTTGGCTTATTAGAGTGACGCTGCCAACGTCCGCCCTCCTCCACACAGTAGGTACTCTCGGCTACACTCAAAGAAATTAAAGCCGCGACATCAGAATACATTTTTAAAAGTGTCGTAATGTCCCAATATATAAATGCTCTTAACTTAAATATCTTAATAGTTAAGACTATTGCTAAAATAAGGTGTTCAAAATGGTTATTCTATCGTTTGTTTTTGATCGGGAAACTCATTCATGGATTGTGCACTCTCTTATTGTTACTCTGATCTTTCCCCAAAAACTCAACGAACATTTGCGACATGTGTGCACGCTTTAAATTAACAACTGATTTGGGCGATCAAGAGATTTCCTCTGCAATATATGCATATATGCAGAAAGCGTAATCTTTGTGTGCCTTTAAAATTGTAACTGTTTTCGTGAAGTATTTATGGAATGGTTCTGGAATTGGGTGATTTCTTTTTGTGTAGTCATTGCTTCTATTGGGAAGCACTTGAAATACCATAACCGCAGCGCAATGTTGCAATTTGATGCCTAAGTCTTGGGTGTGGCCAAACTTTTAACATGTCTCTGCTAACTATACATTTTCAGATGGCCGAAACCATCAGCACGGCAGCCAACAGCATGGAGCTGGCTCTTAAAGACAATGGCCTGATAGTCGACATGACGCCGGCGGCTCTGCTGCATCACAATGCGCTGGCAGCGACGCATGCGCACGCATTGCGCAGCCTGAAGGAGGCCAGCGCCTGCAGTCGGAGCGAGGAAGCAGATCAGCCAGAAGCGCGTTCCCCCACTCCCACGCCCACAAATCTGACCACTGCACCTTCGCCGCCCATGACATTCCGATGCGAGCGCTGTGACAATTTTGAGACCAGCTCGAGGGCCTCTTTGCTGCTTCATGTGGTGCAGTGCCTGGCCGGCCAGGCGGCAGTCCGGCTGAAGACCGAAGAACATAGTGAGCCCGAGAACATGAGCGTCAATCACATCATGGACACAACGCCGGCGGGCAAGACAACAGTGGACACCTCCGGTGGATCACTGGTGGTCAACAATGGCGGTGGCAACGGTGGCTCAAATTCATCTTCTTCATCATCGCCGGCAGGCAACGGTAATGGCAGTTCCGCGAGTAATGCCGCCTCACGCAAGGTCTTCGAGTGCGATGTGTGCAACATGAAATTTTCGAACGGCGCCAACATGCGACGCCACAAGATGCGCCACACAGGTGTAAAGCCGTACGAGTGCCGTGTTTGCCAGAAGCGATTTTTCCGCAAGGACCATTTGGCTGAACATTTTACCACGCACACCAAGACGCTGCCCTATCACTGCCCCATCTGTAACCGCGGCTTCCAGCGTCAAATTGCGATGCGTGCACATTTCCAGAACGAGCATGTGGGCCAGCACGATTTGGTTAAAACATGTCCTCTATGCAGCTATCGAGCCGGTTCTATGAAATCTCTGCGCATTCACTTTTTCAATCGGTAAGTAGAGAAACAAATAATCGAAATCATTACGTATTTTCGTTCAAGATCAGCATGATGGAACAAATCGTCTAAATGAACGCATGGATTTCATACAATCTGTATTCCCAACAATACAAACAATTATTTTTATTATAATTAAGTATTAATTAATAACAATAATATTCAGAGGTTGGAATGTTTTGAAATGTACATTTGTAAATGTTTTGATTGCAGGCATGGCATTGATCTGGACAATCCGGGTCCGGGGGGCACCTCTTCCCTGCTCTTGGCATTAGAATCGCAGGCGTCAGCTGCTGCGGCCGCAGCTGCAGCTAGCTATGTGCCTGGACTTAATCCTGTTGCAGCGGCAGTGGCGGCCGCAGCGGCCAACAGTGTCAATAATGTCAACAATGTACCGCCCAGTCATCAGAGCGATAGTGGCGAATCGTTGCGCTCTCTGGAAAATGCGACGCCACCCATGCACTTCCTTACGCCTCACGTGGAGATCTCGACACTGAATGAGAATGGAGCAACGGAGCTTTTTAATGTAAATTGAGAAATCACATATTTAAATCAATTGCTTACGAGCGCACAGCTGATTTGCGTTTTGCGTGAATCTGCATTGCAGGGCAACAACAACAACAATAACAACAATGGCAGCAATAACAATAACAACAGCCAGCTGGGAAATGGCATTGGCAATGTCAATGGCAGCGGCAGCGGCAGCGGCTTGGAGTTGAATGGAGGTGATCACAAGACTAAGGAGCGTGCTTTAATTTTACAGTCGCCGGTCTCGCTGACACCGCAGGATCTTCCCATGGACTGCAACACGAAGGCCACACCCATCTCATCAAGCACGAGTCTCAGCAGCCTTAAGAGCCATCATCATCATGAGAATCATATAACGCCCTCGATCAGTCTAATTCCGATCAAACAGGCATGTGCCTTGTCGTCATTTCTCTGATTAAAGCGTTGATGTCGCTAATTGTATTTAAATTACTTGTTTAAACAGGAGCCGCTCAATGAGGATCCGGACAAAGTAACTCTCAAGGAGCAAAGTAATGGCGGAGGAGCTTGTTTGATAGCTGGCGATGCCAACAGTGACTCAGAATACTCTTCCTCCAATAACAATAGCAGCAGCAACAACAACAACAAAATCACCTCACTGATCAAGGTAGGTCCAGCTAGAATTTCAGATTGTTGGAAGCTATGGCTAAGAACTCATCTTTTCAGGTCTCGCCACTTAAATCGCTTCTCCGTGAGGATCTGAAGCGTCGCATCTGTGCCAAGGCCAATAATCGCATCACTCGCAATGCGCCGCCTCTTGAAAACAATAATAATAACACCATGCCGAACACAATGAGCGGACCCAGCGTCACGCCTAATCCTCAAGGTCCAGCCAGTGGCAACTCGACGCCAATCTGCAACGGCACCATCACATCGACAGGTCAAGAGAGCGATCTGCTACTTAGTCGGAAGCAAATACTCACATGTCACTTTTGCGGCATCGAGTTCCCCGATGAGACACTCTATTTCCTCCACAAGGGTTGTCACTGTGAGAGCAATCCATGGAAGTGCAATATCTGTGGCGAGCAGTGCAACAATGTCTACGAGTTCAACTCCCATTTGCTGAGCAAGAGTCACCAATAGCAGCCAAAGTGCTCCGGCGGCCACAACGCAGCCGGAATGTAATTGCAAACAAAAGTTTGAGTAGAATCCCAGAATTAAAAGCGAATTTATCGCATTATTTCCAAACCCAAGCAGAGGCAACGTAGTAAGAAGTATTCTGCATAGTTAATGCTCAGAGCTGACAACGGATTACCGTTAATTGCTCTAAATATTATTTTATGTTTGTGTGCAAAATGAAAAATCAAAAATTAAGAGAGCTACGTAGTTACCTTATCCCAAAATTAAAGGAACGACAAACGAACCGTGAAACATAAAAACCCTCCCTATCCTGTTATGTAGTGTAATCTTAGGTTGTAGTGTAGTGTAAGTAGGAGGTGTCTCATAGACACCAAAATACAAAAACACTCGAGTACTTGGCAATAATTTCCAAATCAAAGATTAAACGCCTCCAGTTCAACTGGCAGAGCGTATTACGAAACGTAATGTGAAGTGACGTAACGTAACGTAAGGCGATGTAAGGCAACAAGTTAATCAAAGCCAAAACGCCTCAAAGGTGGCAAGGATTAGAAAAAAGCCCGTATGAATACATACAAACAGTTGAAGGGGCAAAGTTAAATCGCCTCTTTGTATCGCAGCAAAGGCTTTAAATTTGTTATGTTTTCAGAGTTTAATAGAACAGAATGAACAAAGCTTAATTATATTATTAAATATACATACAAGCATACACACATAGCGACCGTTCAATGGCAATATACAACACAGAAACCGTTAAATACATATACATATAGTATATGTATAACCTGTTTATTATATGTAATTATACACAGAGAGTCCTCTTTTAAAACACACAATTTTAGTGAATTGCAAAAGATTAGTAACAACTAAAACAAGAAATATGCGATATAAAAATTTGATTATTATACTCGTACCTTTTACTTAGTTCTAGTAACTCTAATGAATAATAGACATTTAGTTATACAAGTATAAACAACTAAATGCAGCGTTTTTAAAATGCACCATGTAACATTTGATACATCGCACAGTGCCGCTCAAAAGTATGCATACAACAGACGTCAGTCAACACACTTAAATAAATAAATATAACATACACACACACAGATATACACATACACATACACATATAGACAAAACGCCACTGTGCATCAAAGCAAAGAAATTAACGAGAAAAACAAATGTGATACGAAATTGTTGTAAATAATTGGTGACAAAAACAATTTAAAGAAAATGATGTTTATTGTTTAACAAAACTATGCCTTAGATGCCTATGATATAGCATTATATAAACTATAGTTTATCTAAAATCTATACATACATGTTGCACGCAAGCACACATACACATATGTACATATGTATATATGTATGTATGTATATATGTATATGTGTGTATATGCACGTGCACGTGTATACACTGTACAAAACTGAAACTGTTGATTAGTATAGTTAACTCTAGTGTAAAATCAAAATTGCGCTCGTGTGGCCTGCACCTCTCCCCGCTCCCTAGATACTTTGCAACTGAAGTTGCGGCGCTGACGTCACGAGTATATACGAGTATGTTGTATGCAGCCTCAAACATAACTGGCCGACAAGATTGAGCGCCACTTTAACTTCAGATTAACATCCGTCCATGTGGTTCACAAATTGTCGAGTTCATGCTTTGTGAACTGATAAGAAAATTGTACCGTTTGTTTTAATTTCAATTCTTTAGCTGTACAGGTTTTTGTTTCGGTTTCGACTTTTCTAGAATTTAATCTAAGCTAAGTAATTAGTTTACAAATTTGTTAAAACTTTGTTTTTTATTGGCAGGGCTTTTACTTGCACCTTGTATACATATTTTATTTTTTCGTACATCATCGATAGCTGTAATTACATACATAATATATACATATATATATATTTTAAAAACATGTATACACATTTTAATTTGCATACTTATCGTTTTTTACCATACAAACATATGTACATATATATAAACATATATGGTCATGTATATTTAGTACCTTTAGCCAATTCGTTTATGTAAATGGTTTGTTGTGTTCATTTAATTGTACTAAGCATAAACATTTAGGAGATTAATGAATCATTTTGTTTTTATTTCCATTTTGTTAATTAATTAGGCTTCGTAAAATTGTTATACATAAACAATTTCGTAACAATTGAGAGCAATTTAAGCTAAACTTTCTTGCCCAGTGTTGGTAAGCGGCAGAATGAGAAACATTTGACATTTGAAATACAAACATACATATGTGCATTAAAATAACATTCGTTCTAACAATAATAAAAAAACAAAAATGAAGATTTCTTTTAAAAACTTAATGATATATTGTTGAATTTTAATACAAGATTAAAAACAAGGAACAGATATTTACTTAAATATTAGTAATTATAGCTACAGAAAAGGCATGTTAATTTTTTTAGAAATAAAAATGTTTTAAAGCAAATTTAATTGATTATTTCTGTATGTGTTGGACCGCAATTGAAAGGCAAGTATGTATTTATATTATAAAATTGATTAATTGATATACTTACTAAAATGTTTTATCTTAAATTTTTTAAAAACATTTTTAAATATACTATACTTGAAGTATATTTCATTTTCATATTATAAGTATATCCATCATTGTCCAGTACAAGTAGACCAAAGTATTCAGACGAAGTAAAACTTTTCTACCTTTTAATTGTACTGGACCTAAGGTAAAACAATATGTACTTATAATCGCCTTGTACCGAAGGTGGATTTATCTTAGTCGGAACGGAAAAGCTAACTGTGGTATTCCACCTATGTATGTACACATTATTTGTACACCTGAGAGTCCTTTTTCAAAGTTTTTCCTTATATTTCACATGATCGATCGTCCCATTATTCAAATATGTGATTACACATAAATATATAACCATAAAAACCCACCTTAACATCAACTTTTTTAATTATAAGCGCATTGGAACCCAATTTCATATTGTGAATGTTATAGTAAAAAAATTTAAATTTTGATTAAATAATGCACGATGCGTTAAAATATGATCAATGGCAAAATTTCAACAAATCCAACTTAGTTCTATTTTAAGGCGAAATAGTGCGCCATAATAATAAATGCTTGGTCGACTTCATATTGCAAACATTTTTGTATGGGACATTTCTGGTAGAATTTCAGATAAGCTTTCTATTCCCTGATTGTTCAATATCGATGATAGTAACACACAAAAATAAAAAAGTAAAAATGCTGGATTGACTTGCTCTACCGATTGGCTGGGAGTAGTACTAGCGTAAAACTGTTCTGCTCATAACTACTCTTACCAGTCTAGATAAAAATGTCTCGTCAAGCTTAATTAAAACATACGAGTATATATACATTTTCTTTGGGGTTCAAATGTTATTCCTTTTTCCTAAAATATACATTTGCACAAGCCTTACATACGCTGTCACCCATTGCGCATTGTTATTCTGCGCAAGAATAAAAAACATTTGACGGTGCGCATGATACAATTACAAAAGGTATGCAATTAAAGAGTGCGCTCTTTTCGACTCTCGCGTAACCATGTTTGTATATCCCCTTTATTACTATCGTCTGTTGTTAACTTAAGTTCAAAAGTATCTCTAATTGGTGTAGATTATCTGCGTTGCGGCATAGTTAAATTCAAAAATATCGCCGTTTGATGTAAGAAGAGAAGTGACTTGTATAAGTGACCAGTGTAAGGGATCTAGCAGCAATTCCACTAAGTCGCAAAAAACTTGGAAATTTTGTTTTATAATTTTAAATTTTGAGTGCCATTTTGGACATGAAAGCAAAAGAAATCAAAGAATTACCTGCTTCTCACTGTGGAAGTGACGGGAGTACGCACGTACGTACGTATTGTGACGTCATGTCCAAGAGAGCAACAAATAACAGAACTACGTATTGGCGGATATAATACATAATGCACCATCATTATTCCGTCTGTCTTATACGGTATATCCTTGCGCAGGTCACATTCGGCTTACTCTTCGGAATGACGTCATAATCTCTTTAGCGTTGGCATATTGTTTGCATTTTGAATTCAGAGTTGGCAAGTGTATATATATTAATGCAATTTAAAGTTAGCTGTAAAAAATTTAAAAATTAAGCAGATAAATTACACTGAAAATCATTAAAACTAAGCCATACTTAAATAACAAATGTATTACAAGTATAAAATCACTGGTATTCTGTACACATATATGGTTTGAGTTGGCAGCTCTGTTTTAGCGCCATCTATTGCCTTCTTAAATGTGATTGGTTGATGTTGAGGGAGCCAATCAAAAACGTGCAATACGCACAGTGGTTGTGAATGTGAGTAAACGCCCGAACGGGTCTTTGTGTGTAGATGTGTGTTGGCGCAGTCGCAGTGTATATTTGCCAGTAAATAAATAAGTTCTGTACATAAATGTCTTTGTATATGAGGCGGTAATATAAGATAACTTCTTCTGATGGTTTGCTACTGAAAATGTAGTAAACAATATGTTTGTCATGCAGACGTTAGTCAGAGTCGAGAGCTCAAAATAACAATAGGGTCACATGATACCAATGAAATGTACATACATATACATATATGTATGTATGTGTGATGCTATAAAAGACAATATAAGCTGCTATAGAATACCGTTACTTAGCATTCCATGCGCACACACAAACAAACACACAACATGTGTATATGCAAATATGTACAAGTATGTACATATATTTAATGGGTACTCTAATTAAGAGTCAAGTCGTGGGGCAAATAACAAAAAAGAGCACTTTGACTGCACACACATAAATACAAATATTGTAAGTATTGATAGGTATACAGTCAATAAAGCTTAACCTGATATAGGTCCACTTTTGCAATGCTTTTTTTTTTCTTTGACGAAAATCCGCTCAGTCAACGTCAGTAGAGCAGCAATAGATTTGAGATGCTGTGCCAGAATAGATAGATTAAAACGCTGCCCATCACTTTGTAGTTACCTTTATGCACGTATATATGTCTGCATATATATGTATGTGTATATATATGTACATATGTATATAAAGGTATGTGTGTCTTTATGTATCAATATCCCATAGCCGGCAATGGCAGTGGCGGAAGCAACATCGAAGCTGTCCATACCGTTGGCAGCCCATTTCCGAGTTAGTGTCACTTGCAGTGCCGCATTCGGATAAATGATTTTTCCCATTTTCCTAATGCGCCTGCCGTTGGCTATTGAGAACTCAGAGCATATGCCCTAAGCTAGGTGCAATTGTATAGTATATATCCTGATGTTTTGGTTAGCTGCGGCAAATATTGTTTGCATTTTTGTTTGCGATTTAGAGGATAATGCGTCATAAAGCCAAACACGATTGACTGAGCACTGCCAAAGCGTATGCCAAAATATATGTATGTATGTATATGTATACGGCTGCAACTAATAGACGATTTCTCGACATATGACACACACACATACATACATACATACATACACACATACACAGTGCGTGAGGATAATGTTTGGAAAGTCCATTGTCATAGCATCAATACCCATAATCTACACATCAATATTTACCCAGATTGTATTTAAACACTCACACATACCCAAGCACATACCACATACATACATACATATGTGCTGCCCTAAACAATGCCCGCAAATCCCCGGCCGACGTTCCAATGAGGCGATTAACACCTAAATATGTCATTAGGCGACAAATGGAAAACGCATTCATATTGACAGAAACGGATCAGCGTTGGCTTTGGTTTTTGGTCTGCCTGCGGCTGCTCTTCCACTTTCTGGACAATTGCTGTATGTAGTTGTTGTTTTTGCTTTTCGGATATCAATATGTCCACCGATCCGCTTTGCCATCATCACCAAATCGCATTGCTCGCTGGTGTCGATAATGCGCGTGTTTTTATTTTCAAATGGCGATAACTTCGTCTTAAGCCGATTTTCGTGTACACATTTTTGAAACGAGGTTTGAGCATCCGAGTCGTTTTGGACATTATCGAGCATGGAAAATGAGACGGTGACGTACATAAGCCTTTCGGGACAGTCTTATATTAATGCCCGGAATGTGGCGGGTACTTTTTTGACAGGCAGCGATCATTTGATATTTAGGCCCAACAGCGATAATATTACTGGTATAACAAACCCTGAGTGCAATTAATTAATGAATTAATCACTAAGTACTGTGCACTCTCTCTAATTGAATCATTGAATACCCCTGCCACAGGTATAAATAAAATAGTTTCCCTAAACACTAGAGGTCGATTGTTTTACCAAACTCCTATATTTGGGTTTGCTTTCTGCAGATTCTTTCTAAGTCTATTTATATGTAAGGAA